CCGAGAATTAAAAGCAGTAAACAAGAAAAGGGAGAGAGAACAGATGCTTTATATGTCTTTAGCAAATCTCACTAATACATGGCTCCAGACCCACAGCAACCGAGCGGGTGGTGGCACCCGTTGGAGGCGTAGAGTCAGGGTATGTCGGCTCTAAAGAAGGCCACTTGAATCAAGATCATCGTTTCATTACTTTGGTGTTGTTTATAATAGGGAGCCTCGTACATTATGCCTATAATCGAAATACCAGAGCGTTGCGCCCCATGACACCAATCCCTTGGGGGCGCGGCTGTTTTCCTTCGGTGTGAATACCGAGAAGAACCTCAATCCAAGAATTGCTGCTTGGTAATGTGACCCTTGATCAATACACAAATCCCCAGTCCCTTCTCGAACAAATCTCGGAGATTGTAAATGCGGACACCTCGGATCTCCATGGGCTTGACCCGGATATTGCCAATGGCATTGCAAACGTGCTTCCATACCATGATTTCGCCATCCTGATATGCACACCCGAGCACCATCTCCCACTCAGGGGGGGCTACCTGCCGCATCTCCTCCAACTTGTGCTCCAGAAGAAATCTGGCGGTATCTGAATTGTCAAGAGCGCCCAGAAGTATGTGTTGAAAACACTTGCCATCCTTAAACACGCTGACGGCCTGTGGTTGAATCCCGGCTCCCCTTCGAACGCCTGCCGCAAAACACTCACCCAAAGTGTATCGGCCATGGTGATAAATATATAGTTCGATGGTCTGGAGCAAACACCGGTTTGGATGTTGCGGGGTGGGGTGGGAGCCATTGTGGCTTGTTTGTGATGTGAGTTTGGTGTCGTTGCTGGGATATATTTACTTCCGAGATTTGTGGCAGACAAGCGTAAGGGAGAGAATTAAGCGCAAAAGCCTTTGTCTTCTACACTGAAAGAGTTGCTTGTCAAAATTGGGCCAGGTGCCAGCCCAGGCCAGAGCAATCAAGAAGTTCAACGTATAGCAACAGATTTACAGGATGTCTCAGTGACAGGATAATGCCATAGAGCACCAGCAAAGATAGGTTCAATCATAAGTCACAGAAGAATGCAGGGCGTGTGACCTCAACTTTACATTGTATGTTGCAAGATAGTTCTATTTGGTAGGAAATCACTACCATTGCTCATGCTTAAGTTGCTGGGGCTTTCTTTATCATCTCACAACACAACGACAATGATAAAGAAGGTTGCACCCTTTGTTGAATAAATGCATTCTTATTGATTCCTGAATGATTGACCCTCGAGCTTACTAATTGCAGCCTTGACTATCTCAAGCCTTGGACTATGATCAGGTTCTTGTATAGCTCCTTCAACAACGCCACGACAAAGTATATTGCTGTAGTCCTTTTTCTCGCCGACTGCCAATTGAATTTTAGAGCCAGAAGCCTTCGTCTTAGGCAACACGAGTGCTTTCCGTGACGCAGACTAAGACCCTGTCGCGGTTGATTACGATGCTCTAGGCAAACAGCCGGCAGATATCGCAAGCTTCTACATACACTTATAGGCATAATGTTGTTCGGTCACTGCGCTTTGGCTTTGAAGCCTCCCTGTTTCAGCTCCAATGACCTTCGCGCGAGATTTGGGTATCTTTCTACTGCACTCTCCACGACCAGAGCGAGGAGTTTCTGGTGCGATACACCATGGTGGCGAGCCGTCTCGCTGAGGAAGGAATACCCTGGACACAATCCAGGCAGAGGGTTCACCTTAATAGTTTCAGCATGATTTTGATCAATTCTGGGATGGGTGGCTGGCCACTGACCTCGATAACATGCGGTATTCCATCGGCTGAGCACCGAATATCCACACGTCCCACGTCGCGGAATCCCATGACTCTCCAAACCCGCAAGGCGAGCGCCTCCACTGCCGCTACCTCCGGATCCCGTGAGTCAATAGCAAATTTCATGATATCTTTATCGTTCGCTCGGTTTTTGGCATCAACGTCCAGGAACCCTCTTGTGAACGGATCCTCCGCACTCTCGGATTGGGTCCGGTGCCGTTTCTGCGCGGCCTCCCAGTCCAGATGCAAGGTCCCAAGCACGCGTGCGGTCGGGCCGGTGCCGATCAGACTCACCGAGTACTCACGGCCAGCCAGATAGCTTTCGATCAGAATACTCTGACCGGGAAACTGGCGTTGCAGCTTTTGGACCCCCTGTTCAAGTTCCGTCTGATTGTGGACCTTGGAGAACGGATAGATGCCTTTCGAGCTTCCTTCACAGGAGGGCTTGATGAACAACGGATATGCGGTCAGCTCGACTGCGTGAGGGCTTGCTTGCACATCTATAAGCGCATTCTGTGACGTTGGTGAGACGACGGCAAACGGTGCGGTGGCGATCTTATGATATTGGAACATCATCTACCAGGCAGAGATCCGAGCTTAGCACGATCGCGTCGCTCGTCGAGTGAGCACAGTTGGTGCATGATGAGAGAATACCTTGGTTTTTGCTTTATCCAGTGTCATGGTCAGGGTGGCCGCATCGGAAAATACGCAGGGAATGCGGTATGCTTCGAGCACGCCGGGGATTTGGGCCTCGCGAGCGGCGCCGTGCATCCCCTCCGAGATCGAGAACCCTAAGTCCCATCCCTGATGCTCCCCCTTCGCAATACGCTGGATCATCTCCTCCATGTCCCCCACCGGAATCACTCGATATCCCAACCCGCGGAGCGACTCAATCATGCTGTCGATTGCCTCATCTTTGTCCAATTCCAGGCACTCCTCCAGGCTGTAGCCTTTGCTGAGGTACAGCGAGATCGTCTCATAGAAGAACGCGATCGTGATTGGAGTGAGGGTCATGGTTCCGAGTGCTGTTAACAATGAGTCCCGTGTCTGTCGCGAGATCCAAGTGAGGCTTTCTTACTTCACTGGTTCTTAAGATGGTGTAATGAAGAAGCAGATTGTGCGATGGCGGGCGATCGATCATCCCTTGCATTACAAAGAAGCGGTGGACACGTCAGCATGCATGCACGCACGCATCTGGCGCCCACAATGTCAGCTTTGCACATCACTTCCCAGTGGCCGATCTGAGTTGATCGCGCTTCGAGTCAATTCACGCTCTGCAATGTCTAGACCGAGTTTTCCGACCGAGGGGCTATAAATCGCGTACGGTTGGGCATGGGGTCATGGACTTCCCACACGGCCGACAAAATCACCCGCCATGACTCTCTCCTCACGCACTGCGAAGTCGAGCGTTGGAAAGGTGCGATGGTCGTCGGTGGTCAGCAGTCCTCAGCTTCATCCATCGCCCACGGGGAATTGGGAATACTGGCGCAAGGTGCCCGCCTGGAAGGATGTATCCCAGAATGAGTTTTTGAACTACAAGTGGCAGGTATAGTGACTTTATATCGGGGCTGTCCGCCACATTCACAATCTGATCGCAAGATAGATGCACCACTCGCTCCAGAACACCCCATCTCTGCTTGCCTTCCTGTCTGGAGTTCTTCCACCCCAAGTCACAGCACCGTCGGGTCACGGCGAAGTCGCTCGTGACGAGGTGTTGCGTGATGTGGTGACCGGACTGAAGCAGGCACCGATGGCGACTCGACTGACACCGCACATTCTGTCACTGATCAACTGGGACGATGTCTATGCCGATCCCATTCGACGCCAGTTCATCCCAGTCGGCTCCTCGTACCAGCCCGACCATCCTAAACTCACCCTCGACTCGTTAAATGAGACACACGACTCGCCGGTGAAAGGCCTGGTTCATCGCTACCCGGACAAGGTGCTTTTCCTCGGTAAGAACCACGAAGCCCCATTCTTGAGTGATACCAACCTGTGCCAGCCAGCTCGGTGTGTCCGGTCTACTGCCGGTTTTGTACTCGATCCTACTCTGTAGGGGCGCAAACTGAATCGGTCTCCAAAAGGCGATTTCTCCCACTACGAAAATACTGGGAACCGATGTTTGATTACATTGCGCAGACTCCGGCCGTGACTGATGTCGTAGTCTCCGGCGGCGACACCTTTTTCCTCGAGCCACCACAACTGCAAGAAATCGGCGAGCGTCTCCTGAGTCTGGAGAACGTGCGACGGATCCGTTTTGCGAGTAAAGGACTGTCCGTTTGCCCGTCACGCATCCTGGACCCCGACGACGAATGGGCCAACACGCTGATCGCCCTGAGCGAGCAAGGCCGGGCGCAAGGCAAGAGCATCGCCTTGCATACTCATTTCAACCACCCGCAAGAGATCTCCTGGATCAGCGAGCAGGCTGCGCAACACTTGTTTCGCCATGCGGTGACTGTCCGAAACCAGACTGTCTTGCTTAACCGGGTCAACAACGACGTGCACACCATGAAGCGATTGATCCGGACGCTAGCAGACATCAATATCCAACCGGTGAGTCCCGCTACGCTGCCTCTACTGAGGGACCATGTCCGATTAACCGGCTCGACTAGTATTACGTATACCAGGGAGACATGGTCCGAGGGGTGGAAGATCTCCGGACCCCCTTGCGCGACATTCTGCACCTCGAGTCGCAGATCCGCGGCACGATCGCCGGGTTTATGACACCCTCCTTCGTCGTCGACCTTCCCGGTGGCGGTGGCAAGCGCCTGGCGCAAACGTATGACAGCTATGATCCTGTGACGGGCGTGTCCAAATTCACAGCCCCGGGGGTCAAAGGGGACACCGTTCATGAGTATCATGACCCCATGTGGTCCTTGCCTTCAGCAACCGAGGAGATGAGCACGGAGAAGGTGGCTTTTAGCTTGTAGACACTGCACTTCTGCAGCTAGCCTCAGGGAAGCTTTTGTTTCAGGGGTAAAGACGCAAGGGAGTGCAGCGTTGCATCCAAAACATACCGATCATCCCCCGCTTCCCCTTTTAGGGCAAATGCCGCCCGATCGGAGATTCGACTGTAGGAGTAAAATCACAGGTTGAAATGTTTTCTCACTTGTCCTCTCTTGAAGCGCGCCAGACACTGCTCCCAGATCTTTGCAACGTTCTGGCCCCTTCTTCGTTTGTAGTCCGTATTCATGCCATTTTCCCGCCATGAGTGAAGAGCATATGTTAGAATCCTTCCCATCCTCAGGACGTGCGGATGGGGATATCGAGGAACCGGACGACTTTGCACGCCCACATCGCAGACCACCCAATGCACTCCTCTATGCTATCTTTGTCGGTAAGATGAACTAAGATACTCGGCCCCATCTACTTGCCCTAGCGACAGAGACTGACCAACGCTAAGGGTGTTTCATCGCCAGTGCGGACGAGGCGCTGATGATTTCGACCTACACCTCAATCGCCTCCGAGTTCCAGCAGCTCACCCTGGGATCCTGGCTATTAGTCGCGTACAATTGCGGAAGTTGTGTTGCATGCCCTGTGGTACAGCTCCAAAATCTATACATGGATAGCATGCCTGTCGGCTAACTCGTAGCGGCGCTTGCGTAGATTGGCGCTCTGTGTGACATTTACGGTCGCAAGAAGACACTGTTGGGCTCGTATGGTGTTTTCATTACCGGTAGCTTTCTATGGTATGATCGGCTCATAACAAGTCTCGTTGCTGTGATGCTAATCTTATGCAGCGGTGTCAGCAGCTCTCTGGTTACGTTAGCCGGGTCGAGGGTGATTGCTGGCGTGGGCGGCGCTGGAATGGTCGCAATGACCTCCGTCATAATCACAGGTGTTTATCTTTTTCCTTTGGACTCATGTACGCCGATATGAGACTGACTAGTTGTGGCTCAGATTTGATCCCACCACATGAGGTGGCATTGTATGACGGCTATTCGAGTAGTATCAATATGCTTGGCCGCAGCATCGGTCCTCCCCTCGGTGGGTTTCTGACGCAGACAGTCGGCTGGCGATTGTCAGTAACACTCTTCTATGCGGTGTGTACTCAGACCTAATGTTTCTCAGGTCGTTTTTGGGTCAGATCCCCTTCGCCGTGTTGTGTCTTACTGGTATGATGTGGGGTGAACCAGCACCACTCGCTCACCTTGACCGCACAGTGCACCAAGAGCCCAAGGAGTCACACAGAAAGGACATTGATTTCCCTGGTATGCTGATCCTGACATTTATGATTGTGGCTTTGAGCGCTCTGGTAGAGTATGTGACTGCGCCTGATGCAGAGGGTCAGAATGCACTGGTCATTTTCTTTCTCTTGGTGGCTACCCTAGTCGCCGGTGTTGGGTTCGCTATTGTGGAGGGATTCTACGCAACGAATCCGCTGCTACCGGTGCATCTAATGAAAGGACCCTTCGGGGCTTGGTGTCTGATGGAGCTTCTGATTTACATTGGGCGTGGCGCGGTGAGTGTCCCAGAGACGACATTGCTCTGTATCCTAGGCATTACTGATCCACAGAATGATGGCTAGCTCCTGACGCACCTGACTCCGTATCTCATTCGTGTAGAGGGCTGGAGCGATGCTTGGGCATCTTTTGCGTTTGTTGGAAATGTCCTGGGTATCGCATCTGGAGGACTTGCGGCTGGATACGCGATAAAACGGTAGGTCGGCAATCAGGTTCAGGCGGCGTGGAATTCGTTCACTGAATTTTACTCTGGGCAGATACAAGCGATATCGCAAACTCGGGATAGTCTCTCACGCTCTCACCACTCTTGCCTATCTTCTCATTCTTATTGGGTGGCGCAATGGCAGCACGATCTGGCAAGCCGGTCTGCCCTCACTGCTGGGTCTGGGAACCGGGCTCATGTACACCGTCAATTTCATCGGCTTGACCACCACCTCGCCGAAAGAAAGCATGCCCGCGTGTATTGGTACGATTGAACTTTGTGAGTCGCTCGGGTTTATTGTGGGTCCTGCCATTAGCACTGCAATGATCCAGAAGGTCTTTGCACATAATCTTGCGATGACCATGCCTAAGGTACCAGGCCTGTCCGAAGTGAGTCCTCTCCTGGCTATCACAGCATGCTGTTATTGAGTGGCTTTAAACAGACAATCCATCGCATTCTCAATGACGCGCGCCTTTCCTTTACCCTTGGCGATACCATCCAGCAGATCGTGCGGACCAGCTACCTGCAGGCTTTCCAATATGTACCACGTATGAGATATCCTGGATGCAAGACATCCTTTATACACTTGGTGTACATCAACAAAACTGACAAACTCTCTAGTCTTGGCCACTGTTTGTAGCGGAACAGCGTTGGCTATGTTCATGCGCACCAACACTGGCGACCTGGTGGAATAAATTATGATCTGATTGTCTAGTCAATGCCGAACAAAGTATCTTGATGCAACCAAGGGTGATAATCAAGCTACTCCTTTCGGTTCTGCACAGTAGTCAGTCTAGGAGCAACGCACTGGCTTAAGTCAAATGTTCCTAAGCTTTGTGTGTCAGGCGGAAGATCTCGCATGCATACTGGGCTGTTGAGATCGATGTACAAAGAACGTAGTGAAGGACACCAGCAAGACAACCATCGAATCGGGCATAATCGGTATTTGTCAACTTGCGTATTATCCTCCTGTTATCGGTATGAGACAAGAGGAAAATGTATGCCATGAAGAAGGTGTATTTGGCTTAAGTATCGTCGATTTCCATATATAGATAATGAAACTATGACTGCTGCTCAACCCTTCTGCAGGCTCCACATCCAGCGGTATGTTTATATATTCAACATCCAACGTAGTATGGCCGAGATGATTCATTATCTCCGTCCCACCCAGCAACCAGCACAGTACAGGTTGCACCTCTACTCCTGAACGTCAGACTTGAAGGTTACAATATCGGCATAATTTACAATGGTTCCCTTGGAATCTCGCCTGACCGCCCAGGAGGAGGATGACGCTCCCTCGCCGAACGAGGAGGAAGCCTCTAGCTCTGTGTCTGATGAGTACCAGTCCGCCGCCTCGCAGAGCGAAGAGGCACCCGCTGGGTCGGAGCCACAGGAGGAGCAGACCGTCCCATCGGAGAGCGAAGGGGCACCCGCTGGATTGGAGCCCCAGGAGTCATCTGAATATAAGCTCGATGAAGGGGACACACCTGGCGCGCCGAGCGATGACAGCTCTTCCACTGCTTCCGAAGACAAATTCACTATTCCCCAGTTCGAGGAAGGGCAGGAACCCTGGAACCCTACCATAGACGATTTAAACCTCAGTATTCCCCTCTGCGTGTATGGCCTCCTCCGACAGATCTTTCCCCCGGGGGAGGGCTACCAACACACACACACCACCCGGCACTCTGAGGAGATCGACTTCCAAGTGCTGCACGTGGGCCACCCTACCACAGGAGAATTCTTTTGCCTATTGTCTGGGCCCACGCCCCCGTGGGCCCCGTTCTGGTATACGTACTCCGTCTGGCTCGTTATGGAGCTGGATATCATGGAACGCGTCACATCCCCGGAAATCCCGATTACTGGGATGATCTGGCGCGAGGGTAGGTTCGGACTCTACGAACGCCGTCGGGTGGACGGAACCATTGTCTCGGCGCCGGGGACTATCGTTTATGACCGAAGGCACTCCTTCGATGCCGTCGAGCATTGGTTCTTCCTCGTGGACTTTCTCCTAGGCTTCAGGGGCGAGGTCCACTATCGTAGCATCCCGATGATACCTGACGAGGCACAGAGCTAGGGGTCATCTTCACTATGTAGACCATGCCTTTACCTGTTTCCAGGCGTAGGCGTAGTTCTCTGAACTCTTCCATAATTCAATTCCCAATATCGAAATTCGTTATTACTTGTACATGTTCGCTCAGAGTCACTTTGCCATTCTATTTCTGTGCAGTCTGCTCATCACATCGGCTACCAACACTAAATGGTATACATAACAGCGTCCAGGAGTTGAAGAACATTGATCGTCCAAGCGTCCTCAGAATAGTGATTGGCAAGCAAATGGTGGATACTGTGGTGAATACTGCGTCCCAGTATCCCGGACTGCGGTGGGGATACTCGGGTGTCAGGACCTGCAAATTGAAATGATATTCCAATACAAGCGCAAACCCCTGAGCTCCCCGACTACCCTCACTGCTCTATCCTCCGACAAGGCATTGTCATTTGAAGGAAGTAGACTTCATCGGGGTCATTGACCCCATACGGCCCCGCCCGGATGATATCGGCGATGCCTGATAAGAGCCGCCAGCACTTCTTTCCCGGACATTACACCTGCTCTTCGTCCAATTCACAGGTACACCTCACTGCCATCTCTACACCATGACCCAATCCGCCGTTAAGCCCGGAATTCCACCCGCCTGGCAAGCCAAATGTTCAGCCAAGCGTGAGGCGATCCTCTCCGCCATCCCCACCGAATGGCGCATCCCCGCTCCCATCCCCACCCCCGACGTCCAACCCAACGTGACCGGCAAATATATCCAGCAGTATCTTTCCCCACGAGAGGTTGAAATCACTGAATCCGACGCCGAGACCATCGTCTCTCACACAACAACTGGGTTATGGACCGCTGTGGAAGTGACATTGGCCTTCTGCCACCGCGCCGCCGTCGCCCACCAGCTCGTTCGTCTCCTCTCCCGCGTCTCTCCCTGACCTCTTGTCCAAGTACAACCCTGACCATGAGTGAAAGGTGCCCTGCCTGCTCGAAATCTTCTTCGACCGCGCCCTGTCCACGGCAAAAGAACTAGACAGCTACTTCACCACCCACCACAAGCCCCTAGGCCCACTCCACGGTCTCCCCGTCAGCCTAAAAGACCAATTCCACATTTCGAGAGTGGAAACGACCATGGGCTACGTAGGTTGGATCGACACGGTCGAAGGCAAGCCACTCAACTCTCTCCCGCCTGGCGAAAGAGACACGGAAAGCGAACTGGTCCGCCTCCTCCGCACCAGCGGCGCAGTGTTCTACTGCAAGACCAGCGTCCCGACCACCCTGATGGCCGGGGAGACCTGCAACCACATCATCGGGTACACATTCAACCCGCTCAACCGCCGCCTGTCAGCCGGGGGCAGCTCCGGTGGGGAGGGGGCATTACTGGCGCTGCGGGGCTCCGTGGTGGGGTTCGGGACCGATATCGGCGGGAGTATCCGCGTCCCCGCCGCCTTCAATGGGATCTACGGCCTGCGGCCCTCGGCGGGGCGCTTGCCCTACGAGGGCGCCGCCAATTCCATGGATGGACAGAATACAGTGCTTTCTGTGGTGGGACCGATGGCGACGACTGTTCAGGGAGTCAAGTTGATGGTGCAGGCGGTGCTGGCGCAGGAACCGTGGTTTGCGGATCCATTGGTGGTGGAGTTGCCCTGGCGCCATGGGGTGGAGGAGCGCGTACGGGGTGGCATCGCGGACAAGAGGCTTACTTTTGCGTTCATGGACGATGATGGTACGGTGAGGTCTCACCTGCCAGTCCAGCGGGCGCTGGGATTGGTAAGAGGGCTGTTGGAGCAGAAAGGTCACCGGGTGAATGGGATTGCTCACCACGCTTGGGTTCATGCTGACCGATGGCTTAGGTTATCGACTGGAATCCCCCAAGTCATGCAACAGCTTTCGATATCGCGGTACGTGCTGGAACCGAATCACAGATACGTACCAATGCTGAGAACAACAGATGCAAGCATGGCACATGGACGGCGGAACAGACGTCCAAGCCCACCGCGCGCTCGCCGGCGAGGAACAGCTGCCGGAGTGCTTCTTGCAGCCGAGTGACCACCTCAGCGCCGCACAGGTGGCTGCTCTGAACGTTAAGAAACGCAACTATCAGAAAGCGTACATGGACTACTGGAACTCTACGGCCACACTCACCGGGACCGGACGACCGGTCGACGCGCTGATCTGCCCGGCTTGCCCCTCGGTGGCTGTCAGACCCGGGAAATTTAAGTACGGGGTGTATACCACGTTTGTCAATGTCCTAGACTATTCCAGTGCAGTTTTTCCGGTCACAAAGGTGGACCGCTCGGTGGACGGGAGTCACAGACCAGGTGTGCCCTTGACTGAGATGGATGCCGAGGTCCAGTCAGACTGTAGGTATCTGTCTGGTGAACACAAACGAGGTTAACTTGCTGATGGTCACAGATGATCCTGACGACTGCCATGGCGCTCCTGTTGCGCTGCAGTTGGTGGGCCGCCGCTTCGAAGAAGAAAAGGTGTTGGGTCTGGTTGAGTACGTCGACAGGCTTATTGATGAGGCCACACAGAGAATGTAGCCATCGGGATGTTCGAATGTCGAAGTGTGGAACTTCTTTTTCTATATGCTGACGCTAGGAGCTTCTCAATTTGTATTTATTGTCCTCCTCTAGGTTAATATACTTCCTGGTATCTCATGCCAGCTGCACTAGTGGCAATAGCATGTCTGGAAGGCGAATCCCCAGCAGTCCCCATCCACGTTGCACAAAGCTGCTCCCTTGCAACACGATGAACTTCGACTCATTTATTGTCAACCGTCTGAGTAGACGACACTTCTCCAAGCAGCACTACTCGGCCTCTGCCTCGCCCTCCCCAGTCGGCACCGCAGCATATCTCTCTTCCCCCTTCAGCCACCGCTTACGCAGAACATAGAATCCCGCCCCGATCACCCACAGCACAATCAGAATGACCGCCTGGAATGGTGCAAACACCGCCCCCCGCGTCACCACAAACCCACTCACCAGCGCAAAGATAATCGGAATTCCCAGGAAGGGTTTGTAGGGCCGCTCGAGGTCCGGTTCGCGGAAGCGCAACAGGATCGCTCCGACTACCGTCAAGAAGAAGAACGAGTACTCTCCTAAACCGTTAAAGGTAAGCAAAGCTCGGAAGTTGCCGAAGAGAATATAGAAAATTGGCAAGATGGTCGAGAGGACGATAGCGTTGATAGGTGCATCGGAGCTGAGAGTCTGGTTCGAGTAGGAGGGCCGTCCCAGCTGACCGATAACTCCCAGTAGTTGAGGCAGCCAGTTCCTGTTAGCAGCGGCAACCACCATGCGACCCGCGACAAAAGAATTGCCCAGTAGGGATCCAGCGACGACGAGACAGATCAAGATCGCGGCGATGATGCCGGCTGCGGGGCCGAGAAGATGAGTTATGGCAGTCTGATCGCGTTAGCTGCGCGCACGAAAAGAGACAGAAGGTTTACAACGTACAACAGCCACACTGTCCGTCGTGGATACCACGTTCCACGGCAGGAGAATATAGTATGCCGCATTCGCGGCGATGAAGCAGAGAATGATGAGGGGTACGGCGGAGTTGATAGCCAAGGGAAGCTGACGCGCCGGAGCAGACAGTTCTGCGCTGATGTAGATCGCCTACCAAATTTCAGTACCTTCTCCGGTCGATATTAACTGTCACGAAAGGTCTCACCTTATCCCAGCCCGAATAAGCCCAGAGTGCACCGTACAAGGCAGTCGAGTAGTACCCCAGCAGTTCCCACCCAGCAACGTCATGCCAGTCAATCAGCTTTCCATCCGGAGTGACCGTGTTGCGATAGCCGAACCAGGGATTCTGAAACCAGTCTCGGGACCCATGGGCACTGTCGGACTTGACCAGATGGGCGATGACAACACCCAGCCCCGCCACCACCACCGCAGCGATGGTGACGAACTTGGTGCTGACGAAGAACCTATTGAGCCGCGTGCTGACCTTGGTGCTGATGGAATTCGCCACGCTGACCACGACAAGGATCAGAATTGACAACAGCTTGTGCGACAGTGCCGCAGCTTGGTCAGTTACGCCAGCGGCCGAGTAAATGCTCTCAACGAAGACGATGCTCAGAATGGCCAAGGTGGCCGGCATGACGGCAATGATCCAAGTCCAGGCGGCCAGAAAACCACAGAGGTCACCGAAGATATACTGCAGATACGGCTGCACACCACCTGCATAGCATCGAATCAGCGACTGGTAGAGGCAGGAGTCACAATGTCATGGTTGGATGGGTACCTTCACCAGGAATGGCAGTGCCCAGCTCAGCCATAGTCGTAGCGCCGGTCCAGGCGAGGATGCCACCCACGAGCCATACCACGAGAGCCACTCCGGGCGAAGGAACATTGGTATCGATTGACCCCGGTGAAGTAAAGATTCCACTCCCGATCACGATGCTGATGATGATACCGAAAGCTTCGATGGTGCCTAGGTTCCGCTTGAATGCACCGGGGCGGTGATCTTCCACGGTCGCACCTTCTTGGGCAGTGGCCGCATAGCTTCTCTCACCTGGCTGAGTGAGTAGTGGCTGGGCGGCTCCCTCCAGAGCGTCGTTGGTAGGAGGCATATTTGCGATGATTGTTTGGTGGTGAAAGGAGGATGATGATCAGCAGAAACAAATGAAGAAGTCACCCCGATGCGATCACGCCATCAGACGCGCAGATTGATGCTGCGTCTGCGCTGCCTCTGCGCTGCCTCTTCCCCGCACTTAACCTCCCTTCGAGATTAAAGTCAATTGGAAATCAGAAGAGGCCGCTGGAAGTGTCGGCAGGAATGTTGGGAGAATAAGTAAGGTAGGGAAGCTGGAGTGGTTCAATTGGATTGATGTTCCAAACCCATCGTCGTTGACCGCCCTGACATGTGACATGTGACATGTGACATGTGACTTCTCCCTTATCAGTTCCAAGTACGGAGTACGGAGCAGAGAGTCATATGACCTCCCTTTGTGCCTCAGATATGAATACCCTGTACTTACAGCCATCCAGGATTAACTTATGGATGATGATGGCACGGCAACTGCCTTGCTGTTCGGTCGCCCACGCAAGCTGGCCAGGCTCTGCTTCTACCATAAGCTGATGCAGATGGTAGCCCCGTACCATGGATCAGTCTAGTCATGTGATACTCTGGCTATGGACTGATCTGTATGTACACAAACATTACATTACTCTAAGTCTAACATGAACTCTAATGTTTCGCTTCGCCGAGGTCAACGTTGCGGATCAATACAAAAACGACATCGGGCTAGCAGCTCCACGCGAGACGCTGCGGTACTCGTGAACGGCAAGATGAGTTCTTCCCCCCTTGACGGTCTCGTCGTCGGATCCAGGATCAGGAGGCGTGAATTCTCCATCAGCGATGGGCCGGATGTAATAATGGTGGCTGTCTTCGACCATGCCCACGTGCCAGCGATCCTGGAGTTCGCGACCCGTGGGCCCTCCTCCGCATGCTCCGTGTAAGCGTTCCGTCGGTGGACTATTGATAGCCAAGGCGAACAGGCTCGAAGGCTCAGTGAAGTCATTGAGGAGGCGGCCGCGCACTTCGACCATGAAAAAAGCCATGAAGAGGACACTCGTCAGGAAGGCCAAGACAAGAACCACGTAGAAGCTCTTCTGCCAGTCAACGGCGTGACCAGACGCATACCCAGAGGACTGAAGAGTGGCGTTGAAAATCTGTTGCACCGGGGACGGGAGAATCTGATTCGCATAGCCGCTATAGTTCCAAAAGGGAACGTAAGGAGCATCCTGACTACTGATCATCAGAGTGACACTGGTCAAGACCGCCATGGCTTCCGCAACCGATGGTACGTTGGCATTCAGGGACGCCGTGTTGCTGCTGTTGTCGTAGGCAGGGACCATCTGAGTCAACAGCCGTTCGATGCTGGCGTCTTCGCCCGCAATTCCAGATCCGAGGCTGACTGCATCCAGCCACAACCACCCAACGCTCTTCCAATTGATGTCATAGTTGTCTTCAACAACCCCGGGGACCCGGCGACTGTACTGAAGCTCGTCTGTGGGGTCTTCACAACGGGTGCTCAGCTCGGCTCCGCTTGAGTCCACCTGATATTGGGCGGAGCACAGACCGGATTGCTTGGCTTTCAATGCACAAAGGACATAGGCGGGATTATGACCGGTCGGGGCGGTGCCCAGCAGATAGAGAGCAGATGAGTTCTCTACCTTGGCATTGAAGATGGTGTTGTACTCGGTCGGATAAATTGGGAAAACGGGAGCCGGGTGGTCGGTGCCAGGCGCAAATCCGAAAATCTCGTCCACCACCGTTTGATTTGTGCTCTGATAATATGCGGGAGCCTCGGTGTACCACGTTGTCGAATTGAAGGGTTCGTGATTTGGCCATTCCGTGTAGATGATCGGCTCCAGCTCTTCCTTCGACAAGCCTGCACAGAGAACATTGACTGCCGGGGCCGGCACGGAGGCTTGCAGGATATACTTCCCGTCTCCAGTGGCTCCATTCGGCTGCCGGATCCCATTGCGAGGATTGCGCGCCGCATCGTATAGCCCGCCATGCGGAAATGCAGCGGTGACATTGTTCACCATTCGCTTGTATTTCTGGGAGGTTGTCGTCATGTCCGTGACCTCGATCCAACTTCCCGTGACAGTAGTATTATCGTACAATGACCCATGCGGCTTGATACGCGTTTTCAGTGACGTTGAGGTTGCATTTTTGGCCTGCGCTAGCCCACTCCATTGTTGCATGTATTGCTCGAAGTCGTGGTAGGCCCGACCGACAATCTCCATGGAGACGCAGGTCTCATTCCGGCCGGCGGAAGGGTCGATGGCGGCGGTGATGGGAGTGTCACACTGGGCTTCGAGGTAGGTGGGGTTCGCGAAGGAGGTCGACACGTTGCCGAAGAGTATTCGTTCGTACACGGGGCCCATCGCCGACTTTGGGGATACTGCGAGTTTAGATGTGATCAGCACTAGGAACAACGGGCGGAAGATAATCAGTCGGTGGGTCTCTTACCAAGTGCTTCCGCCGCAGTGGTGTAAAGCATCGAAACGAGAGTCGCAATCAGTGCAATAATGCCCAAGAGAGTCCCCCCGGAGTAGCGCAAAGTCTCCCACTGCATGAACAAGGACCCGGGCTGAGTGATCCACATCCGCAGACTCATGTCCGAAATGCTGACGCCTCGCGACCCTCGACGCAGGGCTCTGCGGCTGAGCAGTTGGCCCACAAACGCTACACTGACCGTCACATAGGACAACTCGATGGTTTTGGCAAAGAAGGCACTGAGGAGGGTGGCCGAGGAGGGCGCCAGGCCACCGGTGTCGCCGATGAGGTTGCCATAGTACGGCTTGAGGCAGGCGATGATGAGAAACAGGCCGGACAGGAGGGTAGTGTATGTGGACAGGACAATGAGCGTTGCGAAGAACCACGAGCAACAGCGTTCGATGACGGGTTCCCGCGAGGGGCAGTTCATCAACTGGTAAACATCGTTGGACTCGAGCTCACTGCAGGCTGTGTCCCGCCGCTGCGGAGGAGAGCCGGGACTGGAGCTGGGGTGGGAACTCGCAACGGGTTTGACTCCCATATCGCCATCGTCCTCGGTCGGGGGAAGGGTGGTGTTGAGGTGTAGGTCGACGTCGTGCTGGAACTCGAGCAGGTGATGTTCAGCGGTAAATTCAGAAGCCATCCCTGGCAGATGGTCGAAAGGTTGATTTGTTTTGATCTTGCCTCATCCGACCTGTCAGCCGCAACCTGAGGGGGGAAATTAGTTGAGGGGGGGAAATGGAGTCGAAGGAGTTGTGTCAGACTTCATCCTGCATGTCAAGTGTTTGGGGGCGATGGAATTGGGGGGAGGGGGGGAGAGGAAGCGCGAGATCAGCCATCACATCAGCCATCACATCAGCCATCACATCAGCCATCGGCCTGAGAAGTAGTTAATTTCAGGAAATGGGGAAATGAGAAAGTGAGGGAATTCCCTGCGGCTGCGCCAGGCTGGTGAATCCCTGTAGAGAAGCAGTCAAGAGATTGGCCCAACACATCACTGGGGACAAATCAGTGAATTAGTCAAATTAGTGTTCCGGGGAGGACCGGGACTAGACCAGGGGACAACCACAGGACAACCCGAGGACAACCAGAGGACAAAGAGGCTGGAGCTTGGATCCTGGATCGGAGGTGGGAAAGTGGGATCCATAACGGAGAACGGAGACCTCAGGGAGAGATCGAAGCTCAGAGAAGAGAAGACGGACCGAGCGGTGAGTGGAGACTGAGTCAGCCCGGCGATCATCGCCCACCATCCTTGATTGGTCTGTTTGACTGTCTGATCATGTGATGGTGGATGCGGTGGGGACTTGTTGGTCACGTGCCTCGTCACTCAGAGCTCCACCTCCAACTTTCCCCATTCAGATTTGCCTCCAGTTTGCCCCGTGTGTATTTAAGGCTCCAGGCTCCGGGCTCCAGGCTAGAACTGGTCGGTGATTCCGTAGTAATTCTACCCATCCAATTTGTGACCGGTCTAAGACTGTACATCGAGCCTTTTATGATTCAATAGCTCTAGCACTGCTTTGTTCTCCGTCGTCAACTCTTTCTAATACATCCCGCCCAGCTGAAGCGGAAGATAAGTCTCTCCGTTTCAGCCGCGGGTCACGCTCGCCGCCATGGTTTGCACCTGCAAGGAGCAGTCACAATCTCATAGAAGAACCTTCAATCATACGGTATGTTAGAAGGTGAACAACATGGGAAGCTCAACCCGCTTGACCTCAAAGAGGTTCCAGCTTCCACACTGTGGCATCAGATCATAAAAGTATATGTACACTCTTTGTCTAACACTTTCCGACGGTCCTTCCCGAATAGCACAATCAACATTGTTTATTTTATACTCTGAAACCAAGACAGTGCAACTCAGACAGCCACTCTGTAAAAAGGCATGGGTTTGTCCATTTCCGACGCTGATAGACTACGTGCGCAGTGTGTACGCATGCCTCCACCGACCAAGGGTGCCGACCAAATGCAACGGGTCGTAGGGCTGTCGGCGAGACTAAATATGTAGCCGTACCTACCAGCACCAACCTTACAGTACATACCAAGCTATCATCGTGTCAGCATCATCATTTGTCTTATATCTCCGAAGCCAACTCATTCAACTGTTCTGCTCCAACAAAAGGGGAAAATTTCTCGGGTCTGTCGGCCCCCACGACCAGGGGGGCTGAAGAAGCACGCACACGGAGCGTTATCCCCCACACAGAAAGTTGAGGACACTGCAACCATTGGCCTCCTTTCCACCATGACGCACAAATAAGTCAGGCTGGGGATATGAGTGGACAGTCCTCCTTTAACGTCCCTGCAGTGGACTACTCCGGAAGTCAAGCTACCAAGGCGAAGGATTCCCATTGTACCTGAATCGCCCCCCAATCATTCCGCTTCTGATAGCCTTGGAGGACATTCATAGAGCTATAGGCGTTGCTATAGGTGCTGCGCGAGGCAGAATGATCAAGAAAGGGGGTGGAGTGTTGTGGATGCTGAAAGTGTATATAATGCCCGACTAAAGCTGGAGAAAAGCAAGTCTACTCCGCAAACAAACCAACATAACACTGCGATCATATTCTTCCGGGCAAAATGAAGTTCTCGATTATTTTGGCTGCTCTTGCCAGCACCTCAATGGTTGGCCATACTCACTCTACCTCACATATGCATACTAATCAATCAACAAGGCTCTTGTGACAACACGGGTGCCAAAAGGCTACACCGTCGTGCCAATGACCTACAGAGGCGTCATCACTGAGGGCGGCGACGAAGTGGAACTGTCCGGAACAATCGAAGATGTCCACCAGCAGATCAAACGTCTCAATCCCGACTTCAACGTCACCCAGTCTCTGGAGGCTCGGGAGGCGGACGCCGAGGTTCACCGCATCCTCCAGAAAAGAAACAAGGTTTGCCGACCAATGTCCAAACACAAATTCTAGAGCTACCTTTCACTGATACTATGATTTAGAGCAACTTGTTGTGCGACATCGAGGGTGACCACTCCGAGACCGCCACCTACACATGGATCACCAAAGGGATCCAGTATTTGCTCGCCTTGGACGGGGTGTGCAAAGTAGGCGCCGGCCCTGGTACCTGTGCCCGGATCAGCTGCTCCTATGATTCGGGTATCTACCTTTGCAATGATGTAAGTTTGTTGGCCGCTTCCTCGTTTGACTCGGGTCGTGGAGGATGACGACTAATTGACGAGCAGAATGCGTGGGAAATCGAGCCCAAGTGCTCGTACCTGGCAACCTATGCCGAAGACATCATGACGCAGTGCTATGATGGGATGTATATCAATGGCCAGGAGTTCGATACGGACAATTACAATGTGATTGTCGCCGGTGACCTTTGCTAGCAGGGCATTAGCTTCAGTATCGATGGCGGGAGACAATTGTGTTGCTGTTGGGCGGAGTAGTCACTGTGAAGAGCATGCCTGCCGTGTCGTCAAGCTTTATTTGTGCTGTACTCTTAGTCCTTTTGGTTGGCGTATGTTCACATAACGGATGTTGATTGTGCTGTATATATGTATGTATACTCAACCGTAGAATCAGCGGACTTCGAATATTTCATATACGGTGACCTCCTGGGTTAAACAATTGGTGGTTCAAAACCTTTCGATTGAGTACTGCTCATAATCGCAGAGATAGAGTAGCAGATTAGTTTTAGAGCAAAAATTCAGGTAGTAGAAGACTCACCTCGGAGTTTCAATGGAGGGTAGTAAACTACCAGTGCTCCTTGATAAGAACTTTGAAGATATAGGCAATTAGTCTGGCATCATTTCGCATATGAAACACGGCCTTTCCTGCGACATCGATAGGGTAGCGCTGGCCGTCTTCCTCGAGCCGGTAGAATCGAGAGTACTTCCCGATGCCAACAATCCCGAAGACGAATTTTGGCTCCTCCTGCTCGGGGAGTTTACTCATCGTATGCACCATCTGGATCATGAGATTAGCCTCACGGTCCCATCGATCGAGATCGTCGTCGCTGGAAGGGAAGCGCTCTAACTCCACATTTAAAAAGTCCGCGTCTACCCACCTGGATGATGTCGTGATGCGCAAACTGAGCGTTCCCCGATTGTTGACGGCAGACGTTGTGGTGCGCACATCGTACCCAGGGAAATTAGGCCCCATGTATTGTTCCGGAAAGAAGTGCTCAAGGATTACGAGCCAACATCCCATCATATTCATTGCGTTTACTTGATCGTCTGGAATTGAGTTGGCAACGCCGGTCACAGCGTCGGTGCCATCGTCAACCTCAGCGGAGAACATTTGTGGGAGATTAGGTATCTGAGCTTGGGGCTGAGCCCGGGGCTGGGGCTGGGTAGCGGCTTGACCAGCATCCTGCTGATCCTCTGTCATCTGCTCTGCCATCATACGCGTCTGTACCATTTGACCCTGGTCAGTCGCAGTTTTCGAGATAATGCTTGTATGTATGGGGGATGAATAACTGGCAGGTAGCGGGACTATCCCAGTTGGTCGTTGTACCGAAGAAGAAACCTAGAGGGGAGAAAGTCTCAATCAAAGATGTGGACGAGTACTTTATATTAAGCTTACATCTCCAAGGGAGGCCGCTAGAACTATAATCCTGCTGGTCATCTCCATGGGATGTCGCCAGATTTATTGTCACCAGATGGAGTATACCATGGGATCTTCCGCTGATTCATTGTCAACCGCATCACTGAGAGCAACGCGGTCTAATAGCCTTCCATGTACAAATTGATCGGAGAGTGCTGAGAACATGTGCATGAAAATACAGTGCCCCTATCCAAGCGCTACGATAGCAGCTGCACCATGTCCAAAGAAAACCGAATTTGTAGAACTACTATACACTACATACTATATGCTATACACACTGCATAAATCCACCCTCGCAACAGACAGACATCAATCAGAGCACAAAACCTACCAAGAAATCCAAAATTCCAACCTCAAGTATAGGCCATAATCAAATTGAACGTCCAGAAAGCATACTTGAAATCCCCAGGCACATTCTTCACATAATCCTCGCAAGATCCATACCCAGTCTCGGCCGCGCACCCAGAACTCGACCACGCCCCGCTCGCCCAAGTCCCACAGAAAGTGGTGTCGATAACAATCCGCTGATTCTTGATATGGGTGGACATATCACACCCACTCCCATTATTGCTCTCAAAAACCGTAGTCGGAGTTCCCCAAGTATCCGGATTCGGAGACGATCCCACAGGCCCGCTCGCGCCAATTGGAATAGCACCACGGGGGAAGAACCAGATGCGCACCGCCTGTGCAGTCCACTCCATTGCATAGACGCCTCCACCATTGTTGTTGAACCCCGATCCAAAGCTGTTGGTGCGCGGGTCATTGGCATCGCACCCACCGTTGGCCTCTTCAGCACAATTGTTCCACCGGTCTTTGGTCGCGGTCATTGCAGGGTTGGAGGTGATGGTGCATTGGCCCTGTTTGTTGCTGACATGTAACGACATCTGGTTGTTCTGGGCGTTGTTGGCGTTTTCAACGATGTCGATCTCGCCGCTCTGTGGCCAGTCATCGGACGCGGCTGTCATCCAAAAGGCCGGCCAGGTGCCGCAGACTTGGGGCTGATGATCTTAATCAGAATGGATATCGGGGCACGGGAGAGAGATCAGGAAGGGTACCATGTATGCAATGTCCGCCACGATGAGAGTCCCGGGACTGTAGGCAGTCTTACCGGTCAGCCGGACACTCTTGCGACCCTCATTGCCGACCTTGTTGGTGTTGTCCACCCCGAGATAGATGTTGCCTCCGTTGCCGATCAGGCCGTTGCTCCAGGCTGAGGCTTCATCCACATATTGCACAAGACCATTGGTGGGATCGGTCCCGGTCCAGAAGGTGAACTTGCTGAAGAAGTCCTGATAGTTGTTGCCGGTGTAGTTGTCCTTAAGGGTATAAGCTTGAGTGAAAGCTGGCCAGACTAGGGCAGTTGCTGCCAGGAAGAATGCTCGAGGTGTCATTGCGAGAGAAGTCTCCTAGGAAGGCTTACTGGTGCCAGCCCAAAAGTCAAGTCGTGGCCTAAGGTGCACAATATATGCGACGCGTCCGAAAACATTTCGCACGAACGGCATCCACCGTTATGCTATATACCTGACGGTGCTAACTCTGAGGGCTGTTCAACCCGATCGGGAGAATGGATACCCGCTATTTCAGGCCAGGCCGACGGCCCGTCAGTGAATACGAGCTTGATGAGACAGTGCGAAACACCAACACGCCGCTGCAATCCCGCCATCGAATAATGTGTAGGAATCCGAGACTAGGGCATCCTCTGGCCCCAAGAGCCTTCAAGAAATTAGTGTGATCGTCAGGGGAAAGTACAAAGTCTTCGGAATCCTACGGCGCCCGATTTTCTCTCAGGATTGCCAAAGTCAACTTCGCGTGATTACGCACCTGACCACGCGCAATGATTTCTTGGATCGTGACATGGAAATGTCACACGGTGAGTACGCATGGTGCTTCGGTAGTAGAAATGTGGTCACCTTCAACCTTTACGTGCATGGAAGAAGCCATGCATTGAATGTCATATCCGCCCACATAGGGCACAATGCGCAGTCAACAAATCCGGCCATGATCTCAGGCAAATCGTTATCATTCATTACATCTATATACCTACATACTCGTGACCCATCAAGCTGCCAAGTGAAATACAAGAATAAGCGTCAGCGCCAAACCCTCCATGCAACAACCTTACATCACTTCTGTCATCCGTTCATCAGCAGGTGTATCGCACCCACCAGCCCGTCTGCGCATCCTGGGCCATGAAGACAGCATCTCGATGCTCCAGAGTCAAGTGAAACTGCAATTGCTCTTTACAGTCTAAGGTTCCAACCAGGGCCTCGTGGGGCCCCGGGGTCTGTGGCCAGTAGGAGAAATCCGCCGCGCCGATGCGGGTGATATTACCGGGGGCGACGTTCTCCAGCACGCGGACCAAGGCGTTGGAGCCCGCAGTGAAGTTGCGGCGGGCGGGGATGGTCCAGCCGAGAGTGCATTGGCGGGCCTCGCTGGGCAGGGTGAAGGTCATCAGTTGGTTCCATTGAGTGGTGGCGGAGCGGGAGAGATTCAAATCTGGGGTGGGAATGGGAGAGGTGGTTGGCTCGGTCGGAAAGATCATCTCCATCTGTGGCTGGAACACCTGGGTGCCAGAGACAGGACAGGTCACTTGTTGGTGGTGGTGCTGCTGGTTGTTATTGGGATTGGGATTGTTGTCCGGACAACCCGCCTCCAGGGCACAGGGATCGACAGAACAGCATCCCCGGAAGTGGTTCAGATAACACGCATAGAAGGTCGTCCCAGCAATGCACTGCGTATCATCTCGCGGAGACAGCAGGTATGGAAGACTTGGGTCGGCCGTGGGGAGAGCCACCGACAAGGACAAGACCGCCGTGCTGGCAAGGAGCGCCTGTCGGAAGAACATTTTTGAAGGAATTTGGCAGGTCGGGGTGATGATGTGATCAGATAGGGAATGTGCCAGGCGGGGATGGAAGAATGCGAAGGAATCTGGAATGCAACAGATCGAGGGTGAAGGCAAGTATCGGGATTTATACTATGATCTTGGACTTGATCGCCTCTTCGCACCGCCGCAGGAGGTGGATGCAAGGTGCACCCCTCATCCCTGCCAAATCCCTGGATGGGGAGATCATCCAGTGCCCGACCGTTATTCACAGAGCTCACCCTGGCTTCATCAGCGAGATTATCGTCTAACCGGACAACGACCTGCCAGGCCCCCCCGATTCCCGGATTGTAACACAATCGCAGTGGCTGGGTTAGTGAGCAGATAGGGCATCCGCACACACATGCCCTGGACTTGGCTCCGAGAGCCTGGAGGCAAAGACAGTAAACCCCACAGTCTTGTCTACCAGACTGACAGCCAATTTCTGGTCGCGCCTCGATCGCCAATGTGCTATGATCTCATCGCGACACGTCCGAGACAGCAGTGACTGCGGTTGCGACTCACGAGGGCTCATTTGCTCTCCGCCTGCAAAGTCAATTGCAACCGGGGCTGATGATCGACGTTGCCGGGATGCACCTGGTCTGCAATCATGGTTCCGGTGTCGATTGCTCAGCCAGAGCGACCGTCACACGAATGTGTGGTTCGATTGCCTGCCTAGGGCCTAAAAATTGAGATCTGTCGGGAAATAGATTTAATTAGGATCAGCGACTGTATCCAGACAGCATATTGATCGCTTACCGAGGTAACCGTCCTTTTTGAGGAGAAACTCTATGGCCCACGATACGGCAAGTCAGAAATTCTCTAGATTTTGCAGTTTCTTGTGCTGAGGTCCAGGTGCGCGACTCATCCCTCAGATCTATACGGATTATCATCGACGATTCCAGTGATATGATATTAAGGGCGGTCACCGCTGGTGCGAGGACACCAGTGGAAGCAGTAACCCAGAGGGATGGCCCCTTCATTGAAGAAACGCTGCTACATGCGCCATGTTCCATCCAGAAACACCGAGAGATATGCCTTGAGGGAAAAGGCACAATCACTTCATGCGGGTTGGAACCAGGAACGCATCCGCATTGGGGGCCATAAGGGTTCCTTGATGAAGAAGAAAGGAGGCTAACTTACCTCGTTCTGTCTTATCCCTCTACTCCCCTCCTCGACTCCAACCATGAATTCACGTGCTCGGAAGTGAGCCGATACCTTCGTGTAGTGCAGTTGGCCCCCAAGCGCCCCTAGCGTCTTGTTTCTCCCAAGCGGTCCCTGAATCCTTCGCCCTACAATGGAAGGTCTTGGCACCTCGCTTCCACCCCCCATCCTATACTGATTGGGCATATCTCGCCCCCTAGGCTCCATGTGGCCATAGTCGTCAATTCTTCGCGATCAGGGTCCTAACGGTCTATTCGAAACGATCGAACACGGCTATTTTTGTCTCTCTCTATCGCCTGATGGAGCGGAAGTGCAGATCGGGACCTCAACCCGGTGACAGGTCATTGACCCCTCAATTGGTTTTGTGGCAGCCAGTAACAAGCCATCCACAGCTGCTCTCCTCTCCTGCGTGTCGAGACTTCATGAGAACTGCTCTCTGCTGGTGTCACCATCGGACGATGCGCACAGGCTGAGTGCTGCAGAAATAAGCCGATGGTGGAACAGTGTTCGAGATCCGCAGTCCTGCAGGTAACGTATACTCTAACCGAAGCAGCGGCTTTGTTGGAGACCAGTTCGTTCCGAGCTTCGTTGGGGCCAAAAGCACATGGGCAGAGAGGGTTCTGACAGCCACGCGAAGATCAATTGAGCCTTGCTGGCACGGGTTGGCGCTTCTATCCTTGTACAAAGGCAGCCCGATTTCCAGTGCTGTTCACATCTATCACCAACATTGTCCAATTCAACAGAATTACTGGCAACCAGAACCTTTCTGCATCCATCTCATCTGCAACCTCACAATGGCAATCCAAAGCACACTTGGTTTGGCCCTCCTGGGTCTGTCCGCCTCAGCCGTGGCGCAGACCGTCGATGGCTCCAAATATAACTCGCCCACCGGTGGTCCCCCTTCTAGCTACTTTGCAGCAGCCTCATCCCTTCCTGTTTCTGCCATTCAGTCGGCTGCCGCTAAGGCAAATGGTGTGCCGTCGCTGGCCACCTACCCAGTGAACACTGACAAGAACTCCCCTAAATCGACCATCCATAATGACTGGGTCAAATTCAGCGATGTATGTTCTCGGGTTACAGCTTACGGCAGACTTATTCTAACTGCAGTAGGGAGCGGCTCTAAGCTGGGTAGCTGACATGGATGTGGACTGTGACGGGATTGACTACAAGTGCTCGGTGAGCCCGTACTGTTCTATCTATCTTTCCCTCGCGAACAACACTGACTCGCAGATGTATTAGGGCAACGGGGATGGGCAGGCGCAGACCAACTGGGGCGCACTCGCAGCCTACGAAGTCCCCTTCATTGTCATCCCCGACAAGTTTCTGACCGCTAATACCGATCTCCTTCCTGGAAACAATGTTGCTGCTGTGATCTGGTAAGCCCACCAGGACATATGTGAAGACGACAACTTGCACTGACGACCGCAGCAACGGCAAGATGTACTACGGCATTTTGGGGGATTCCAACGGCGATGACCCTGAAGTCACCGGAGAAGCCTCCTGGCTCATGGCCCGGACCTGCTTTCCTGACGAAGGCTTGAACGGTGACAAGGGCCACACAGCTGCCGATGTGACTTGTATGTGCTCTTCTCTTCTCTGCTTCCCGATACCCGTTCGCCAGAACTAACAATGGCAGATATCGTCTTCACCGGCAAGGACGCCGTCCTCCCCAGCAGCGCCTTGGGTAAAAACTACATCACCAACTTCACGACCCTCCGATCCATGGGAGATAAGCTGATGGGCGCATTGGCCTCCAAACTGGGCTTGGCCGGTGCCGCTCCCAGTGAAGGGCCGACTTCCTCGGTGGTGGCGACAACCCTTACGAAGATTGCCTCCGCAACGACCAGCGCTGCGAGTCCGACGGAAACGGACGAGGACGAGTGTTCTTGGTCGGGTCACTGTGAAGGTAAGTCTCCTGGCACCACTGGGGGTAATTGAACTAACGGCTTAGGTGCCACTTGCTCCTCTGATGATGATTGTTCTGATGTCCTGGTGTGCGATAGTGGGAGCTGCAGCGCTGAGTAGAGGGGGTGATGTAGTCTCAGGGGGGTAAGAAAAATCTGATCTCAGCATATGTACGATGTAACTCGCGGAGGAGGGCACTGGAGCATGGGTTATAATTTACATCATTATCGTTGCTCTTCCAAATCTCCCTACGTATTGATACTGCCACCCACAGTCCCTGTGATAGAAACTCATAGCAACTGACAGGCGCATATGCTTCATGCGTTCAGCATTATCACCAATCATTGAATCTAGGCGCCTCATACGTTGCGAGGACTTACCATAGTTACTCTCCAGAAACAAGCTGTATCAAGCTGCCCCGTTCAAGACAACCTGACTGCGCCAATCCACTAGACCATGGTCTTCTTCTTCTTCCTCCACAACATACCAGTTCCTCACCACGGCCGTCCCATCCAGAACCGTCTTCCACACCTCCGGCTCACAAGTTGCCGGATACAGAATATAGCACCTGGCCTTTGGCACTGGCTGCCGCTCATTCTTAATACTCCAGGTGTCCCGCAAGCCGACCGTGCGAAAGTCATCGGTCACCTGCACCAACCCGGACGGTATATCCCGATCGAAGGTCGCTCGGTTAAAGATCTCCAGCGCGGCCCGCGGCTGATACGAAGGCACCTCATGACCGGCCTGATATACACGGGTGAAACTGAAGTTGCCCAGCTGTCTCGTCATGCCTTTCACCCCGTCCGAGGTGAGGAGCGGGGTGTATCCAGCCTCGGCAAAGTCCTCCGCGCGGGAGTAGGGCACCGCCAGACTGGCCGCTTCGCCTCCAAGCCAGTTACAGGCGAAGTCGCGGTCGCCGTACATCATGTGGACCTTCACGCCACTGTCGAGGAGGTAGGCGATGGCGTCGAGGAAGCCGCCGTGGTCGATGTCGATCGCGTCGACGAAAGCGTCGCTCACGGCCGGGGAGGCCCCAGTGAAGTTGACGGGGACGCCCAGGGCAGAGAGGACGGATTCTTGGGTGAGATATCCCAGCCATGCTGCAATTGACATCAGTGTCTGGCAGAGACAGTAGTGATGGACGAGTCACTCACATTTGGCCGGGAAAGGATCGTGCTTGGGATGGGTGATGTCGTACCAGGAGTGCTGGTCAATGCTATCAGCTCCATTGTTCAGACGCAAGAGAAGGGAACTCACGTTCAACTCGCGTTCATATAACTGAGGCGCACCCCCTGCGCAACCCTGCTCGATTCCCTCGCAGATAGCGGTGATATTCGGCGACGGGACGACGCCTGCATCGCGATCCCTCAAAGCCGCCCGACACTTGACCAACCGATCACGACAACCCCCCGGTCGCTCCCAATGGTCCAAGAGCGCTGCGTAAGTCGACTGGTTGAAGATCTCAATCCCGTACGTCTGAGCCACATCAGCACCGACCACCCCAATTAGCCGTACACCCCAGCAACAAACCTACATTATTATATCCAAGATGGATGTACGACTCCCCCTGCACCAACGAATCGATCAACCCATTCACGATCCCCAATGTATCCAAGTGCAAAGGCCTTGCTCCAGGCTCCGCCACCCCGTCCGCGACCCGCTCATTCTGCTCCTGGAAGAAGCGAAAGAATCCCGGCCCATAGTGACCCCCGTAACTCTCGGCCCACAGACTAATGCGATCATCCCGCGGCCGGTAGTGCGGGAACTCGAAGAACCAGGTCTGCACGAACTGCCATAGCGCCGGTGCCGCATGCGCCGTCGTATCCGCGGTGGAGTTGACCTGCTGGCTGGCAAAGGTGCCCACCAGATGGGTGAGATTCGACTCCGGGATATCGGACCCAAAATCCCCGGGCTGGATCTTGCCACCTTCACCGTTGGTGTCGGCGAAGATGGTCCCGTTGGTCGGCACGTCGTACGAGAATCCGACCTGCACCGGTTGGTCCAGGAAGAGGAGGTTGACCTCGTTGTTCCAGCTGTAGGGGTTGAGGATGGTGGTTTGCGCGTCCTCGGCGACGGTGCACGGGCCCAGTTCCTCGAAGAGGCCCATGAGGGAAGACCCGCCGGGGCCGCCGTTGAGCCAGATGGCTAGTGGGGCATTCTCGGGGTCTTTGCGGGATTCAAAGAACCAGAAGAACCTGCGTTTGAGGATGATTAGGTGATGGTTGGGGTTATAATCGGGGAGATCGTACGTGTTGATCGGGTAATCTTGCGGCCCGCTGTCGCTTTCGTTCAGGAACCCCGAGGGCAGGTGGACGTAGCCCGAGTAGGAGCGGACCCCGGGGGTGGTTTCGCAGATTCCGGGCTGTTGGGCAGAATCAGAAATTGGAGTTTGACTCGGTTGAATGGAAGATTACCTCTTTGTATGAGATGCTCACGCCCTCGTGGAGCTTGGATTGGATCACTGTTACTCCTTCGAGCTTGGGAGGGAATTGCGCGTGAGCCAAACCCAGCAGACTGGCGTAGGCTAAAGTGATCAGTGCAACCATGCTGCAAGGTGCTCATTTGCACTTTGATCAGAAGTGAAAAAGGAAAGGGAAAAATGCATTTGAGCTGGTCAAAAGCGGGGGGTTAAGAATAACTTGGTGCTCCGCTAACGCAGCAGCCTGGATGCGTAAGCCCTAGCATAAGGCGCCATTCGGAACTCCGCCGGCGAGCGATACCATCCACAGGGGTCTGTTTCGCGGCTGATAGGATGGTCAGTGCACTACTGCCTTGCCTACTAAGCCAAGAGGCTTATCCGATACGTGAGAAATTCTGATACTACATGTTGAGCTAACGGCCGATCAACAATTAAGGTACTTGGTTCCGATAGCGGATGTCATGCATTGACATCGTGAACTGCGGTGCTTTGAGCGATCCTGATCAGAAGAGCATCTCAGGGTCCAGTCTATGATAAGCGTCCAGGACCCACTTGGAAGAACATTAGGGGTCAAGAATGTGGCATATCCTTTGAGAAGAAAGTTAACTTTTTCTTGTGCTATATGTACCAAAGCAGCCCGTCCTGTGCAAATTCAGTAAGCTGAATTCGACAACTATTCAACACATCATGGATACCAACCCTTGAGGTATCCCTATAGCTACATTTGGTGCCATCCACTCACAGCAGTTGTTGACCGGTTTAGAGTTTCAAACAGCTAAGCTTAAATTCTGTTGAATTTGGCTGGCTGGAAAACGGATCCGAAACAATGCCATCCCGTCAGTCTGATGTCAACATGCGGCAGTTGCATATAAACACTGCATATCTCGGAACCCTAGACTCCAACAAGCACGATCGGGATGTGACTCGACCCCGGATTTGAAGCACACAAGTCACACGATGACCACTGTCCACCATCCTCTCTCTAGCCTTGGGCCCCTTCACCCGGCTCAGGCACCCACCATCACCCCCGCAGCCCCCATTGCTGAGCGCATCCGCATCGCCGTCCACGATCCGCACGACCACGAAGCCCCCGCCATCCTACACCGACCACGCAGTTACAACGCCCGCGAAGTCCGCGGTGCAGCCGTAATCCTCATCAGTGGAGCAGGAGGTGGAGTGAGCGGTCCTTCAGGTACGTCCCCTCTCCGCTATCAATTCCTCCCATGACTGCAAATAACATCAATGAAGGAATCTACCCTTCCCTTGCCGACAAACTCACCCTTCACCTTTCCATCCCGGTTATGCGCCTCGACTATCGCGAGCCAGCCAGAACCCGCTACTGCACCGCCGATGTCGTCGCCGCAATGGACTATCTCACCCAGCAGTATCAGTCCACCCGCTTCGTCCTGGTGGGATGGTCCTTCGGTGGCAGTCCGTGCTTCACCGTCGCCGCACGGGAGCCTGAGCGCGTCGTGGGCGTGGCGACGGTCGCGTCGCAGACGGCCATGACCTCGGGGATCTCGAAGCTCAGTCCCCGGTCACTATTGCTGCTGCATGGGACCGGAGATACCGTGCTTTCGGTCAGGTGTTCGGCGGCGCTGTACGGGCAGTATGGTTCGGAGGAGGGTAGTCGGGAGCTGAAGACGTTTCCTGGGGATGATCATGGATTAAGTCAGAATGCGGAGGAGGCAGAGCGGTTGATCCTGACATTTGCGGGGAAGACGTTGGGGTTTCACGACCAGTTGAGGGGGGTTGGTGGTGGAGATGGAGGACTGGGGAGGAGCTGGGCCGGGGGGTGGAAGGAGAGGTTGCATTCGATGCAGGAGGGGAGAGATCTGGAGAACGGGGAGGCTGTAAATTAGAGCCTGGCCGGAACTTGTAGACAAATTGTTATTAGATGACGTGGATAAGTGGGAGTAGTGCAAAGAATGAAGATGTCAATTTTTTACTTTCGGCTGGCTGGATATCTTGCCCATGGTGAATGACAACGCCCATCCTATCATCCAGTGAATTATCTGCCCGAGGACTCGTCAAACCTCACGGCTATAAGTATCTCATGATATTTTCATCTTTGGTCCTCCACAAACTCAACCCCAACTCTGCCCAACTCTCCCCAACTCATCCTCCTTCATCAGACCAGTTAGCCACCACATCGAGGTACTGTCTCTCACCTCCCACAACTGTTCCCTTCTGCCGATCATACATCTTCTGATAGTTGAGACTACACATATCCAAAACATCCATCAACTCGCGATGTTCACCCTTGATACTGACGAGGACTCCTCGTGGGTAATTGACCTGGAGGCTGCTCTGCTAGACGACCCGAAGACTGAAGACAGGGACAAGAGCGGCCAGTCCGCACGAGCCATTCTCCAGCAATTCTTGACAACTGGACCGATCACTTCGCTTCCATCGCCTACCTCAAGACATCAATCCAGCGTCCGCCAGCCATATCGTGAGATCGGATCCAGTGCTGACAGCAGGGTATTTGAGCAGCCAGGTACCCCGTGGGCGTTCAAGATCCTCATTATCGATCAAGCTATGAAGCTTTGGAACAATAACACTATGCATATGAGGGTTTACGACAGCTTCATTGGCGTTGCCAAGGTGGTAGACACGGCGGTTGAAGTCCCTCGTGTCGCCTGGTTTGCAAACCAAACCTCGGACTTTTGGCGCACGAACTTGGAGCTCTTCCCCGACGACCCTAAATTTTCACGCCGGCCGCGCAATGTGCTCTGTATGGAACGCATCCTTCCTCTTCCTCGGGCGGCTCGTGACGCGCTGATTGACCTCTTCTGCGACCCTACGAGCATCCCGGCTGCTAAAAACGACCGCTCTAATGCCGACTGTCTGGTTCACATCTTGCTAGGCAGCAAGAGTGGGACTGCCGCGCACCCAGGATCCTCGATAGATAGCCTTTGGACTGTCTTTGTCCACCGCTATCTCGAGACTGCAGCAAGGCTTACTTTGGGGACTCGGGCGCAGTGGCTTCCGCGCGCTTTCATCACAGGCGTGGAAATCAAGCTGTCGCCCGAGTGAAATAATACTCGGGTGCACGTTCTCGGTCTGCGTCTTTTGATGTAGGTCATTAGATGACGAGGCAATGGCGTTACGATAGTTGCTGGCTCCTCCTTGTGATGGGTTGGCAATCTTCTGGGTAGTTGGACATATTCTTTTGTGAGGTGGGAACGTGGTGTACCTTGTACTGTACTTCAGTTGATTTGATCAGACTGTGATACAAAGTCAATGTGAACCCACAAATACCATTCCAACTGCAGGTTTGGTCCCTTAGAATCAACTCCAGGTGAACCGATGCAGCCCATCCAAATGCTGCTACCCGATGTAAATCGGCTTCTTCATCCGGCTAAATGCCTAAATGCCCTGGTGCCTGAGGCCTGGTGCCTGAGGCTCTCCGCGGAGAAGAAACGTGCACGGGCCACTCCTCCTCTTGGCTGCCGTGTTGGGAATAGTGGCAGATGGCGTAGGGCTGTCGTTACGTAATGGAAAGCTTCGGTCTTTTCTCTTTCAGGTCAACCGGAGGAGAATATCCACCGTGTTCGAAGGCGATGAATTCTTTGTACAGGTGAACTACTCGGATACTTTTACTATCCTTGGCGATAGGAATGCAGAATACACGAATTGAGTAGGGTGCCAGGCGTATTCTAGAAGAGCATCGATCTAGCTCCACTCGCACTACTTACACAGTACGGAGTAGATACTTAAGGGTTTCGCCTCCCACTCTCATCTCCTACACCAAGCATTCCCCTCAAGTCTAACCATCTTTTCCATTACTCAATCAACATTCACAGGAACAGATCAAGCTTCCTTGGCATTCCCGACTCTCGATGCATGGTGGAGGCTCCTCGTCGCCTGCAAATGCAGATGAATTGATCGCTGGTAAGTGGCCACCTGCATCATCCCCAACGCGCAGCCCTCTAACTCCGAACACAGAGTTCGCCGGAACAGTCGACGACCTCGTCATTGTCGACTGGGAGGGCCCAGACGACCCAGAGAACCCATTTAACTGGTCCCAACTGCACAAATGGTTGGTGACCTTCGTTGCCCTGTTCACCACCTTCCTCGTGCTCGCCAATGGCACCATCATCACCGTCGCCCACTATGAGCTGGACGAGCGTTTCCATGTCAGTGAGGCCTCATTCGCCAACTCCTACTGGCCCGTCACCACTTGGGCTCTGGGCGGTGCCTTCTTCTCGTTGATCATTCTCCCCACGATGGAGGACTTCGGTATCCGCCGCACGTTTCTCCTTACGCATTTTGTTTTCATTCTTTTTCTGATCCCGCAAGCTGTGGCTCAGAACTTTGCCACCTTGGTCGTCACCCGGTTCTTCGCCGGAGGCTGTGTCGCTGTGCTAGGAAACAGTGCTGCGAGCGTGATTGGCAACATCTGGGGCAGCGAGCGCGAACGCACCAAACCGGTCAGCCTGTGGATCGTCGCCTACCTGGGTGGTAGCAGCATCGGGCCCGTGCTTGGGGCATCTATCCTCCAGTTCCTCTCGTGGCGCTGGATCTCCTACATGCAACTCATCTGGCACGCGATCTTGTTCCCCGTGGCCGTTGTCACGATGCGGGAGTCCCGCGACCTGGTGATTCTGAAACAGCGAGCCAAGCGACTGCGCGTGAAAGGCGTCAACGCATACACCCGGCACGAGATCCTTTCCAAGCCGCTCCTCGAAATGCTGGCGACCAGCATCCAACGTCCGCTCAAGATGCTCGTCACGGAGTACGTGGTGTTCTTCTGCATGCTGTGGTCGTCGTTCACCGTAGGCACGCTGTACCTCTTCACCCAATCGGTCGAGCAAGTCTTCGACGCCCTGTACGGCTGGGACCCCGTGCAGTCGGGATACGTGCAGGGCGCCATTGTCATCGGGCAAGTCCTGGGATGGCCATTGACGCTCGTCTCCGCCCGACTCTATTTCCAGTCCGCGAAACGCAATGCTCAGATCCCAGGGACGCCCATCCCCGAAGCGCGCTTATACATGTCCGTCGCCGGCGCCATCTTCGGCCTGACCGGCGGGATGTTTGTCTACGCGTGGACCTCATACCCCAGTCTCCCGTGGATCGCCCCCACCATCGGCCTGGGTATGGTTGGCGCCGGCAGTGTAGTCGTGGTGACGGGAATTATGGATTACGTGGTGGATGCGTACAGCAATTACGCCGGCAGCGCGATGGCGTGTGTCGTGCTGGGCGAGAACACCTTCTCGGCTTTCTTGCCGCTGGCGACGATGAACATGTATGAGACCATGGGGTTGCAGTGGGCGAGTAGTTTGTTAGGGTTCATTAGCTTGTTGCTGACGCTGGCGCCGGTGTGTATCATGATCTGGGGGGAGAAGATCCGCGAGCGCAGTCCGTTTATGAAGGAGGCGACAGTACGGAAGGTGGCGGAATTGAATGAGGCAGAGGAAGGGGAGGATAAATGTTGATTGTTATGAGGCATGATTAGATGAGATTAGATTTACAGAAATGATTGATACACCTTTCGAGTTACACGAGCTCCTGCACTACATTTTTGCATGTGTACTTTTGGGCGACCGCATACCATTGTCTAGCAACCATTCGATAAATCTATTATTATATTCTATAACCCAACGTAGGCCACCCCAGTAATGGCGCCCCCAATATCGGGCAAGACAGTTGATTTACAGGACCCATCCAGATTGGCACAATACAACGACCCTCCCAGATCACCAAAGAACATCCGCTGGTTCTCAACGTCCAACGCGATTCCAATGCCCTCATGAAGCTTGCGCACTAGGATCTTTGGTTCCAAATTTTGTTTGGAGGCAGCAAGATCAGCCAGCACGACCGCGTTGACTGTGTTCCCCCGAGGGGGATCGCCCCGATCCGTCCAGTACAGCGTCCCAGTCGCATGATCCAGCTCCAAGTCAATCGGCTCTGGTAGCCCCTCCAGCAGACACTCCACATCCGTCCTCCGCTCCACCGACTCACCCTCCTTCCTCTCGATCCCCATCCGGAAGATCCGTCCCTGGTTCCCCTTGGACGGGCCCTTCTGGGTCCAGTACACTAATCCAGCCTCCTCGTCCACCGCGATACCGACACACCAATCATAGACAGTAGGTGTATCCGTGCCGTCGCTGGAGACCGCGCGAGAGAGCACTTCAACCTCACTCCCATCGAGGTTCGCCCGCATCACCCGCCTGCCCTCGCGATCGGACCAGTACAGCTTCTGGGAGCGCGGGGCAATGGTCAACTGTTTCGGCGTGTGCGTGTGGCCCTTTGGAACGATGGTCACGATGTTCTGCCCCGAGAGGTCGCAGCGCTGGATAGATCCGTCATCGGCGGAGGGCACGCCCATGTTCGTCCAGTAGATGTGTTGCCGGGCTGCGTCGATGGCGATCCCGTCGGGCATGGTGTTGATCTGCGTGATCAGCTCCCGGAGATCAGAGCCGTCCGGCTTGCAGGTCAGGAGGCGGCCATTGAGTTCTGAGGTCGAGATGCCCACGTCGAGGAAGTAGAGTCGGGGGGTGGATGGTTGGGGCAGGGGGGGTCGTGGTGCCATTTTCTATCGCGGGAGTGTGGATGTAGAGTTGAGAATCGACAAAGACACATTGCGACAGTTGTGCGCCGGGCGTTATGCCGGCTAGATATAAGAGATAGAGACGGTCCACTGGGCACGGTACGCCGAGAGTTCATTGATTTGCAAGAGTATATGATATGGTACTAGATGAGTATGATGTCGGCCGATTATCGGAACGCTCAAACAGGAACGGAACGGACAATGACATAAGCATGGCGGATGCTCCGTCCAACTCCGAGCACATCTCGGGATGGACTCTTCCTCCTACCATTTTCAACCTCTTCCGTGAACTTCCAGGAATCATGGATCATTCCCCAAAATGATGTTCTCATTCCACGCACGCCGGCCGTCTCCACACGACGAGCCATCCCGAGACCCAAGACCAAAACGAGCCAAGATCAGAAATGCCTGTGAGGTCTGCAAGATCCGGAAGACGAAATGCGATGGTGCTAGACCAGGTGAGGAAACATTCCAGATATCCATTCCGGTCGCACAGTGGGGAAGATAAGCTCACCTTCCCTTGCATTAGTCTGTGGTCCCTGCTCCAATCGCAAACGCGTTTCGCGTGCCACTCGAATGGCCTGCAGCTATCGTGAATCTGATACCGGGGAGCAATCAGGTTATACCACTGAGCAGTCCCCAAACGGCTGTCCACAATCCGACCATGCCGACCGGGCGAGCTCGTTCAGTACTATCGTCCCCAGCGGGAGTCTCTTTGGTGCCTCCAGTGGGGTGCATATTATCCCCGAGGTTGGGAATCAGACCAGTATAGCCACCCCGGATAACAAGACACCAAATAGAAGTCCAGCTTTCCCGAATGCAATCAGACATCTACCCAAGCTGCAGAACAAACCCGCTCGACACGAACGTTCTAATTTCCAGTTCGTCATCCCTCCCAGGAAACAGGCGGACAACCTACTGGGTCTCTATTGGGACTATGTCGACAGTGCCTATCCGTGGTTGGACAGGCCATCCATCGAAAGTGCATATGAGACTCTCTGGATTCAAGATGGGGAATTGGCAATGAACGAAACGGTTTTGCATTGTCTTCTGAACTTGATGTTCGCCACCTCGTGCGTAGCCACCCAGGGGGAACCCCCACTCGTCCGTTATGAATCTTCCGTCGTCTTCTTCGACCGTGCCCAGGCGTTGATGTCCTATGAACTACTTGACCTTTATAATTTTGAGATCATCCAGATCTTGCTCCTCACAGCGGTCTATCTGCAACACGACAAAGAGCCCCAGAAATGCTTTCGCATCATTGGGACGGCGATCCATATCGCTCAGGAACTGGGGCTACACATCCCGGAGACCACTGGGGCCATAGACAACCCCAGGGAGCGAGACCTTGCGCGTCAGGTGTGGAATGGGTGTGTCATTATGGACAGGTATGGTGTATGGTACATGACCTTGACACGGGGCCTTGTAGCTGAACGCGTCCTAGAATCTGCTCCATGACCTTTGGTTGTGCTCTCAAGGTCCCTCAATCGGTGGCGAAAGAAGGGCTGAATCTGCTGGTGCCCAACGCCGTAGAGCACTCGTCTGACAGCGCGACCGCTACTCTGCCATCGAAAGTCAACTTCTATCGCTCATTCTGTCGACTTCATCACATCATCGGCGATGTCATAGACACTTTCTACGAATCCGGCGCAAACAAACCTAACCACTCTGCGAGCAAGCACCACCCGGAGACGCCGAGCGACTCATCCTCACTCATGTTTGACAAATTCGCCAGCCTGTTTCGAATCGATTCGGCACTGAATGAATGGGCCCGCAGCCTGCATCCTTTCTTCCAGATGCCATCGGAACTCCAAGACCCGACGCCCACAAAACATATTACGCGGGAAGCGAACATCTTGCGTGCACGGTATATGCTGGTCATCTGGAATGAAAGGAGAAAAAGAACTCTGCTGACTCTCTTGCGTTCCCATGCACTAGGTATCTCTCCGTTCGACTGCTCCTGTTTAGACTCCTGCTCTTACAGATCCACCAAGGGCGGACCGAGAACGCCCGCGGGACTGGTCTATATGCAGACGACGATCAGATTATGCCGCATGTAGTTCTCCAGTGTCAGATCAATTGCACCAAAGCCGCTGCCGACATGATCGAATTCATTATCCGCAACTCGCCGGAGCAGAAGCAAGCGTACATTCTGCCATCCAATTGGTACACTGTCTCATGTGAGTTGCAGGTTCCAGAAGAAAACAAGGCGTTGAGCGATCTGACAGAAGGCCAAGATGTATATATGGCCGTCACCAATTTGCTCGCAGCCCAGACATCTCCACAAATAGTAGAATACTTCACGGCCGCTCGTCTACAAGGCCTGTTGCAGGAGGCACGACGCATCCTCAAGGATTACGAAAAGCATGCCACTTTGACTTCACGATGTAACTCGGTCCTTGCATTGATTGAGCAGAATGTTGGTGGGCGCGAGCCGATAGTCGACTACACCCCTTCGGAGGCGGTGCAGGCCAGCAGCAACCCTCTCAACACATCCGGCCCAGATCTAGTCATCGACACACGAGGTCCCTCAAGTGATCTCTCGAATAACTTAACCATGATGGACAATTACTCCTTCGACTGGAACGAATGGCCCATGTTCTTTTCTCAACTGGACGATGATATACCTACAGCCCAGGGCTGGGCAATATAGCGCCATGCTCCCATTAAATCACGACATAGAAGGTTGCTATTCACTTGCACGAATCTGCGCTCATGGTAACTGGTTGGAGTACGCGTCTGAAAGGAATTCGTTATCTATGAAGGAGAATCTATGTACAGAGAGAATGTCACAACATCTTCAGGCAGATTAATCATCTGCCACTCTTCTCATCGCAAGCTGTCTGGCGCACGGAAACATATGCTCCACAGCGAAAGGACCTCAAAGCCACTGGATGTTCCGATCATGGTAGCAGTGAGGAACTGCAGGTGTCAACCACCGAGGCGTCACCTCGTGATCGCTCAACTGGACGACAGGCTTCAAAGTCTCCACGCGGCCCCATGGACCGCCCTCAAAACTGGTAAGCAGTGAGTCCGGGCCCGGACTGAAGTACTGGGGGAAGACATTCTTCCAGCCGTCCATCACGACAAGCAGAATCTCCGTCACGAACTGCGCGGGCCCGATGTGGCCCCACTTGAACAGCTGGTTGCTGCGTTCCACCACCTCGGGAGAGTACAGACCGACCTCCGGTTCCAGGTTGATCACATCTGCCTTGACCAACGAGCTTGTCACCCGGTAGGAGCCGCCGTGTCGGGCCCGGTCCCGCAGCGCCATGAGGGCACCCAACGCACCCACCAGCCCAGTGGTCATGTCGGAGATGGGCAACGGCGGTAGGACGCTGGTTCCGTCCTTGAAACCGAGGGAGCGGCCCATGATGTAGGACGAGCCGGAAGCTGCGTCTCCAATCTGCTGCCAGCCCGGTCTCTCGTTGTACGGGCCGTCGGGGCCGTAGCAATTCTCCTCGACGTAGACGATTCCCTTGCCGCGCTTACCGGCCATCTCAAGGAGGTCGTTGACTCCAAAGCCCTTTCTCTCGATCACCTTGGGGCGGAAACCTTGCACGAAGACGTCAGCGTCCTCGATCAACTCGCGCAGGCGAGCCTTGTCTTCCTCCTTGGTGAGATCAAGATCGATGGTGCGTTTGCCCGTGTTCAATGTAAATTGCAGGACCTGATGAGGTTTCATTAGCGCACCGCCAGTCTCAACGGAGAGGGAAATAGTGGCTTACATTAAGGTCTACCAAGCGACGGCAGTTAACGCGAATGACATCAGCCCCCAGTGAAGCGAGGATGTTCCCAATGACCGGTCCGGCGATAATGCGAACCAGCTCCACGACCTTGACACCCGCCAGCGGCCGCTTGTCGTTCGGGACCTTGGCGAACGGAATGGCGGGAGTAGGGATGGCGTGCGACTGGCGCGAGTAGCCGACCAGCGGATGCTCTGCGAGGCGCTTGCCCATCATCGTGTCGGCCCATCCCTGCGGCGTGAAGCAGATACTGCCACAGAACCCGTTCTTAATGTTGAGCATCTCCAGCTCGTCAGCCGTCCACTGCTCGACGTGCCGGCTGATATACTCGTACGCCTCGTCCGGGGTCTTGGCCGGGTACTCCGGGTCCATGCCCAGAGCCTTCAGAACGGGCTCCGCGTTCAGAGAGCCGTGGACCTGGTACCACACACCGGGCGTCTTAGTCTTGTACAGCGCCGTCGATCGTTGGCGCAGTGGGGTGGCCTGCCATCCGTGCTCAAAATCCCGATCATATAGGGTCGACAGCTTGCGCGACCGGACCAGCTCAGTCATGTCTTCTCCCTCGATGGTGGCGGCGAAGATGGTTCCTAGCCAGATCGCAGCGTGATTGGTGTTCACCATGACCTGCTGCGTACTGGCCGGGGTGCCATCGCGGTCCTCGACGATCTCATGGGCGACGACACCACACATGGCATGCAGGGCTGCGGCCACAAGGGGGGCCTTGGTGGGGCCGGGAATGACCGGAAGCTTACTGCCCGTGAAGTTGACGGTCTTCCAGAGCTTTTGGTCCTGGGTGAACCCAGGCGTGCTCTTGGCGATATACTCGAAGATGCGACCGGCATCTTGGGGCGCAGGGAGGAAGTCCTTATCCACGAAGGTCCCCGGGCCGTAGATGTCTGTGCTGGGTATCGTTTGATGAGCGTCAGTCATGGTGAAGTGTGGCGAACGTGCTAAGTGTCAATGAAAGGCAAGGAGAGATGTCGATGAGATAGGAGGCGTACCAACGACATCTTAAGGACAGATACAGCCACTATTATACCATACCTCGACACGGGAGCCCCATTCAACCGTCAAGGACCGTGGGCCGCGGGGCGCATATCAAGATTCTGTTCCGCGGTTCCAGAAAAGGAAATCCAAAAGCCCGGAAGCCCGGAAGTCGGCAGCCCGACTTCACGGAACGCAGTCAGGAATACCCAGAACGGCAGATCACGCCCTAATGCACCGTTACGGACCGAGGGATTGCCGGGTAAGGTCCGAAAGTGGGGGGACTCGCCTGAAGATCGTCATCCGAGTCCAGAGTCAAGCAGAGTCAGCTGGTTTCGGTCCGAAGTGCGGATTTCCTGATTTGGCTTCGGATCGGCCTCGTTTCCGTTGCCCTCGACCGGAAACCACCAAAGTATCACCAAATTTTGCTGCTTGTTTCCCCGTCTGACTGGGTTTATATATGGCTGTGATGGCTTGTTCATGGACAATGGGGCAATCAAAAACTCACATAGTTGCAATATGTCGACCTCCCCCATCAGAACCGTCGGTGTCATCGGCGCCGGCGTCATCGGCGCGAGCTGGACAGCCCTATTCCTCGCCAAAGGGCTGAAGGTGATTGCCACCGATCCTGCCCCAGGCGCTGAAGCCAAGCTGCGCGCCTATTTGCAAGAATATTGCTCTGCAGTCCCAAATCCCACCTTCGATGCCGCCACATGTCTGCAGAACTTCACGTTCGTGCCGGACATCGACCCGCATCTCGAACGTCTAGACCTGATCCAAGAGGTGAATTAGTCGCCGATCATCCCCTCAACATTAACTTTATCTTATCTATCAATCTGACACCGGTGGTGACTGCATAGAACGGGCCCGAAAGACTAGACCTCAAGCGCCGGCTGTTCGCGCACCTTGACGCCAAGACCCCGTCGCACGTCCTCATCGCCTCCTCCTCCTCCGGCCTCCCCGCCAGCCAGTTCGTCACCGACTGCACGAACAACCCCTCGCGCATCCTCATCGGCCACCCCTTCAACCCGCCCCATCTCGTGCCGCTGGTCGAGATCGTCCCGCACCCCGGCACCGCGGAGGAATACGTGACCGCCGCGTACCGCTTCTACGAGGGTCTCGAGAAGGACCCCGTGATCGTCCGCCAGGAAACGCCGGGCTTCATCGCCAATCGCCTGCAGGCGGCGGTCTGCGCGGAGGCGTACAGTCTCGTCTCGAGGGGGGTTGTCTCACCGGAGGACTTAGGTAAGCTTGTTTACTCCAGCCTAGTGTATCCTCACACTTTCTTCTGTGGATGATACTGACTTGTCAGATAAAACGATGGCCTCCGGCCTTGGGCTCCGGTGGGCACTCAACGGGCCGCTGATGACCAACACCCTCGGCGGCGGGGCGAGCTTTGCGCATTTCATCGACCATCTGGGTCCCGCGCTGAAGTCGTGGTTGGACGACATGGAGGCACATAAGTTTGATTGGAGCTCGAAAGATACTGTGGAGGGGTTGAAGGACACGGTCAATGGATGGGTATCGCAGGTCGATCTGAAGGAGGTGGCAGGGCGGCGGGATGTGCTGTTGGCGGATTTGGTAAGGAAGAAATTGGATCAGGAGGGGAAGTCGGGATAGGATGCATATAAACTGGAGGGGGTGGTGATCTTTCTAATGTGTAGCCATATGTACAGTTATTTAGCCTTAATGTCATACTGATTCCAGCATCAACGATCAATGGAAACATTTTTGTGGTCCATAGTTCTCTTTCGTGTGAACGCCTATCCAGCCTGTTTTGGCTGATTGCTAGAAGTACGTAGATAGCCGTATAATGGAAGGGAGGTAGCATTATTCACTCACAGAGTGCGAAAGCTGTATGTCTCTAGTAGGGCGAATGATTTGTCTGTCCCGTCGTATTCGATGCTCTTCTTACATCAGTGGAACGACTATCTTTGTAGCTAGGAAATTCAATTTTCTTTTCGTTCAACCAAAACCCTACTTAGGTTATAAAGGTAAAATAATGGAACGATCTGATATATAGTAGTCCAGGGGTTACAATGTAGCGCATCGTACCGCACGCGCAGGGTCGACGATTCAGGTCCTCTTTCTTTCCATCGGGGATAGAGAGATTGGGGTTATAGAGGACATCTCAGCAGCGCAAACGGCAATTGAGGGGTAAAATTCTCATAGCGTTGAATGGTCTAAAGACCATAGGCATAGGCCCGGATGCTCATCTGTCCGAGATCGGCCTGCGCGAGGTAGGACCAAGCTTCGAGGCGAGACTAAAATAGCATCAAGCTCAGCGCGGCAGCGACGTATTTCCATTATCATGCCTGGGTCTCCAATCTATAAAAGTCCATAGGTACTACCCGAAATGGAAAATGGGGCGATGAGCTGGGGAATTGAGGGCATAGGCCAGAAGCAGGCTAGTTTATGATAGTATCTTCCCCACACAGATCCCCGAGTCCCCGGCCTCTAGCCTTGCTTCAATTATTGCGCTTGACTCGCATTCAGTCTAACGAGACCATTGAGCACGCAGAAATATATGAGTTGACAAACGAGCACTATCGGGGAAGTTGAGGCGGGTCTTGTGTTGTTGCTTTTCGGGTTCTTAGGGCTTGGTGGATATGCATGCATCGGTGCTGTACCGTACAGTACTATCTCTAGATGTCAATTAGCGAACTAGAACTTTTTTTACTCCCCGAACCCCTGCAGTCTGAATCCCGATACCAAATTGAAGCCCGACTCCTCTTGAGAGGGTTACTCTCGTGCCTTGCTGTTTATCGTGAAGTCCCTGATGGCCAGTGAGAGATAGAGTGAGCAGCAGATACTAAATCCGCGGAGATACAAGCCGCTCGTGGGACGCCTGAGGCACGCCCCGCACCCTGGTGACCCATGTGGCTGGACTATCTTATCTGGAGGATGCATCTCTAGATTAGTGTCTCAGTACCTCACGGCCCAGTGGTACGATGGGGGGTCAGCCAAAGCTTCGAGAACTAGTACAGGCAGCATGGAAGGGATGATGATAGGCTGAAGAGCCGGTAGGGGAGAGCATAATTTAAAGTACCTCTCGTCAGCCATGCACCGTCGCAGCCACGTGTGGGCTGACGTGATCTGAGGGCTTACTGGCTCATTGGGAGTACTTCTTCCCGGGGTTCGTATCTGCACGACAGGGTGTCTGTTCGTATCAATTGCAATCGCCAATGCTACTCTGGTGTAGTAATGTACATCAGAAAACGCTCTGCTGCGTATGCTGATGATAATATTGTACAATTGATCTCATCTCCACAAGCCAGGATAAGATAGCCCGCAACGGACAAAGGATCCGACGGTGGTGTGCTGCTAAGCGACGATAACCTTCGCACGTTGTCCCACAAGAGGCCAATTTGCGCCAAGACGCCGATAACAGCCTTGCACCAGCACTGCCACACATCCCACTCCCTGTTCCAGCCTGTCAGCGTCCTGCCAGGCGTGGGGCGTCCATTCTTCACCTCCCCCCTTTAGCCGAATCGGGTTGGGGCGGAAACTATCTCCTGAGAACCCCGCAGGCACTAGGCCAGTTCGGAGGAACGGTTGGAGAGACCCAGGGTCTGATCCATCACCGACGCGGTGCAGAGGGTTTCGCACTTGCGTTGTTTGTGGTCGATGTGGTGAGATTTGAAACCCCCTCTTTTTTGAGAACGGAACGAAAATCTCGCTTAACCCTCAGCCTCACGACACACACCGCATTGGATCCGTCCAATCGCCCGGGTGCCCTCAGTGGGGCCATTATTTCTGGACGGTTCGGCAGGGCCGAGAAGGATCCAGGATCACAACGGGCTGCACAAATAAAGTCCCCGTTGGGCAGAAGGATTGCCAGTGGGGTGGGGTGCCGACGAGCTGAAGAAAAATAGACTCAGACAACGAGACCCCTAATTAGACCGCTTTGTCGTCGCGCTGGAGGACGTCCCGTCGCAGGCTTCGAAGCCAGTCGAAGTGCGAAGACAGGTCATCCAGGAAGGTGTAGTCCCCGTCGATGTTGAGGATTCGCGCGGTGGACGCTTGCCGGAAGTAAAACCACGTCCGGATCTGAGAATCGCTGGACGCGGCGGCGCCGGTGATGCAGGCCCAAGTGTGAGGCACGGGAAAATGCCGCAGCCAGACCTCCTCCTCCGTCAGGGCTAGCGCGTCTCGCAGGCTCCTCGCCAATGCGTCGAGGTACTCAACAAAACTGCACCCGTTGGCCCCGCCGTCGACGATCGTCTGGAAAATCTTGCAAGCGAGGTAACAGCACTGGTAGATAGGGTCCTCAGTCGTAGGCGGTGGCATTGTAGGAGTCGTTGGCGTGCCTTGGCCCCAGTGATCCGTTCGCTGGGCAGTCATTAACTGGAGCTTTGTCTGGTGAACGTGTCGAAACAGAGCCTTGATCAAGCAAAGAAAGGTGTCGGGTCCAGGTGGTCTCGTAGGCATGTTGAGGATCCGTTCTTCGAGACTGAGTGGGGGCATCGGCTGAAACTGAGGTACGGTGCTCGACCCCAAATCAAAGACGATATTGGACACGATTCGGTTCCTGTGGTTCAGGGGTCAGTCACCCGCTCTCACAAAAGATGGTGATCGCGGAAAAGATCCAACTAACATGTGGATGAGTGAGGAGATTAGGCCGTCTAAGCCCAGGTTGTGCATCCCGCCCCGTAGCAGAACCATGTTCTCCAGACCAGTTCGGTGCACTTCAGCTGAAGCTCGATCACCACCAAGATTCTGGGGTTGTCATCAGCCATTCCATGTTGCCAGAAGTAGGGAGAAATTCGAAATAGTCGCATACAGCAAATAGTGCCAGTGGGGTAATGGAAGCGATCGTACGATCGTCCAACGCGGTCGCTGGGTCCGCAAGACGCTTCTTGACCAGCTTGATCAGCTCATTGTAGTGATATAGGGTGATCATGCTTTGCTTCTGTCCCCGAGAGATATCAAAATGGGAAGAGCCGGCGAACAGCGTGGCATGAAATAAGCAGGGATCTTCCATTGCGCTCCGGAGCCAAACGGTCTGCAGCTTGTAAGCACTACACCTGGCGCCGACTGGGATCTGCGCAACACCGAGTCCATTATAAACTAAGTAATCCCATGGCCGGTCAGCGCAAGTCCAGACAGAGTTTGTGGCACAATCTTACAGTGTTTGATCAACTTTGGCATGTACCAGCGATAGGCAATGGGATACGATTCCGGGACGCTCGGCGACTGTATAGCCCAGGACAGGGACAGTTGATCCGACACGGCTTCCCATGAATCCGGACTGATATCTCGTAGGTTCTTCTTGTGGTCTTCAACCGCGACCGAGGCACTAGGTTTTTGTTTCTCGTGGATCGGGTCCGTGACTCGATAGACAGCATAGAAGCACTTGCGGCCAGTCCTGAAGAATCTCGGTTAACGCATCAGAAGATAAGCATTGGGGGGAGGACTTACTTATGGCACAGGGCGCAGGAAGGGTATGCTCGGTCGCATTTCCTCTTTCGCTGGCGACAAGACTCACAAGCAACAAGCATAACCTTCATCATTGGGATTGCAATGGAAGTGAAGGTGAAGATGGATGGGGCAGGGCAGGGCAGAGATGGGGAGTGGGAGTGTAAGTGTAAGTGTAAGTGTAAGTGTAAGTAAATTGGAGTAACTTAATCGGTGACCCTGAGCCCTGAGCGGGGTCTAGCCGTTTTAGTCTTCTTCAGCTGCATTAAGTTCCAAGATTCAAGGCTCTTCTCAGCCAAACTCTTCCAAGTTTCCTCAGGCAGCAGCCATTTTCTATGCCGACGTCTATCCACCATACATCCGCATACATCAGCATACATCAATTTAATATTCAGTCCACTCATGCACCCGCCGAATTGCCTACCTCTGCATTTGCCCTGCATTTGCTCTGCATTTGGGGCTATGCACCCCTCATATACTTTCTTATTTCGTCATCCCTTATGTGTCCATTTCCCAATGATGCCCAAGATATATTTTGTTGATAGAATCGGGAAGCGTCCGAGTGGGTGATCGTGACTTGCCAAAGTGCATGTCATTCAACCCTCGATGGTCAATAATGGAACCCATGTTTCTATTGCGCTGATTATCTGTATTATCGCTGTCATTACTCAATTCAATGGTTTGGTGTTTGGAAGAGTCTACCCAGGGTCGAATGCTTACCATCTAGGAAGCCTTCCGATCTAGACCAGAGCTCCAATTAACGTAGAGTGCTAGACCATCTCCAACACGTTATGCCTGCTCAGCTCATTTCAAGCATGATACGGTCAGATTGCGTATGAGGGAACGATTGTGGGATGACCTTCGATTGTTCCAGCCGATGGTCCTTCGTGAAGGAGAGCTGTCTGAAGGTGCATGCTAGACGATGGTGCGTGTAGCAAAACCGTCAGAATCCGAATAGGCAGCATCGCAGACAGATATTCGGTTTGGTCTGCAAGCTGACAATTGAAAGGTCGATGAGTGAATTTGAGTCGGTTTCGATGGTCGGAATCGCGGCTAAAGATGGTCCAGAGTGAGACAGGCCCTCTCACGCAGAACCTGCTCAACTGGTAGGTCCCCCGGTCAACTTGCCCCAGGGGACCGGGCAAAAGTTTGGCTTGAAGGATTTGACCCGTCGATCGATGATATATGTGCACCTTGACTGCCTAACCTCGCTTGGCCTGCGCCAGGCACCAGCAGGCGCTAGGCTGCATGCCTTATCTGACATCTTACCCCGACTTCAAGCACGTAGGGATATGGTAAGCGAGTCAGGGCTTTCTTCGTGGAGACACTGATCTACACTAGTAGAGGCTGATCTCAGGGCCTGCCACTGAGGCGACATGACTCATTCAAATGCTTGTTTCCTCGCCATCTTGCTCTCGAACTGTCTAGAGCCTTGAAGCCATTCCTGAAGAAAACGGATTAGTGGAGCACTAGCGTGCGGACTAGCCCGCCCAAAACGGCGATCGTATACATGGCCGGAGGATCGTCACTCGAGCGGCTCGGCTGGGGAAATGAAGCTTTAGATGCGGTATAGAATGATCGACGTCTATACTTGATCCAGGTTATACATATAAAGACGAAGATGTATTGACTGGATTTCCGTATCTCCTACAACGCCAACTTCCCCAAACATTGTCCTCAAGCAAGTCAGTAAGCTAACACATGGACCTCAGCAGACGCAGTTACTTACCAATACAATCCTCTAGATTCACCAGCGACCAAACACCATGCGCCTTCACTCTGTCCTCTTCTGTCTTGCCTTTGCCTCGGCGGCCGTCGCCAAAGAGTGCTCTTACGACGGCTTCCAGGAATGCGTGACCTACTACGCCGATGCCGACTGCCATCACAGTATCGGCAACTATATTCCAACCTGTGAGGGAAACTGCTTCCAGTTCAGCTCTTTCCAGGGACTGGTCGTGGAAGGCAACTTCATTCATGGCACCGACTGCATCGTGTACTCCGACCCAGACTGCCAGAATGAGATCGGTGTCACTCCGAATGCGATCAACCAGAACGTCGATTGTCTTTCGTATGGCGAAGCACAGTCAATGAAATGTTACTTTGACTGCTGAGTGGGGAAGATATCGAGTTATTGGGAGCTACCCTTATCTTCAGCTAGGGTTGTTGCGATGGACGGCTGGTGGGCCAGATACCGTTACTGTGGAGGAGATGATGTGGGAGAATGATGAGCTTACCAGGGCTTGAAGTGGAAAGGGTTTTAAGATGTACATATGGGCCATTGACGTGCCAAGAGTCAAATATATTCCATCATAATAGTACAAAGTCAATCATACATAATACATTAATCATACCACGCTCGAGAAAAAGCCTTTACTCATCCGGACCGCCCATCTGGTTCAGTTTCTGCGCGGCGGCCTCCTTGCCCTGCTGCGACACACCGGGGTTGTTCTGCGCGCTGTGGAAAAAAGGTCAGTGTATCTATTGAGACAGCCAACATGAGGATGGGGAGGATGGGAGCGTACGCTTTGAGTCCACCCGCGACGCGGTTGGGGTCCTTCTGGTTGTCACCGCGAAGGTCGTGCAACTCGTCCGAGGGCTGCGAGCCGCCGAGCTGGTCGAGCATGGACTGGGCATTCTGCTTGGCCTCATCGGAGACTCTGGGGTTGTTGGTGGTGCTGCGTGATCATCAGAGACGGCTCTCGTCTTTTGGTGGGTGAAGAATATGACTCACGCCTTGTAGCCACGCATGGCGTTGACTCTGTCTTCAGCGGAGGACATGGTGATAAATTGTTGTGGGGAATGGAGAATATAGTTATTGAGATATGAAGTTTGGGTTGCGTTGGACATGAACGATTGCCTCGGTTCAACCATGGTATACTTATACCTTCGAATGCACCCAGCTGCGTTTGATGTCAGAGCGCGTCACCGAACCCCGCGTCGTCATTCTTTCATCGTTCACCCAGTCTTTGGGGGCGTCGAGGTCAAATTGACTTTATTGCGGAGACATGACGAGCAGGGTAGGTAATCTATGCAGGGAATTTTTGGGTCGGCCCCTTCCCATGGGAGTGTGCATGGGTCGATTCGCCCATCGCCCGATCGAAGCGATCGAAGCGTAGATCAGGGTTGGTGGGTGGGGATTCTCGAACTTCGGCTCGACGGGAGGCGATCTCCTAGCCGTGCTCTGGTCGAGTTCAACTATGCAGTCACAATCTCTGGTACAGGCTAGAAAGTAATGAATGACTACCTAGTAGTAGAAAGGGCTCCCTTACCCAAGGCCGACGTCATTCGAGCCGGGGCCGGCCAGCGGCCCTTTTTCTGCCACCGCCCAAAATGAACAGTTTCGCGATCCAATTTTTCCGGACTGTTACCTCTTAAATCCGCTTATATCCGCGGTTTTTGCTGCGAGGTCGCGAGCGTTCTGCCGGTGCAGGCGGTCTAAAAAGCGGTCTCTAGCTGAGACGGCAGAACCTCACCGCTTCGTCCACGCCCCGCCTGCCTTCCAGCGCAGCGCCAAGCACTGTTCCCTTTGGTGTCATCGCATCGTCCTTTCTCAGGGACTTGACTCTCGACTCTCGACTCTCGAGATTACCCGAGCAATACATCTCTCTCATTGCCTGACAGACTTCAGATGTTGACTACCCCGGAGACCCCATCCTAGCTCCCGTCGCAGGATCGACCCTCACGCGTCTTACCCCTTGGTCCCTGTAGCGACAACCCTCCGCTTCATACTATGTACTGTACATTCCTCGCGCTATGCTAAGCACCCTTCCCATCTCCTTTATGGAAAACAATCGTCTTTCACTTCATCGTCTCCCCAGCCACGAAGCGCCCCATTGCATCCAGACCCCATAGCACCACCGCGGATTGTCACTGGTGGTATTTCAAATCATCTCATCCTGCAATGAATCATCCCTCAACAAAAAGGGCAACGTGCATCATAGAGCTCAGCCCTGGACCTACTTCATCCCCCCAAAGGTCAAGTCTAGTCCCGTCCGTAGCTGAGACACCCTTCGCCTTCCCCATCCAGGCACCGCGCCCCACATGCGGCATGATCTCGAATTCCAGAGGAACCAAACCCCTCTCTTCCCCATACCAGACACCATGATCATAAATACCAACAGGTCCGTCGTCTCCTGCGCTGGGATGCTGCTCGCCGGGTGACTGGACTCTTGGACCAAAGTCCGCACATTTGGTACCTACTCAGTGAGTATATGCCTGTTACTTACATCCACACTGCCAGCAAAGCAAAGAAAGAGTGACCAATGCAAACGTCAGATCGCAATCGGTATCCCTCCTTCTCAGCTCCCGCTCAAAATGCGCCTCCTTCACCAAGCCCTAACGGTGTTCCTCGCCTCCCTCCTCCTCGACACCGCCGCCGCCGAGCCCTTCTGCTACGAAGGCTCCACCCGACCGGACCCCAACGAATGCGCCGTCTACCATATCTGCGACTTGGGGAAGTTTCAACGGACGCGCTGCCCCCCGGGTCAGGCGTACAGCGTGCTCACGGGGGACTGTGTGCCCGAGTGGCGGTCGCCGGGATGTCGTGCGGGTCATAGGGTGTATCAGGAGGGGGATCTCCCGGACAACATCAACTGGCCGTGACTGGGTTTTCTCTCCTTGGGGATCTCTCGATGTATGAGTGGGGTTTGACAGCGTTCAGATCGTGATTGTCGCGTACATTCTTGTTTTAAACTCTACTGTGTGTCACATGTGCGCCCTCCTCAATGAAACCAATCTACAGCAATCGCGGCGAGCTCCATCCAACCCAAGAAGAATCAATTGGTATCATAACCTCTCTATACTACTGCTTAAATGAATCTATATCCTCCCCCACCAGCAAAATCTACAAATGGTACTGAGACGGGGCGCTCTCCTGGAACCCCAGGCGATTCCACCACCGGTCCACCCCCATATCTTCCTTCGAGCTGCGCACAGTGTTAGCTAGGCCCTGATGCACACACAGAAATCAACTTACTCCCAGGACTCTTTGATCTCGGGCTCCGTCTTGCCCTCCGCGAGATTTGGGTTACGGAACACGATGTTATATTTCTGACACCCTTCGTATTAGCATCTCCATTTCCAGAAAGAAGGAACCAATAAACTCACCAAGCCAAGCGTGATGTGGATCGCCATCGGGAACGGCGGGTACACCTCCTCGGGCTTCTTCCCCTCGATCATCGCCTGGATGTTGTGCGCCACCGCGGCAGCCTGGGGGCCGCCGGGGCGGGCGGCCTTGCGCAGCCCCGTGTCGGCGATGTCGCCCACCGCGAACAGGTTGGGGTATTGCGGGTCCTGGAACTGCAGGGTCGGGCGGATGCGGATGAAGCCGTTGGCCGGGTTGATGAGGGAGTCTGGCGACGAGGCGGGGAGGGAGCGGATCAGGTCGTTGTTGGGCTTCTGGCCGGTGGCCAGGATGACGAAGTCGGTGGTGAGTTCGGTGCCGTTGTTGAGTTGGACGGTGAAGGGGGTGCCGTTGTTCGGGAAGCCTGATTCGGGGACCACGATGCGGGCGCCAGTGATGGTTCTGCAGACAGGTCAGAGACGACAGGTGGAAGATTTGACAGGTGTCACGTCACATACTTAATATCCAGCTCGTCGAATCGCTTCTTGACGATCTCGTGGAGCCCCCGGTGGAACTGGGGCATGAGTTGGTCGCGCGACTGCACCACCGTGATCTCCTTTTCCGGATACAGCTCCTTCATGTCGGTCGCCATCTGCACACCCACGGCGCCACCGCCGACAATGACCACGGATTTCGCTTGCTTCACGTCCGCTTGGTGCTTCTGCAGGTACTGTACGGAGGAGACTTTGTCTTCGTCACGCATCGCGGCGGGTTCGGCGAGACGCGTGCCCGTCGCGACGACGAGATACTCGTAGGGGATCTGGCTCTGGCCCTGCCAGGCGCGGTCGAGATGGACATGTGTGGGTTGAACGGAGAGGACACGAGCCTGCACGACAGCGTGTTGGGTCGAGTTGGGGGAGGAGGCGAAGAGGCGGGTGTAGGGAATGAATGCTTTGTGTTCGTGGCCCGGGACGACGGCGAATCGGGGCTGCGGCGGATTAGTCTGGTGGGTGGATGGTGCGTGTCAATCTCTCAATACTTACGAAGGCGAAGAGATGGTGGAAGTGGCTGTGAGGTTCGATCAACAACACCTGTAGCTGGATTAGTAAATCGACAAAACGCCGCGGTGCGACCTGGGCTTACTCGGTGCGTGCTGGGTACTACCCGCGCCAACTCCTCTGCAGCGCCCTATTACAGTCAGCTTTCAGTTCGTCTGGTGTTGAGAAGCCATTGACGAGGAATACCCTTCCAACGTAGGATCCGCCAACCACGATAACATTCTTTAGTGTCGAGGCGGCCATGGTATCCTGTTGTGTGTTCCAGGTGTTGGAGATTTTGAGGACCAGAGACGACAGAATCAGTGATATGGTCAGAGTTGAGAGTAGCGTCGCGATCCAAGAGTTTCTTGAGTTTTCAAGCAGGAAGAACATGAGCAAAAAGCAAGTGCGCCGTACGCAGGCGCCAAATATATAGGCGGGAGAAGACTGAGCCGGGCTGGGGCACGCGGAGAGCTTCTCCTTATCTGATCGTCCGGGCTCGGTCTATTGGTCGCCTGCCTATCCTGGCCATCTCCGAGACTGATCGGACCTCTGACGGACTGAGGCCCGCCATCGGCTCACATCCGCTGCCGGTGGCGTCATCTGCCTGGTTGGCGCCGAGGCTCGGGGTTAGGATATAGTGAGTACCTCGGACTCTGAGGGCATGTCCAGAAGAGCGACGGGCTTGGAAGCAGGGTGTAAGCCATGCATTAGTTCTTAGTTCAGTCACTTGCGGTTTGCGCTCATGGGAAGGAAGAGAGCTGTCTAGGTGGTCTGCATGCGAAGCCTTGGGGCCTGAGGCAGAAAGCAGCAAGCCAAGCCAAGGACGGCAGTTGGTCTCGGCTTTAGCCTTCGGATTTTCGGCTTTACGGCTCGGAGTGGGGGAAGCGAGAGGCAAATGCTTCGCCTCCCCATTGAAGCATTTTGTTTGAGTCCGAGATCCTCATAATCGGGGGCTCGATCACCATTAGTGCCATGAGTAGGTCTTTCCACCACGAGGACAGCTCGTTAGTACGAGTACAAGTGACTATTGTGGAGAAGCGGATGGCAGCAATTATGATCAGATGCACCGGATGGATAAATATGTCTCGGATTTACTCCACTTGTTGCCGACATCCTGTAATTAAATCAGAGGGTCCGTCCTCGGGAATGTGGGGGACGAATATTTCGAGTACCTTGTGAGCATTTACTCCGCACAATGGGCCTTGATGCGATGCTGCACTTTGAATGTTCGAGAGTAGTGTACTCCATAGGTGTCCCACATCCGTACCACATCGCATGCGTCCATGACTTCCCCGGAAAGGCCTCGGTGTTGAATTAGGGTTCCCGAGCGAGCCTGGTGTGAGACAACGTTCGTGGTCTGCTACACGTTTAGCCAGGATCTTCCATTTGAACCTACCTCGATCCGTGGGTCTGGTGAGAGACTGGCCCGAACGCCCTTTCTTTGCTGTTTCCCTCGGAGTCAAGATTGTCCGCTCGAGCTAAAGGTGAAGAGGGTACACCAGCTACGAGCGAGATTACGTGCGATTTGCTCGCAGTTTCCTTGCCATACATCATCGAGTCCCTACTTGGTCACAGAGTCCTAAGTCCGCGAAAAGGTCCGCGAAAAGCCAGCCACAGCCACATTCAAAGCAGGAAAAAGAGACCGGCATGCATCCTGGGTTGTCGAAAAGGGTTAAAGGACACCGCGATCATGGATGTCACGGTGGCACCCTGGAAGCAGGAAGCTGCACGAAGATAACAAATGAGCAAGAATGCAGGTGCCGGGCCCCAAAGCAAACGTGATTGGGAAGGCTCGATGCAGGCAGAGTTCAAGCAAGAAGCACCTATAAGACGAGCATGTTGTCATCCCTGAATGGCTCCGTGCAATCACTGCTGGGTCCTGAGGGGTTGCCCATACTCAAAATGCCTATCGTGGGCCACCTGCTCTACCTGATAGCCCTTTGGTGGGCTGTCACCCCCCTCACAGAGGCTATCAGCTTGCCCCGCGGGTACAACAAGCCGCTGGCGCCAAATAGCGATCCATTCTATACTCCTGACGCTGGCAGCTGGCGATCGCAACCTCCGGGTTCCATCCTCAAATCCCGCCAAGTGACGATCGGCTCGGCTCTTTTGATCCCCAAAGGCCTTGCCGCGGGATATCAGCTGCTTTACCGGACCACCAATGCGCGCGGCCTGCCCAACTATGCAGTGACGACGATTCTGATCCCGTTCGGGGCCAAATTGGATCGTTTCATCTCCTTCCAGACCGGATACGACTCAGCCAACAATGATTGCGGGCCATCCTACGGGCTGCAATTCGGCGCTTCCACAAACGCGAGCGAAGCCATCATCGAGTTGACGGTCGGGATGCTTCCATACCTGGAGAAGGGGATTCCGCTGGTCGTTCCCGACTATTTGCAAGTGGACGCTGCGTTCGCCTCTGGCCCCACGACAGCATATGGAGTGCTAGACTCCATGCGCGCCGTGCTCCGCTCGACACACATAACCGGCCTGTCGGCGAATGCAACGATCACAATGCAGGGATACTCACAAGGGGCCTTGGCTGCGGAATGGGCAGGCGAATATCGCAGCACCTATGCGCCGGAAGTCCACATCGCCGGGGCCGCGATCGGCGGTATGCCGGTCAACATCTCCGAGGTCTTCATCGCCGTGGAAAAGACCCTAAGCTCGGGATTAGCTGCCGGGACTCTGGTCGGAATTGGCAATGCCTACCCCGAGTTTAGAGCGTACGTGGACGAGCACCTCGTCCCCAAGTATCGACCGTTTCTCGAACTTGCACGAAAAGAATGCGTGGCCGACTTCTATAAGATCGTCTATGGTTACACTGCCCAGCTTGCATTCAGGAATATCTCGGACTGGTTTGACAACGGACGAGGCTATATTAGTGACAACCTGGACTTGTTCAACGAGATCGGGGTGCTCGGACGGCACGGGATGCCAGACTTTCCATTGTTTGTCTGGAAGGGGACGGACGATGAGGTCGCGGTGGGTATTGAGGAGCACGATGCCCTGGTGCAGACGTGGTGTGATGCGGGGATTCCAGTTCAATACCTGCGGGTGCACAAGACTCTTCATACGCCTACCATTCCGCCGGGTCTCCCGGGGGCGCGGGCTTTCATGATGGATATCTTTGAGGACAATCCTCCGACTGAATGCACGACAGAGGACAAGTTTGGAACCGGAGATGAGTAAATGAACTGTCATTAGGGATGAAAAAACCTCGTCAACTATTTGTAGTGGAGTCTGGGTCCGATAGACCTGGGTGCAGGGGATTACAAACCCTTTTGAAGATATCGATATCATGAGGCCATGGTGCACAGGGTCCGTAGCCGACAACCCTACAACGGCAACAGCCACCAAGGCATGGTATTGTTAGCAGTCATGTTAGCAAACTGAATATAATCCATTTGTTCTGGACCTTCCTTGTTTCCTTTCAACCGGCTGGCTCTGTTGAGCAAGGCTGTAGAGAGGCTGCCTGGAGATTGCGATGTTGGACGAACAGGCAGGTGACAACATGGCTTCACGTCGTACGTACCACGCTGCCAGACCCAATCTGGAAGTGTGTCCATCTTCGGTAGTATCACAGCTCAAGAGACCCACTAAAATGAAGGTTAGAGTGTCACTGCACGCTTCAGCACTAGCCACTCGCCCCAAGACATTGATGTTCCGGCCACGGATCTTGAGGTCGGACTAATGGGGATTGCTCCTAATCTCAAAGCGGAAACAGTTTGTTGCCGATCAGCTTGCATCAGCTCCTAGCGTGGAGCCAATAGATTTAATTTTAAGGTCACACCTGGAGATGAGTCCTTGGGCGGAGTCTTCCAAATCAAGCGGCGGCGCAAGAGAAATCATGGCAGGCCACAGCATCCGCGCAAGAACCACGCTGCAGTACCACTCACGACGCCCGCAGCAGAAGAGCCCGCCTTCTCTTCTTGCTCAATGCCATACCCAGTCACGGGGAAACTACCTTATGTATATGAGAATCCGGTTGCAATGTGGCACCCAATGGGGGTATGGGGGTCCCCGCGCTCCTCACGCAGTCCGCACTGGTCCAAATCTCGATCGCTATAATCAGAGCCTCCTTCTCCAAGTCTCCCCCCATCCCACTCAAAGAGACCAACCCCACTAGCATCTATACACCATGACTTCAACCGCCGCGCCAAAATCAATCGTCCACGGACCATCCCATCCCCCTCTGAAGCTCTTGACAATCGGCCAGCTTCTGAGCGAACAGGCCGACCGAGTCAGCTTTCGCGAAGCGGTTGTTGCATTCCAGTCTGGTGTACGATTAACCTACCACGATCTCGAGATCGGGACAAAGCAGATAGCGCGTGCCCTTATAGCCAATGGGGTTCAACGCGGCGATCGAGTTGCCGTCTTCCTCGGAAACTGCGAAGTCTACGTGGAGATCTTCTTTGCTGTTGCCAGGATCGGGGCAGTAGCAGTCTTGCTTCACGGGACATATAGCCCGAATGAAGCGCGGAATGTGTTGCGGACCACCGGTGCGTAATGGCAGATGTCGTGTCCGGGGCGGTACTAACGGCCTGTCGCAGAATGCTCTACCCTGTTCATCTCAAGTAGTCTGGGAAATAGAGGTTCTCGTGCCTTTCTGGACTACCTCGAAGAGTCCAACCAGCCACTGGCTATCGATGTGCCATCAGTGAAGCGCATTGTGTTGGTTCATGACGATCGTCCAGACGGCAGCTACTTGACTTCGTGGCGATCATTTCTCGCCTGTGGAGACGCAGTGAGCCCGTCGCGGCTCGGTCAGCTTGAGGATGAGGTTGGTGGTGACACAGTATGCAGCTTTCTCTTGACGAGCGGCACCACCGGCGTACCCAAGGTGGCTATGTTGACACACGCGTGAGTAAGACCACTGTTCCTAGACCCCGAATTGAGGTTTGATGCTCTTTTTCGAGCATATTTGTAAATGACTTGAATAGGAACATCATCAACAATGCCTTCCTGGCAGGGAATCACATGACCCTGGCCGAGGAAAGTATTATCTGCAACCCACTGCCACTGTTTCATTCCGGGGGACTGATACTAGGACTCATGATATGTGTCGTCTATGGTGCCTGCATAGTACTCCCAGCGCCAAGCTATAGTGCTTCTCACACCCATGATTGCCTCTCAGCAGAAAAGTGCACTGGAATGCACGGCGTTCCGACCATGTTCGCTGCGGTCCTTCGCCACAGGCACCTGCAGCCCATGAAATGTCCAATCCGGCTCCGGACTGGTCTCATAGGAGGTAGCGCTCCTTCAGAGGCACTGTGGCTTCAGATCAAGAGCGAATTTGGTCTCGAGGGTTTTACACTCGGATACGGTATGTTCCCGTCCTATGACGATGTCATAAATTGCTCATTCATGATTCATGTAGGAATGACCGAGACATCGGGTGGTGTCTTCGTGTCCAAGCCAGAGATCGCAGATGCGACCCGAATGCCACGCTCCCTGGTGATTTTGCCCCACACGAGCGCAAAGGTGGTTGACAGCCGGGGCGATATCGTGACGGTCGGACAACGCGGCGAGCTCTGTGTTTCGGGTTATCTTGTACAGAAGGGATATTTCAAGAACGAAGAGAAGACGCGTGCGGCCATGGCTCATGACGAGAACGGTACACTGTGGATGCGGACGGGCGATGAAACATTTTTCGACTGCGAGGGAAACTGCTGTGTCACCGGTCGCATCAAAGACATTATCATCCGAGGTAGAGGTCCCATCACTGGATTGGGTGTCCGGTAATGCTAACCGGGCAACAGGAGGAGAGAACCTATACCCAACTGAAATTGAGGATCGGTTGAGCGAGCACCCCTCCGTGCAAGGGGCTTGTGTGGTTGGGCTGCCGGACGACTACCTGGGCCAGGTGGTTGCGGCTTTCATGCAGCAGGAACCAGGAACAGAACGACCATCTGATGAGGAGCTGGCTGTCTGGGTCCGCAGCACTCTGAGTTACCATAAGGCTCCGACTCGGGTCTTCTGGCTTGGAGATGATGATCTACCCCAGGATTTCCCGCTGTTGGGAAGTGGCAAGATTCGCAAGAACGTGCTCGAGCAGTTTGGATGTCAGAAACTGCGTGTAGAAACTGCGTGCAAGGAATGCATTGGATGCTCCGATGCTTAGTGGTGTAGTCTTGTGGACGAAGAGGACGAAGAGGACGAAGAGGACGAAGGGGCCCTGGGGTAGGTAAGCAGCAGGGAGCATATCTTTGGGTCGTTTTGGAGTAGTTCTCAATACCCCTCTCTGAGGAACGAAAGTGCTGTGTCCACAAGTGTGGAGTAGATCAAGCGCGAAAGGCCGTAAGCACTAGATTAAATTTACTTCCCCTTACGACAACTGCAGCTGAAGGATGCCTACTTAGCCCTAGTTAGTAATTTCACTTATGCAGCATCTGCGCTAAGAAGGCTAGGCTCCGCCTCATCTTGACACACCCCTCCATGCCTCAAATTCCTGTTCTCCCTCGCAGGCCTAGGCTGCCACCATCCATTATTCGTGTTCCTATTTCCGCTGCCTAGTCGACTCTGTTTCATATGAGTGAGAGTAGCGATACCTCCGGCCCTGGCCAATCCACTCTCGTGCCACGACGAAGAGCTGGAGGTAAGAGATCAGTCACAGGCTGTCGCACTTGTCGGTGAGTCTGCATCATACATTCCCCCCCACACGCAGTATTCATCGACCCGACTTCTCATATACCACCAATAGAGCCCGTCACAAGAAATGCGACGAAGCCCCCGGGGCGTGTAACAACTGCACATCCACCGGTAGGCGTTGCGATGGGTATGACCAGCATCGTTTACCCCGTGCAAGCAAGACCAATACGCCACTTCAAACCCAATTCAAGATCATGCCAGGCCTAGCCGGGGGAGTGCACTGGATGATGAACCGAGAGGAACAACGGTGTTTCTCGTTCTTCCACCTTCGCACCATGCCCGCGATGGTGGGCTTCTTCGACTCCGCCCTGTGGCAGCAATTGATCCTTCAGATGGGTCACGAGGAACCCGCGGTCTATCACGCCATCGTTGCTCTAAGTGCGCTCCATCAAAATTCTGAGAGTCAAGGGATGCCGTTGTCCAAGGAAGACCTGGGAAATTCCTGGCATCGGTTCGCATTGGAGCAGTCCATGCGCTCGTTCTCGCTTCTCCATACCCGCCGAGCATCCCACGACCCTCGGCTGCGGGATGTCACCTTGCTATGCTGCTTGGTCTTTGTGCTCTTGGAATGGCTGCGGGGTCAGTATGACAAGGCTTTCGGGCATCTTCGTAATGGGATCCAAATCCTTAATGAGCTTGGCGTGATGGTGACAGATGAGTCGGGTGCGCGTGCGCCACCGGTAGAGCGGGACCTAGTCATTGCTTTCGCTCACTTGGACATTCAGTCTGCCCAGTTTGGCGAGACAAGTTCACTTATGGAAGGCAATGCTGGGCAGGCTGTCGCGACGTCGCAAATAGATGGCACACGCACATTTCGGAACGTCTCTGGTGCGCGCGAAGCACTCAACCACATTCTCGAACCGGTTTTCAAGTTTACAAACTCCGCACAGGCCCTGTCGCATGAACAGGTCGCGATGCAGTACGAGTCTCTCTACCAAGAGCAGATCAGACGCTGCGCAGAAGTGAACGAGTTTGCTCAAACCTTCAACCACTTCCGTGCCACACGATATTACGAGCTGAGCGCGAAAGAGCAACGCGGTGCAGATGTCATTCACCTCCATCAGACAACAACATCGTTGAATCTCGAGACCTGTCTACTGGACAGCAATGACCCCCTGCTGGACACTTATACTTCTAGATTCGAGCATCTCCTGGCTTGTGTTGAGGAAGTGACCGACAAGTTTCCTGACCGACCTAGTGTTTGCATGGACATGGGCGTCATTCCGCCGCTCTTCTTCATAGCCACCGGATGTCGGAGTTATCGAGTTCGCGAACAGGCGATTGAAGCTCTACAATCCTGGCCGCATCGTGAAGGACCATGGGACTCGAATCTAGCTGCTCGTATCGCTACCGAGATCATGAAAGTGGAGTCTATGACTGGTTCGATGCCGCCGAGTGGGGATACAGAGGAACTTGCAAGCAAACCTGCAAATAATACTGCGGGGCCGCGTGGGGTATCTGTGACTATTACTGAGGATCAAGATCATGCGCGGTTGTCATATTATGTGGGCAATGAGCGGAATGAACGGTGGTTTAAGCTTGACAGAGCGTGAGATGATGTACCGTATGTGCGGATAGATAGGAAAAGAAGCCGAAGCAGTGGGTGATCGGCATCTCACCGCTCAGCTGGCAAGGCTTTCTGCCTGATCAGCCAGGCGGTGGCAGAATACGCGATAAGACCTCCACTGATAAGCTATCGGCCCTCCGGATCAATAGATGTTCCGCCGCTCACATGGAATTTTTTGGAAATCCTCCCGGCGATGCGCAGGGCAACACCCCAGAGCTTCATGAGTCGCGACCCTTCTCTCAACCATCCGCTGTCCTCTAATTCCCTCCAAGGCCCTCGTCTTCCCCAGAAAGCACAGCTCAACACCCACAATGGGCAAATCTGCCAAAGATGCCTCACCAGAGGCGGAGGCGACCCCGGTCGCCGACACCGAACTCGAGTCAACCACGAAGCTTGCAGAAACATTCCAGGAGTTGGGAGTCATCGACTCCCTGTGTGAGGCCTGCGACTCGTTAGGCTTCAAGAAGCCCACTCCCATTCAGGCCCGTTGTATCCCCATCGCTTTAGAAGGACGTGATCTGATCGGTCTCGCTGAGACGGGAAGTGGTAAAACGGCCGCATTTGTGCTCCCGATCCTGCAAGCACTGATGGACAAACCTCAAACACTGCACTCCCTTATCGTCGCACCCACTCGAGAACTGGCGCAGCAGATCGCCCAAACCGTGGAAGCCCTGGGGTCGCTGATCTCCGTGCGATGTACACTTCTGATCGGTGGTATGGACATGGTGTCGCAAGCGATGGCGCTGGGCAAGAAACCGCATGTCATCGTGGCGACGCCGGGACGTCTGTTGGATCACTTGGAAAACACGAAGGGCTTCTCGCTGAAGAATCTGAAATACTTGGTGCTGGATGAGGCCGATCGACTTCTCGACCTAGACTTCGGTCCTATCCTCGACAAGCTTCTCCGCCTCTTGCCCCGCAGAAAGACCTACCTGTTCTCTGCGACCATGTCCAACAAGGTCGAATCCCTCCAAAGGGCGTCGCTGTCCGATCCCGTTCGCGTTTCCGTATCCGCCAAGAACCAGACCGCCACGAATCTCTCCCAGTCCTACATGTTCATCCCACACAAATTCAAAGACGTCTACCTGGTCCACCTGCTGAACGAGCGCGCGGGGCAACTCGGCATTATCTTCACACGCACTGTGCACGAAACCCAGCGCCTGGCCTTCCTGCTGCGCAACCTCGGCTTTGGCGCCATCCCTATCCACGGCCAACTTTCGCAGAGCGCTCGTTTGGCGTCATTGAGCAAGTTCCGCGCCCGGTCGCGCAATCTCCTGCTGGCCACGGACGTTGCGGCGCGTGGTTTGGATATTCCCGCCGTTGACTTCGTTCTCAACTACGATCTGCCCCAGGACAGCAAGACCTACATCCACCGTGTGGGTCGAACGGCTCGTGCCGGCAAGAGCGGTATTGCCATTTCCTTTGTCACTCAGTATGAAGTCGAGGTATGGCTGCGGATCGAGGGCGTCTTGAACAAGAAGCTGGACGAGTACAAGCCGGAGAAGGACGAGGTCATGGTGTTCAGCGACCGAGTGAACGAGGCACAGCGACAAGCGGCCATGGCTATGCGGGACTTGCAGGATAAGGACACGAAGGGTCGGGGCGGACGGGGGAAGAAGAGGAACAGAGATGATATGGACCGTGAGGAGGCTTAGGGGGGATAATCTCGTCCGGGCGGACTGGTGAGAATTTGTGCATAATGAAAAAGGTGTATTGTCTGCAGCTTAACCTAGAGCGAAAAAGTTTCCATAATTCGAGATGAACTATACGACCCACATCGTGCCGACCGTCCCCGCAGTAGTATATTCAGCATCATCACCACCACCATCAGCTTCTGTGGTGCGATAGTCTTGCTGGAGGTTTCTGTTATTGCCTGCTTGTTCCTAAGGCGCTTCCATCAGAAAAGATTTCGATGATGCATTTTTAAATCGCTCGTCTTTACAGCTTGATCGTCATTGGAATAACGATACGGTCTCAAATCATCAGTTTATATATTCATTATCGTTACGTCTATCATTATCTAGTGGCTTCAAACCATCCTAGCCTTCAATCTTCTTTCTCCCCCCAATCAATGCTGGAAGATCTTCCACCTTAGCAGTGCCCTCGAGGATATCTGTGACAGGTCAGCACTAACCACCCCGCACAAGCGCCTGGGTAGGAAACATACCATGGACTGCGACGAACAAGGGGAATTCCTTGAGCTTGCCCTGCTTCTCGAGGAACTCATAGATATCGTACGCGGTGGACGTGCCCTGCAGCTTCTGTCCGTTGAGCTCCTTCTCCTCGATCTCCTTGACACTGACCCCCTGCTCCACTGCGTGGCAGGCCGACCGGTAATTCCGACCGGCATTGCAGGAGGAGACCAGATCGGCCATTCCGGCGCTCTCCTCGGTGAACGTCCGCTCCTCGACGGACTTGGGGAACCAGGTGCGGCCGAACTTGACCATCTCGAGGACGCCGACACGCATAATGGCGGCCTTGGCATTCTCCCCCCAGCCCTTGCCGGCGACAAAGCCCGACGCGAGGGCGATGATGTTCTTCAGCGCGCCGCCGAGCGCCACGCCGGCGACATCGCGCACGTGGTGCACGTGGAAATAGGGCCGCGCGAACAGCGTCTCGAGCAGCTCGGCGCCGACGTGCGGCAGCTCCGGCGGCACGGGGGTGAGCTTGACGTGCGTGGGTTTCGTCTTGCACTGCCGTTGCTCGTCGATCTTGATCAGATTGGCATCCTCCGAGTCATCCTGCTGCTTCAAATCCATCGGCGGCACATCGTAGCCGATGGTCGTCTCGCAGAACTTCTCCGCGGCGACCTCGGGCGCGATGTTGGCCCCCGACAGCGCCCCGCAGTAGATCCCTAGCCGTTCCATGATCAGCTCGGAGTGCAGCGTGACCGTCCCATCGGAGACGTCGACCCCCTTGATGCAGGAGACGGCGCGCGCGTAGGGCAGGATGTTGCCCGCGATCCCGTCGAGCGTCTTGCCGATGAACTGGTGCGGCAGGTTGAAGACGAGCAGCGTGGCATCCTTGACGGTGGACTTGAGGTCCGGGTCCGCCACCACGTTCTCCGGCAGGGCGATGTCCGGCAGGTACTTCACATTCTCGTGGACCTGGTTGATCACCTCGGTGAGTTTGCGCTTCTGGCTGCCCAGTTTGCTGTGGTGTTTGGAGGACTCAGGGATTTCGATGTCTTCGTCAAAGACCCACATGCGCACCTCCTTTTCGAAGAGGTCGGGGTGTTCTTGAGTGTTTTCGGCGATGATCTTGGCGATGGTCGAGCCCCTGGTTGAGGAAGTGTGTGTCAGTGATGTCAGGAGGATGGGGAGGGGTTGTTCGTACCAGTTTCCTGAGCCGACCACGGCGACCTTGTGCTTTCTAGTGTGACCTGTCATGTTGCTTGAGCTCGTAGAGAATGTCGACAATATAGATGCTGAACCGAAGAGTTCAGTGAAGAGTTCAGAAGAAGAGAATCCATGGCCGAATGGTTTATAGATCTGGCTGGGAGCGAAGGCCGCGGCAGATTCCAGGGCGGTGACGTTGATGGTTGCTGGGAGAAGGAGGACGTCATCGTGACTTTCTCTCTTTTCCCCCACTCCTTCTTTTCCTCAACCTGTTCGACAGCCTTGATCCTTGATTTCCTTGACTGGCACCTGTCACCTCTCACCTCTCACTTCTCACTTCAAACCAACAGTCTTGTTTGTCAGGGTCACGGTTACTGTCGGAAGCTTCCAAGTTCTCTGTACAGCAACCTCGATCTAGCCGGAGACATTGTCGATCGCTCCGGTGGTCGTCCACGGATGCGACTCTAGAAGAAGTGGCTCACGCTTGGCCACCGCCACCACCACCACCGGCCGCTTTATCCCTGCTCCTGCTGCAATGGTGCGTTCCCTGTATGACCTTTCCGGAATGATCTTCACAATGACTGACCAGGATTCAAAGAAAACATGACAGTGACAATGATTTGCCTTCTCGCTCGAGAAAATGCCCGGTATCTAATCTAAACCCGTGGGGATTGAGCAAGACGACCACCGGCAGTCCCAGACTCCCAGACTCCCAAGCCTCAAGCAACAAACCGTGCCAGAATCGACCCACTCCAAACGAGCTTTTCCCGCGCAAGCTTCAGATAAGAAAAAATCACTGGTCAGTCGGCCACGTGAGCCGCCGAAGATCCGCCGCGTGTGCCCTTCGGTGTAAACTCCACCACGCCGCAATTAGTCAATTCCCCCGAGAAAAAATGAAGCCAGAGTCAAACCAAACACCAGAGCAGAAACCGATCCAGCCAGACTCTTTCTTCTGGCTCAGGCACGGTCCGTTGACTAAGTTTAATCTCGCTCGGCGAATCAGCGCCCTTACAGCGTCGAAGCTAAGAATGATTCGGCGGATCGCGAATAAGATTCCACAGATAACGCCATCTTTCATCCACCAGTCTGGCCCTGTGCCAAAGCCCTTGCATCCACCTAACCTTACCATGCATCCAGTCGCATCCCGTGGCTTCGGATTTCGCCCGAACAGCATGCATGTTTGTGACCGTTTCTGGCATTAGGCCTGTCGTGTCGGCGAGCACGCCATTTTGCCCAGAAACTAATGACAAACTGCCTATTCTCCTCTATAAGGCCGCGCGCGCTCACCAGGATGCCGCGATGTTTCTCCTTGCTGTAGCAAAGAATTCCACCCTTCTGGGTTCGACAGTGCAAGATGGGTCTGCCCACCATCTTTCGTCGGAAACACGACTCTGTTGGGTCGGAGGACGCTGCCTCAGGAGCCAGGTCCACCGGCTACAGCGAGAACCCGACACTCACACCCACATCCGAGACGCCTTCGATCACCAATGTCCCAGTGGACAATCTGAAGCGGGATCCGGAGCGCGACCCGAAATCCGGAGAGCCGACCGTGGCCGAGGCGGAGGTCGAGGACGATCCTGAGATCACCGCTCTGCCGCTGGAGGTCCGCCAACTAGTCAGTCTCACCGACGATCCGACGCTGCCCACGATTACCTTCCGCTACTTTGTGCTATGTATTATCTTTGTTTGCCCCGGAGCTTTCCTGTCGATGATGAGTCACTTCCGTACTCGGGAGGCCCCGTATTCCGTCTTCTTCGTCCAGATTGCGTGTCACTACGCCGGTCACTTCTTGGCTCGAGTGCTTCCAGCCTGGGAGGTTCGGTTGCCTTTTACCCGCTGGTCGTTCAACCTCAACCCCGCGCCATGGAGCATCAAGGAGCACGTGCTCGTCACCTTGACTGCCGCCTCCGGAGCGACCTACAATTTGGGCTACACCCCCATTGCCATGGCCGAGCTATTCTATGGTGAGCGGGTCAATGCCGGGGTTGCTATTTTCTTCATGTTTGCGATTGTGTGGATTGGCTACGCGTTTGCCGCCCTCGTGCGTCAGGTCTTGCTGTACGACCCTATGTTTATCTGGCCCCAGGCACTCATGCAGACGACCCTTTTCGAGAGTTTCCGCAAACAGGACCGATCGTCGCCCCTGGCGCGCCGACAAATGAAGATCTTCTTCTTCTCGCTGCTGGGTATGACGCTTTGGCAATTCCTGCCGGAGTATGTCTTCCCCTTCACCTCGTCGCTGGCCTTTCTGTGCTGGGTTGCCCCCCGCAACCCGGTGGCCAACTTCATCGGCTCTGGAATCGGAGGAATGGGCTTCCTGAACCTGTCGCTCGATTGGTCCAACATCAACTGGAACGGGTCGTCGATCCTGTTGACTCCCTGGTGGACCCAGGTGGTCTTGTTCGCCGCGTTTGTGTTCAACTGTTGGGTGCTCTTACCCGCGGCTAAATGGGGTAATCTGGGTTCGTTCAAATACGGACTGATGTCGAATTCGCTGATGATGGCGAACGGCACCACCTATCCCACCTTGAAGGTGGTGACATCTGACTATAACCTGAATGAGACCGCCTACGAGCAATATGGACCGATGTACATGGGTCTTCAGAATGCCTGGGCGACATTCTTTGACTACGCCAAAATCACGGCTGCCGTCACCTGGATCTTGACTTTTGGGTGGACACAGGTCTACACTAATGTGAAAAAGTTTATTGCTTCCCGCAAGAAGGTTTCGGAGACTCCCAATCAAGGCCTCAACTGGCAGTATCACGACCGGCTGAATGTGCTGCAACGGGCGTACAAAGAAGTACCTCTGTGGTGGTACGTGGCTCTCTTCATGGCTGGATTCGTGGCTCTGATTGTCATCCTGGCTTGTGGTTACCTCTGGATTCCCATCTGGACGCTCTTTGTCGGGCTGTCGACCGCAGGCGTGCTGGTGTTGCCGTTTGGTTTCTTGTACGCCATTTCGAACTACCAGATCGCTGCTGGCTCATTCAACGAACTGGTTTATGGTTACATGGTGGAGACCAAAGCGGGCGCCGGACACCGTCACCCCTGCGGACCCTCGGTGTATGGCTCTATTGCCGGTGATGCATGGTACCGGGCGCAGTACATGCTTCAGGACCAGAAGATTGGACACTACATGCATATTCCTCCCAAAACTGTCTTCTTCTCACAGGTTTTCGGCACGATCCTGGGCATTCCGATCAATTACGCGGTGATCCGATGGGTGCTTGACACCAAGGGTGACTATTTGTCCGGTGAGAAGACCGATCCGCTTGGGCAGTGGTCTGGACAGTCCCTGAAGTCCTCCAACACTCTTGGTGTCCAGTACGCCGTGCTTGGTCCCAGCCGTCTATTCAAGGAAGCTGAGATGAGGCCCCTGCCGTGGGCGTTCCTGGTGGGAGCGGTCCTGCCGCCCATTCTCTACATCGCGCATCGCCTGCTGCCCAAGTCGCTGCGGATCGACCTGTGGAACGTCAGCATCTTCTTCTCGGGGATGGCGGTCTTCTACGGTAATCTGAGCACGGGATACACGTCGGCCTTTATCGGTGGCTACGTGGTGATGTACTGGGCCTACCGCCACCGCTTTGAGGTGTGGAAGCGGTACAGCTATATGATCGCGGCGGCGTTCGACGCAGGCTTCAACTTGAACATGCTGCTGATCTTCTTGTTCTTTGGCTCCGGCAAGCGGGTGTCGATGCCCAACTGGTGGGGAAACAATGCTGATTCCGTGGAAAGATGCTTTGCATTAGATTCGTGATGATGGGGAGGACGGAGTCGAAAAGTCTGAGCGGTTATGAATTGTGTGTATATATATAATGACGTGCTCGTATGGATGAGATGTATAGATGAGACGACTAGATTAGCTTAGTATATAATGATGAGTGATACGAGTTAAGTTATAAGTTCGAAGATGATGACATCCGATGCGAAGTCGAGCTCAGATTTAACTTAAATGATCGGTAGGATCTTGGGTGGAGGGAGGGCAGTGCACCGCCGCCGGATGCCATTTGCCGGATCTGCAAGTGGCCCGAGTCGATGATGCGTTCATCCATCCAACCTTATTTCTCCAGTATAAAATCCCACCCCGCCGCCCCATTTCCCCCATTGCGAAGGTAAAAAAGTGTCAAATATTCTCCCGGTGGAGCAATCATGCCCCCGTTCCCTGTATTCAACTCCTCTACGGCACCTCATCATGGAGGCAGCCAGCGCAGCAACTGCAGCGAGTAACGCCACCGGCAGCCCCGGCCACGGCTGGCTGCGGACGACGAATCTGGCGTTGGCGACGGTGGGGATCGCCGTGTGCACCCCGTTGCTGGTGATGCGGGTCTACACGAAGATTCGGATCATGAAGAAATTCTGGTGGGATGACGGTGAGTACGCTCTCAAGCTTGGCTGGGACACGGCTGACTGTCGTTGTCGCAGTGTGTTTAATATGCGCATGGGTATGTCGCTGTTTTTTTTTTTTTTTTTGAGCTATGCAAACAGAGGGTGCTCACACGCGACAGGTCATTTCCATGGCGACGCAGGGGACTATCATCTGTAGGTCGCATCCCATCATTTGTTTGAGGGAAATGCGCACTAACTGAAGCAGACGGATTCGAGCACGCGCACATCGGCGTGCATATCTGGTTTCTGACGCCGGACCAGATCAACACCTACCTCAAGGTGCGCGCAGCCTCCCCACATCCCTTTTTAACCATTCCAGTGCATGCACTAACCATGGAGAGGGCAAAGGTCGTCGTCTCCGCCGCAACAATCTACATCTCCAGCCTGGCGCTGGCCAAGATCGCCCTCCTGATGCTCTACCACCGCCTGCTCAGCATGATCCGCTTCTGGAAGTACGTGATCAACGGCGTGGCGATTTTCATCATCGCGTACAGCATCGCGCTCACGCTGGCGCTCATCTTCGCGTGCCATCCCGTCGGCCGGAACTGGGACGTCACCGACACGACGGGCGGGTGCATCAGTCGGCCCGGGATCTACATGGCGACCGCGGTGACGAACACGCTGAGCGACGTGGTGTTGATCCTGATTCCGGTGCCCATTGTGATGAAGTTGACATTGCCGACGGTGCAGAAGGTCGGGATCTTTGGGATGTTTTTGGTGGGGTGTTTGTACGTTTCCCTTCGGGTGTTGCGTGGCTGGATGGGTAAGAGGATAGGGTCGGCTAATGGTCTTGGGTGGTAGGACAATCGTCACGAGCATCGTGCGACTGGCGACGTTATGGCCGCTGGTGACCTCAGTGGATCCGACGTATAAGCTTGCGTTGGCGAGTGTGTTTATGTACGCCCAGCCCCGCCCATCCCCCTCTCGGTCTATTCGAGATGGAAGTGCTGACACCGCATCCAGCGTCATCGAAGCCAACTTCATCATCATCTGCGGCTGCTTGCCGTACTTCCGGCAGTTCCTGCGCTTCCACTGCCCCTGGCTCATCGGCATCCACAGTTCCACCGCCGAGAGCCACAGCCGGGGCTCGTCGACGGGCGAGACGCCCCCGTGCAAAGCGCGGAAGCCCGGGTTGAGTCAGCTGCAGGATGATATTGGGATGGCGTTGACGGAACCTCCGATACCCATGGAAAATGGACGGGGGTATTTCTCGGCTGTTTGAGAGGGTGGTATTGCGGTGTGAGTCTTTTCTGGAGCCTCAGTTGTTGTTTGTTATTCCGTTTTTGTTGTCTCTTGGCTTGGTTTCGTTTTTTTTCCCTCTTGTTTCTTTCCTCTTTTCTCTTTTCCTTTCCTTCTTTGTGATTTCTTCTGTTATGTTTGGAGTGATACCCTGTCCTTAGATTGATACATAAGGTGTATAGTATACGGTTTGTGAAGTGTGGGAATACAGCGCAGTCTCATCTCTGTCCTCCTCCTCCGTGATAGCCGGTTCCCAACCGAGACAAGACTAAGAACAAACCGGCGAGGTAGTCGGCTTGACCACCGCATTGGTCGGGTTCGTCTGCGAGCACCCATCCACATATCCGAGCAGGAAGTCATCCTCGGCCGCCTCGTACGCCGCGCCGCAGTTGGGGTCACTATCCTGTCAGCCTCCACCCTGCACCTACTCCACCTTACCGTGGAAGAATTTGAGTCAAGAAGAACATACCTCGCACCCCCCGACGCATTGTTAAAGTAACTGCAGATGTCATGCGACCAGCAGTCCTGCGTGTAGACGTTGCCAATGGCCGTGCCGGTGCATCCGGCGCCGCAGCGGCCGTTGCACGAGTAGCTTCTCTGGTCAGGATGTGCGTAGTATAGGATTGATTCTGTGGGGGAAGACGTACTCTCCTCCCGCACTGTTCTCGCCGTAGTTACTGCCCACCACGCCGGTGTAGGTGCAGCTCTGACCGGCGCTGTTGGTCCATGATGCTGTCGCGGTGGCGCCGACTTTCAGGCAGGTGACGGAGCGTTTGTGGAGGGGGGAGGGGGAGGCGAGGGTGAGGGTGGTGGTTGCGAGGAGGGTGAGGAGGAGGGAGAACATTTTGATTCTGGGTTGGATGTAAATGGGAATGAGATGGAAGGTGCTCTCTACTGGGTTGGTTGTCTGGGAGGGTGGCTCTTATATAGAACTACTCTTGTGGTGCGGTACTACTGTGGTGATGGACGCTGAAGAACTTCAACGGCTGGACTACATTAAGGTTGACGGGTATGTACCCCGTGTCGGGGGGATGATATGCAGGAGCTCGGGGAATTTCTCGGACCTGCCAGAGAGTACAGTGGTGGCTGTCTGCCTTGCAGATTGCATCAGAGGTCCTAAAATGGCGAGCGGAGGGGATGCCGAGGTGATATAGTGGTGGGTAGTAGGTGGGTGCCTGGTTGGGGTTAGCTGGGCCGATGCCTAGTGCAATTGACGGGTCATTGAGGTGTATAAGTCCGCAGACTATAGTTTTGTCTTCTGTCTAGTCTATGAGCTTGTCCTCTCTCGAAACTGAATGATCTGTGCAGTCGTGTATACCTTGCCTGTTGCCGAGGTATAAACCGCAGCTAGGGTTATGTATACTCCCGCCGCGCGGTTTGTGTCGGTATGCTTAGCAGAAGCCAGGTTGGCACTGAGAATATATCCGGACGGTAAGATCCCCGAGAAAGATCCACAACAACTACTACAGCCTATAATCTATCTTCATGGACATGTATCTTCTGCCAGGCAGTGAACATAAACCATATGGTATTGAGTATTCTTATCGATATCGACTTATCGGCTTATCAGCTTATCGCAGCGATGGCATGCACGTGACTTGCTGACTGATGCACCCCTCCATCTACCCCGCTCACGCGACCCTTCCAGTGTCGCATCGCAACCACTCTCTGTTTACCTCCTCTCTGCTCAACACAACTCAACGCAACTCTCTCTCTCATAACAGACCATATACCGGGAGTCTTATCACCAATCCACAGTCCACAACCCACAGCCGACAAACTAACACCCAACGCCGAAGACCAAACCTCAACCCTGCTCCCCACCTTACCACTCACCACCCCGCAAAATGTCACCTCCACCCCAGCCCTCCATCCTAATAATCGGCTCCCTCAACACCGACTTCGTGACCTACACGCCACGCTGCCCGCTCGCCGGCGAGACCCTCACAGCGACCAGTCTCACCATCTCCGCCGGCGGCAAAGGCGCCAACCAAGCCGTCGCATGCGGCCGCGCCGCCCACACCACACCCACCACGCACTCCGCCAACGTCTACATGGTCGGCGCCGTGGGGGCCAACGACCCGTACTACTCCGCCTTAATGCGGCCGCTCCTCGAAGGCTCCGGTGTCAGCGTGGCGGGCGTGACCGAGCGGGCAGACGCGAGCACGGGGTCGGCGACGATCATCGTCGAGGAGGACAGCGGCGAGAACCGGATTGCGGTGGTGCCTGGGGCGAATCACGTGGGGATGAGTTCCGTGGAAGAGGTGGTGCAGGGGGTGGAGGGGTTGGTTTCTAATACCGGGGAGAAAGTGGAGGGCAAGGTGGTGGTGCTGCAGGGGGAGATTCCCCGGTCTACGGTCTTGGGGTTGCTGGAGCATTATAACCAGCAGGATGCAAATGCACATGTCGTGTTTAATCCGGCGCCGGTGTTTCCGGAGGGGATTCCGCTGGATGCGCTGAGGGGGACGAGTGTGCTGGTGATGAATGAGACGGAGGCGGTGTTGATGGCGAAAGCGCTGGGGCTGGAGCAGGGGGCGGCCACCGAAGAGGACCCCGAGACGCTGGCCGGCGTGCTGGCGCCGCGCTTCCATCAGGCGGCTGACGTCGGGATCGTGCTCATCACGCTCGGCGCCAAGGGGGCCTTCTTCTCAACCCGCTGCGGGACGAGCGGGTGCGTGGCCGCGGAGAAGGTGGCTAAGGTCGTCGATACCACCGCCGCCGGGGATACGTTTGTTGGGTACTTCACGGCGGCGTTTGCGCGGTTCGTGGCGCAGGGGAGACGGTTGGAGGAGTTTGATGAGCTGGTGGAGGGCGCCGTGAGGCTGGCGAATCGCGCGGCGGCCGGGTGTGTGCAGCGCAAGGGGGCGATGCAGAGCATTCCCTTTGCCTATGAGGTTGATTCCGATGCTTAGGGGGGGTGGGGGTGTAGGAATAGTACGATGTATATTACAGCATTGTTGACTGGGATGTGGTTATAGACGTGTAGAGATTAGATTAATTCACTAGAGAGACCCTCAATTAACCCATCAATCATACATAAGCCATTAACCTTCACCATGATACCCAGCCCAACCACCAACTCGAGCTAACTACCCACTCTTCACCACCTCCTTCTCCTCCCCGACAACACTCGGCTCACTCCGTTCCACCTCCTCTCCGTCATAATCCTTCTCGTCCGTCATGAACTGGTCGTTATTGAGATGCTTGAACCGGAACCAGAACAAGACGCCCTGCACGGCCAGCGCAATTGCAGGCGCAGCCCAGATCCAAATGAGATACGGGTCCTCGGTGACGGGCACGAGGATCTCGCCGAGGGCACTGCTCAGCGCGGTCATGAACAGGAACACGGCCATGACGAGACCGCGCATGCTGGCGGGCGAGCGCGCGTACGCCAGCTCGTACGCCGTGACATTGCAGAAGATCTCGGACAGGGCACTGAGGATGGTGTTGGGCAGCTGCCACCAGATGCTGATGGGCGAGACGCCCGTCGCGCACGAGGAGGCGTAGTAGCCGCAGGGCGAGGTCTTGTACACGCGGTACTGCACGATGGCGCCCGCCACGCCGCCGATCGTCGCCAGGAAGAACCCGAACGTGATGCGCGTGATCCGCCCCGGGTGGCAGTTGTACTTGTGCAGCAGCGGGTAGATGCCATAATTCAAAATGGGCACCGCCACGATGATCGTCAGCGCGTTGAAGTTGTTCAGCAGGTCGTTCGGCGCGCCGTTGGTCGTCATCGAGGCACCCTGGTTCGACAGCACGGAGCCGATGCCCCCGTCGTTCAGGTTGTAGATCGGGAAGTAGAAGAAGATCTCGGTGGCCACTGTTGTCGCGTTAGTATATGAAGAGGTGTGGTTGGAGTGTGGTTGATGAAGAGAGAATGGGGGTTCTGGGGGCAGGGACATACCTAATGTTCTCCGCACATCGTCGACCAGCTTATCCGACCAGCTCACGGTGATTCCCTTGGCCGCTAGCACACTCGGCTTGGCGGCGTCGAAGAAGTTCTTGCGCCAGACCTGGAACTTGTTCTCGCGCAGCGCGGTCATGGTGATCTTGACGGCCTGGCCCAGCTCCGAGTTCCCGCTGGGCGGCAGCCGGTAGGTCTTCTTGTAGACGAGGGCCAGCACGACGGGCAGGATGAAGTAGACCAGCCCCGCCAGCAGGAAGGCCAGCCAGTAGCCCACGTACTTCTCGGCGTAGGTGGTGGCCAGCATGTAGAAGGCGCCGACGTTGACCACCCCGTAGAAGATCAGCATCGTGCGCGTGGCGGTCATCTCCGGGTCGACGATCACTTTCTCGCCGGACTTGAGCGTCTTGGTGTACTGCTTCTGGTGGCGGAACTGGTCCAGCACCGTGGGCGCGATGTTGGGCTTGAAGACTCCGGCCCCGAAGGCCAGCATCAGCAGCCCGATGATGAACGGGGGCGCCGCGTGCGACTGGCCCTGCTGCAGCACGGACGGGATGGCGCCGATGATCTGGATGATGTGCGCCACACCGCAGATGGCCACGCCGATGCAGATCGCCTTGTACCGGCCGATGTGGACGTCGGCCCACCTGAAGACTGGTCAGTGGACCTGACGGAGAAGGTGGATGGGAGAGACCTTACCATCCTCCAAAGATCGGAATCACGTAGGCCAGGAACTGGAACAGCAGGACCAAAGCATCACTGGCCTGTAGACCCATGTTCAGGGCACCGGCGGTCTCTTGCGTGCCGCGTGGCGGAGCACCAGCCCCGTTACCACCTATACTGGGTGAGCAAATGCCACGGGCCCGAGGTGAGCAGGCAACATACCTTTGGGCAGCGGGAACTCGATGAAGTTGGAAAACACCGTCTGCGCACCATAGTAGGAGGCACGCTCGGCGAACTCGACCAAGCAGAGCGAGTAGGCCACGATGGGCAGGTTGGCGGGGATCTTGCGTAGGCTGCTCACCTCCTCGTCCGTGGGAGCAGGGTAGTCCTCGTCGTGGATGGCCGTGGTGTCGACCTCGTAGTTCAGCTTCTCCGGGTCGGGTTGGGTGGCATGGCTGATCACGGTGGTCACCTCGCCATGGTTGATGGCGTCGACGACCTGGTTCTCTGCAGCTAGGGCAGCTGGTGCATGTCAGTGAGGGAGTTTCGCTAATCGAAGAAGGCAACATACGCATTGTGACAGGTGGCGATCGCAGGGGTCAGGGGGTGCGGACACAACAGCAGCAGGAAAGCACCGACAGCCTCGCGTGGGTTCTTCTTATATATCCATCGCTCAAACACAGGACGGACCCCCGGCGGCGATATGGCCTTGCCAAGGAGGGTAGGGCGAATTCAAGCAATCTCACAGCCGTCGGACAGCGAGGGGGATGTAACGCTGAGCAGAGGCTGGGGGTGATTGCAGGGAGACCCAAAAGCACTAGACCGGGGCTCGAAGCCTAGTTAGGGTTAGCTGATGCTTATCAGCCCGCATGCAAAGGGCGAATGCACCAATCCCAGCCTCGACACGGACAATGATAAGAGATGCACGGGAACTTGCGCCATCGAGCCCAGGTCCAGTCGCGGTGGGTGTACAGATTAATTTCTGATAATCGGCATTGACGCCATTCGTGTGTTGGGGTTGGGGTTGATGCATGTATTCAGATCGGGTGACCAGTTCGGTTGCCTTCGAAATCATCCCGGGGATGTCAATTGGTCGCCATGGCCCTCAGCTGGTGGTAACGAGGTGGTAACTAAAGGTTGACCCTGGTAGAATTGATATATCATATCATCCACCGTGGTTTACCGAGATGTAAAGCAATACCAAGATACCAAGCCGGTCATGCCCCTGCCCAGCACACTTGGCTTTGCTTATCTCCCTCGCCCAGCAACAACCACCACCACAACCACAACCACCAAGACAGAGGCTTCGCTTAGCAGATTACACCCATCCACAAGGTGATTCCCGTATCAAGCATCGGCAGAAATCCCAATTTCCCACTTCCCCACCGCATGCGACCGTTACGAATTGCCACCGAAAATGGGTTGAGCCAGGATCCTCATCCTGGGCAACCGACAGGGGCCTGGCTGGCTCTGTCGTTCGTGCTTCCTAGTCCAGTCCCGGTCCCCAGCAGATACATCGTGGGGAACGCACGAGCGAGTGCGCCCATTCGAGTAAAACCTCCGCTCCTAGTTCCTGCATCGCGTGGTGGACGGTCGTGGGTCGGCGGAACGTGGCGTGGCTCTTATCGCCGTCCCTCGACCTGTTCGTGCGACGAAAGCTTCCCACCTTAGAGCATAAGACGGTCGTATATACACTAGAAGGTGGCCACGGACTTCGATGCATTGATCGGCGAGTTCTCGACGTGTTCGATGGTCGCCACCAGATGTCATGGTGGATGAATGGGGGTGGGAGAATGGCTCCCCCGGTCGGCTGGCGTCGGTGCGCCCGAAGTATGTGTGCTCGGGGCGGTTGATGACGTGCTGGCAGCTGAGACTTGGGCTACACACCACGAATTCTCTGCACCACAACCAACTTGTCAGGCCACCAAGACCGTTGATGCATCTTGCCACCTAGTGGTCGACAGCTTTCATGTAGCGTGGAGGGTTTCCATCCAGAAAGAAGTTTCATTCTCAACTACCTAACCCGTGATCCCCGCGATAGCAGCTAGCTATCAAGTCCAGGACAATTCTCGCTCGTAATAGCAGTGATGTCGGTGTACGGAGAAGGATCCGTCCAGATGAGATTGAAGCTGCAAAGAATTGACCGTCAGTGCCTACAGAGTTTTTCTCTGAGACGCCAATCGAGACAGGTCGATCACTTACCTATCATCCGGATACGTCGGGGCATCATCGTCCCCTAACTCCTCCACAATGTCGGTCAACTCGCCATGCTCCCAGCAGATCAGGATGTTGCCGTCCCCGGTATAGTTCTCCACGACCTTCTTGACACATTTCGCATCGGTTTTGGCGCACGAGGTGTCGACGGTGATGCCCAGGTCCTCCGCCAGCGGGAGCACGGTCAGATACGGGCGGTCTCGCTTGCCATCTATCCAAGAGTTAGCGGGGAAGCGATATACTTCCATCACCGTGAAGAAAGGAAATCACAAGGGGAAGACATACCACTCTTCGGGGTCTCCGCCATGATATACTGGATGTTGTAGCCGGAATCCGCCCCGAAGACGTTCCGCAGACACTGGGCCCGCTCCACCCCCTGCGCGCTGAGTCCGGTGCTCCCGTCGCTGGGCTTCTCGCCGTGTCGGATGAGATACACGGTCGCGTCGGCCAGGGCGGTGCCGGCGAAGAAGCAGAAAGGGAAGATGGACTTGACGAACATTGTGGTGAGGATTGTGTCTAGGTGCAGATGTGTTCACGTTCAACCAAACCGAAGCTTTGCTTTGGGCCGGGCGGAATCAGCCGGATGGCAGACTGCACTTATATAACCTTGGTAGGAGTTTGTTGCACTCAACCACGAAATTCCGCCCCCACGAAGCTCATGCATTGTCACCTGGCAACTCCGGACGAGGGATAACGAGCCAGTGCTGCACGTGCGGGCGTTCATTGTCAACAATGGCTGTCGATCCAGGTGGAGGCCCTGCGGAGAGCCATTGGGGTATGATTGGTTGAGGGGGTGTGAATTGTCGCGGGGCGTGGAGCTTAGCTTCGCTATGATTAGGTAGGGACCAGTGTAGGTTAAAGCATTGGGTCAGGTTTTCGTACTCAGTAACAAGAACGTGAAGATCGCGAGTTGATTGAGCATTTCAGAGAGGAAGAATGATGGAAAGATGAAGATGAAGCGGAGATGCAATATATTCCGATGGGCGGCTCGATCCGCCTTCCCAGACTTGGCTACCGATCTATGAGCCAAATTTTCTCATTGACCGGAGGTAAGTATTCAATGATAAGTTACTCAAGATGGTAGCACAGGAAGACTCTGCTGAGTCAACCTGTCAGCTCCTGCAGGCTGCCAAATGCAATCAATGATTAAAGTCAATTAAATTCAAGTTACGCGCCCACCGCCATGTGAGACATTACCAGATTTTGTACAGTAGGAGATGATCGTTATGTCGTAACGCCCAAAAAGCAAGATGCAATTCGCCTCAACAAAGTCCCCCCGTCGTCACCGCATCCATCAACCACGCGCTATCCGACCCGGCGAAAAAGACATCAAAGTCCCACAAGTCCCCCATCATCCCCGGCATCTGGCCCGGCAGCTGCGTCTGCTCTGGGTACCCGTACTCTGGAGGTAGTGGCTGACCCGGGAGCGGCGGCTGCGACTCGAGCAAGCCCCCCTCGGCAGATGAGGTGGTGGTTGTGGATTCCCCGAGCCTCGTCGCCCATGTGGCGCGCAGTCGCCGCACCATGACGCCCAGCTTATGGAACGGGTCCTTCTCGTGCTCGTCCCGGCGGAGACTGACGACCTGCTCCAGCATATCACTAATCTGATCGGCGATGAGAATCACATCCGCCGTGCGGCGGACCAGTCGTGTGTCCCAGCCCGGGATGTCGGCAAAGGTCAAACGCGAGAGAGTGACCAGGCAGTGGGCAACGAGAATGCTTTGGATGATAGGAAAGGAGGCAAAAGTGCGAATAGGCGTTGTGAGAAGGCTGTCAAAGAAGGAGCGAACAGCGGTTAGACAAGCGCAAAGGTGGTCGAGGCGCCAGGAGTCGAGAGCACCAGGTGTATCATTGGTTTCAGGTTTCGGGTGGATAAGAGCTGTCTCGTAGAGTGTAGTTTCTGCTTGCAGGATGTAGAAAATGAGGGGATCTGCCCTGGGTAAGTATTGAATCGCACTATGGATGGATAGGTAGACCCACTACTACTGTTGAGGAGGGCGGAAGGAACGTCAGCGCGGAGCCGGATGAGCTGGGTTTGCAAACTGCTCATATAAAATGGCGGTGGTGCCCGCGGAATGTCAGTCAAACTTGAGTTCTCGTTCCACGGCCCCTCACGGATGCGCTCGACGAGGAGCCGGACACGTGCAAGATGTGCGAGGGTGGCGTCGTGCGGAGAGTCGGTGCTTGTGGAGAGAAGCTCTACGGACTCTGTCATATGAGGCGTCCACCGCATCACCTCCATGCGGCCAAGGAATTGAGCAATGCTGTGTATATCGATTAGTATGGTATTTTTCGGCTCGTGGCGGACATAGAACGAGAAGGTCACATGGTAGCATGAAGGCGTTTACTTACACTGAGCTGATCACGAAACAGCCCAGCACGGCTCGCCGCTCATTCATGGTTCGGGGGCGTGGTGCAGGTTGCTTCGGTGCTGGCGGCACCAGGTCATTGCACACGGGAGGCAGCATGGCGAGGTCACTCCGGACGGGACGATTCAATCCCAGTTCACAGATGAGCGCGGTGGCTATTTGACAGTACAGGACCATGATCGATTTTGGGGGGTAGCTTTGGAAAGAGATCCAGGCGATATGCACCAGCAATCCCTGCAACAGGTCTAAATTCTTGTCGCAGTCAACCATAGTAATCTGGGCAGCGGTCTGACGGATGTCGACGCAGCGCAAGGCCTGCTGCACGGCATCTTTGGTTTCAGTGGTGATAATGCAGCGCCAGAGAAAGGGAGAATCGCGCTGAAGGTCAGCCGGTGTGGCCGTGCTGGGGATATGTAGAAGGGGAAGGCAAGCGAGTTTGTCCGTGCGGAATGAATGCAGCATTGCCTCCGCCTCCGCTGGGCTGGGCGTGACGATGGCGGTGGGCGGAGAGTGGCGCGGGCTAGCACTAACGCTACCACTACCGTCGGACTCGATCCCCGTCCCCGTGTCGGGAGTACAGAACGGATTTGTTGTGCATGTACGATCCACGCCCTCTTGACTACCGGCGGAGACGGGAAAATGCCGGCCTCCTCCTCCTCCTCCTCCTCCTCCTGGTGGTATTTGTCCGGATGATTGGAGCAAAGACATTAGCCCATCCATCTTCTGCTCCAGCTGAGCGGCCTTGGAAAGCCGCTTGGGACGGCGACGGCGCGATCCAGGACGACATTCCTTTCCCAAGCGATGACATCTGCGGTACATTAGCGGTGGATTGGTCCATTGTCCGTCTGCAGAAATTCCACCGACTCACCTCTCACACGGGGAATCTCGAGCCTGTGGGATGCAGCGAACCTTGGCACGAGCACACGTACTACAAGCGTGGCCATACGGAATCGATAAAGGGGAATCTCCATCCATGACAGACCGAACGTACAGTACACAGACTGTCTACACATGTGACGACCTCAATGAACTGAGTAGAAACATGTTTGGGGGATGTGTGATACCTCCTTCAATGCTGTCCAACAATGGTGGTGGTGGTGGTGGTGGTGGTTGATGTGTTGTGTGAACGGGGTTGGAGTGGGTTTCCCTCCGAATGCCGAGCGGGGGAGAAGGCAACTGGGGGGAGCGGAACTCCGTCTGTGTCACGTGATGTCAGCATCCCATGCAAGGAGGAGAATGCAAAGTGTGCCAACTATGCAAAGCATGCAAAGCACAATGCACTACAAGTCATTAAATTATTGCCAAGTGATAGCTTCCCGCGATGACTAGTAGTCTCCATTACGATGATCTCGATAAGAGTTTATCTTCTGGTCATCTGTTCGACACCCTCATGTAGTATGATCTGGCAGGGTGGCATGTAAGGGGCTGATCTACATATAAGCCGTTGTCAATCATGTTGCTGTTATCTTTTGACATGGTGGGCAAAAAATCGGGAATGGTTCGGCTCCGGGGATGGGCGTACTCAGTAGTACGAGTAGGTAAGATTAGATTGGCAGACGCACGATTGGCAGGCAAAGATGGAAAGACAATCCGCTGCCCAGTGGTCGCAGTTCCAGAAAACAGCCTGGCGACCGGCCTCGGCGAAAGAAATGCAGATGCCGAGAGGGAGGAAAATGCTAAGACTCGGGCCGACTTCACTCCGCCTCAGGCTCCACGGTCGCACCACCAAAGGAATATCAATTGGCAAACACGTCTGCGTAATGCCTTCACTGATAAGCCGCCGCTCCAAATTGCAGGTTGGCTTGGATCGTCTTGTTGTCTCGTCTCTCCCGCGCCTCGTAGCAAAACATCAAGTACGTAACAGAATCGGGAGACACGGCCCCGACTCTTCTCCAAGATACGAGACCATCAGCGCTTCCCCTCATTTGTGTGAGACCTGCTTTGGAGTTTAAAAGGTAAGGTTAAGCTGCAAGCGAATGGGGAAGAACTCCGCGTGAGGTGAGATCCATTACTCATCCCCATCTTACTGGGTTGCGTAGTTCGTCAGGGGGACGTGTCAAGCTGGCAGTCCTGTCTGGCAATTAAACTTCCTGTGCGACCACGAAGTGGATGGATAGTGCCAAGTAGGGCGTCGATCGAAGGTGACGACTCCAAAAAACTACAGAGGAAATGGTTTAGCCTCAATCCTTTCAGGACACAAATCCTGGGGAAGGTTCGGCGTTACAGTGCTTGCTTGCTCACTGGCCAGCCAGCGCCGCCTCTTAATAACTTAGTCAGAGCCATTGCCTAATGCAAATCGGGCCATCTAGAGTCAATCTTGGCTCTGTGTGGGCGCTAGTCCGTTTTCGCCCGCATCTCCAATTCAACGTCACACACCCTAGCCTGAATCAGGATTTTAGACGGTATGGCCTGCGACTGATTGGCTGTAGCTGCGGATGGCGGATGCTTGGGCTCCACGTGGAAGGCAAAAACTGAGCCAATCTGGCAAACTCTCCGAATTTCTTCTTTCCGCCACCAAATCTTCTTAGTCAAGGTTTGCTGGTCCCGTTGCCTGATCCGGATTATCACTGTATCAGTTCTTGCCCGGATTCATCCGACCCTGTGCTTGGGCTACGGTGAAGCCTGATCATCCACCGCCAGCGGCACTGGCCCGGAAGGAAGGTCATCGACTCGAGGAAGAGAGAGGAATCGAAAGGCAACACAACACAACACAACCACGGCGGAATAATTATCAATCCTACCTGGCGGGTCCTGCAGGCTTCCTCCCACCGGAGCCCTCCCTCCCCCCCCCCCCCCCCCCCCCGCCAGTCGCCGTCCATGATTATTCAAAACCCGTTGGACTTCCCTCTCGCCTGCCACTTTTCTACTGCCTTCGCTTCCTCTTCTCTCGTCTTCTTCCTCTCTCCATATTTTCTCCCTCCCCTCCCCCCCCCCTCCTCCCCATCTTTCAACAACAGCCTTCAGGCATTTGGTGTGACCTGGGCAAAGTCGAATTCAACTTCACCTTTCCCCCTCTCCACCTTCCGCCTGTATTCTGATTGTTCGACTTCTTTCTGAATATTCTCGTCATGGCTTACGGTGACGACATCGTTGGGGACCGCAAATCCCAGTCCGGGATGGACTTCGAGAATGAGAAGAAGGGGGATCTCTACTCCCCCCAGTATGAGGGCGATATGGTCGACAAGATGAGCGACACGGAGCGGAATATTGTCGAGGCTGGCATTCAAAAATACAACCGTCTGGGCTGGAAACGCCTGACGGTGGTGATGATTGTCGAGGCCATTGCCCTGGGTAGTTTGTCGATTCCCTCCGCCTTTGCTACGCTGGGCATGGTGGCCGGTGTGATCACGACGATTGGCCTCGGGTTTGTTGCCATTTACACCAGTCACATTATCGGTCAAGTCAAGCTCAAGTTCCCCGACGTTGCACACTATCCCGACGCTGGCCGCCTGATGTTCGGTCGCTTTGGCTATGAGATTATCTACGTCATGCTCGGCCTGGAATTGCTGTTTCTGACTGGCTCGCACTGTTTGACCGGCACCATCGCTTTCATTGACATCACCGAGAGCAGTGTGTGTTCCATCGTGTTTGCTGTGGTCTCCGCCATCCTCCTGCTTCTCTTGGCCATTCCGCCCTCATTCGCTGAGATGGCCATTCTGGGCTACATCGATTTTATCTCTATTATCGTCGCAATTGGTATTACCATGATTGGCACGGGTGTTGAGAGCACCAACCAGCCCGGGGGACTGTCGGCAGTTAACTGGTCTGCTTGGCCCAAGGACGACATCAGCTTCACCGACGCTTTTATTGCCATCACCAACATCGTTTTCGCCTACAGTTTCGCCCTGTGCCAGTTCTCCTTCATGGATGAAATGCACACTCCCAAGGATTACATCAAATCGATCTGGTCCCTGGGTATCATCGAGATTGTCATCTACACCTTGACTGGTGCGATCATCTATGCCTTCGTTGGTCAGGATGTCGCCAGCCCGGCTCTCACCTCGGCGGGTCACACTCTTAGCCGTGTTGCGTACGGTGTCGCCCTCCCCGTCATCTTCATCAGTGGTTCGATCAATACGGTGGTGCTGGGCCGTATGATCCACGGTCGCATCTTCAAGAACTCGCCCATCCGCTTCATCAACACCAAGATGGGCTGGATCACCTGGTTGGCCGTGATTACCGCCATCACGGTGGTCGCTTTCATTGTCGCCGAAGTGATCCCCTTCTTCTCCGACTTGCTGTCCATCTGCTCCGCCCTCTTCGTCTCCGGCTTCACCTTCTACTTCCCCGCGCTCATGTGGTTCATGCTCCTGCGCGAGGGCAGCTGGTTCACCCGGAAGAACATGATGCTGGGGGCTATCAACCTGATCTGTCTGTTGATTGGACTGATCACGCTCGGAGCGGGCACCTACGCCAGTGTGGACGATATCGTAAGTTCCTTCTCCCTTTCCGTTCTGACTGCCCGTGCTAATTCCTCCTCAGGTCAACAACTACAATTCCGGCAGTGTCCGTGGGGTCTTCACCTGCGCGGCTCCCGAATAAGCGAATTCCTCCCATCATCATTTCTGCTAGCCGTCTAGACATAGCCTTAGCGTTGTTTTGCATTTTCTTTTTCTTTCTTTCTACTTTCGATACATATCGGCGTTGCAGGCCCGGGGCCTGTGGCGACACATCTCTTGCATGGTGTTGCTGTGACTCTGCGAATACCCAGTTTGCGGGCTGTATATACGTTTTTCTTTTGGACAGGATTGTGAATATGCTGCATCTGATGTACTATATGTCTATGATTATGATTACATATTATAAGATCGGATACTCTTCTCTGAACTTTTTTTTCTCTACAGTGTAACGATGATTGAGTGGAATGAGCGGCTGATAAGCAATGACAGAGCATCGGCATGCCCTGATGTCATGCTGCTGCAGGTTGATGTCAATCCGGCCCGACCGGAGGTGAAAAGGGAGCATGAAGTCAGCGGGGGAGGTTTCCATCGGATCAAATGGGGTACTCGCGGGGTAAAATTCGAGGTGTGCCTCTTCTAGAAGATGGAGGGATTTCCGCATGCGACCGGGAGTCATGAGATGGGCGAATACTCACTTGGTTGCTTGGTTGGTGACCCGTGGACGCGGTGGGCGGCCTGAAGATGAGGTAAAGTTCAAAGCACAGCATAGCGGGTAGTATATATAGAGTCCAATGCTGTAAGGCAGACACCAGCATGTTGAATGTCTGCTGACGTCTTCCTCAAGTTCCAAGGCATTAGTGAGCGGTCTACTCCGTACTTCGTAGTCAGAGGCAAACCCGGCTTCTTCAATCCGGTCATGTGATGTGATTTGATGTGTCAGATATATACTTGTTCCACTCTATACATCGTCCACATGAGGACGGCCCCTTTTCATGTAAAAGTGTTGCACCAACTAACGTGGTTACTAGTTCTTGGAACACCATCTAAGATTTCTTCGACTCCATTTCTTTTGTCTCCCAGTTTAGATCCAGACTTCCACTCAGTCAGTGGATGCCTGTCTGAACCAACAGCACGAACCCGCAAGAAGTTGTTATGGAAGCGAGAAAACAAGCTCCAGCCTTCCGGGACTACCGGGAGGCCTCCGCACTGCCCCCTAACCTCTGCTGCCTTCCCGCGGGGCTGCAGCACCAAAAGGGTCCAGTAGCTCACTGATCGACGTTCACTAGTCTCCATCTCCCAAACACCACCAATAACAACGCATCTGCAGCCATCCGATGTCTCAAGCTGATCTATTTCAGTATCAGGCCGCCATCTCTGCATCATCCCAGCGATGCTGTCACAACCAGTGCTATAAAGGCGGGTGTATCTACCACGAAATCGCTGTCACTGCAATCCAGCCCATCATCACAAACCACAACAATCACCCATCTTAACCCCTCTTCCGTCCCTTGAATCAGCACAATGAAGACCCTCGCAGCAGCAGCCACCTTCCTGGCCACGGCCCTGGCCCAGAACGCCGCCATCGGCCTCCCCAAGGCCGGCCAGACCGTCCAGCCAGGCCAGAGCCTTACCGTCCAGGTCCAGCGCCCTGTACGTTTCTCCTCCCTGCTTCCATCTGCCCATTCCCCTGGCCCCTCTGATCCTCAGGACTGACATCGATAGAACACCATCACCGGCTCCCAAGAAATGGCCGTCGCCATCGGCTTCCAGTCCTGTGCCAGCGGCAGCTGCTACGCGGCCGACGAATACATGGGCACCATCCTCTACAACGGCGCCTTCAGCCCCGTCTACCACGAATACTACCTGCCGCCGTATGAGAACTTCACCGTCACGGTGCCCGCGTCGGCGGCGGCCGGCCAGGCGGTCATCGGGGTGGCGCATGCTACTTTGGTTGGGGTGAGCCTTCTTCTTCTGGGGATGGGATAGAATTGAACTGATTCGAATGTTAACGTTGGGTGATGCAGGCATCCGCGGCTCCGTACTTGGAAGTTCTGAACCAGACGGTTACTGTTGCTTAGATTGAGGGTGGTTTTCGGGTGCGTGTCTATACTATTTGGTGGGTGGTAGTTTAATTTAGCTTAAACTGTTGAGTGTATTGTGGTTCTGTGTGTAAAGGTTGAAGAGTAGTGGATTCTAGGTTATGGTGCTGTCGCCTCGGAGTTGAGACAAACCGGCAAGGGAGACATAACGCGGTTGGATTACAGCGGCTTCGGCTGCGCACCTTACCCTACCTTTCCCCTTGCAGCTATCGAGCCCCCTGGTCAAGTCCTGACTTCTATCCAATAGCTGCAGTACTTCTGCTCCAGCTCTATCCTCTTCTTGTCGCTGCCTATTGAGCTTGCGAATCAATGTAGTCCAGGCCAGCATTCAGCTGTTCACCATAAATCACAACACCCCTTTGTGATGGCAAGCAATACTGATATAAAGGTTCATGGTCAATATCTTAGACTCCACAGCAGTAGTGCTGAGTAGGTGTTTAGCTGCAATTGGCTCTTTGCTTAGTTTTTCACTTTATTGCAAGGTTTCGGTGATGTGGTCTAGATCACCTCAAGTAACGTGTCACAGCAGGATATGCTATCTGTTCTGTTGACAAGACAGATCTAAGAAAAGCTAAGAGAAACCTTTTTAATTACTTTTATTAAAAATATGCACAAACATGTCAGCCAGGTTCAAGTAGTGCACTGGGGAACTGATTTCTGGAGAAATACTGTAATGCCCGCATTTCTTATGTCGCCAGCTGCCAGTATGCTGAACCGCACACTGCTGATATTTCTCGCCTCTCTATATCAGAGTACATAGTTAACAAAGACAACATATACACCGACCGACTCTCTACTCAGCATATAGAAACTAACTACTTTGCATTCCTCAGTATACTGTCTGCAACACCTACAAATCCAGTATCAGCAACCTGTCTATATCCGCACTGTCTACGCAGGAGCCAGATAGGCAGTGTCAAACAACCAAGTAGCAAAGCACTTACATTGTATCTTTGATATGAACATTCTGGAACGCCCTCCTAATAACATGAAGATTTTCCACCTCCCTTTCATAATTCATAAACACATTTTCATGTCGGTTTTCAAAATACAACAAAATACAAACCAATCTCAGTAATCTCAAAAACATCAATCAAAAATTAGAGCAAAACCACGTCCGGCAATCTTTGTATCCCTTCCAGCAGCGAGGACCAGCTCGACGATATGGTGACAACAGTCCAACCGAGGTTGGGTTTTCCTGTCATTCCGTGGAGTAGAAGGTTTTCGAGCTTTTCGTCTGGTAATTAGTGGTAAGATCGAGTTAGCTACAACTCGCGTCATTATCAAGGGTGCATCCTTGGTCGCGTACCATACTAACTGAAAGACACACGAAGAATCAGGTCAAGGAGGTGATGTCAGTCCAACCGAAGTTGTGTTTTCCTGTCATTCCGTGGAATAGAAGTTTTTCAAGTTTTTAGTCCTAATACTCAGTAGCAAGATAGTCAGCTTCTACCTTCATGTCAGCGTGTCGAGGGGTGTAGGCGGGCCAGACATACCTTTCTTACTGAAAGGGACACCAAGAACTAGGCTGCGCGACGAGGTGATAACAGTCCAACCAGGTTGTGTTTTCCTGCCATCCAGACGAGAGTCCAACCAGCGGTTGTATTTTCCTGCCATCCAGATGGGAGTCCCATCTAGATTGTGTTTTCCTGTTCATCGCCGTGGAGGATCAGACGCCACTGATTGGGTGAAAGCTGATAGGCACGAACTCAGTCAGCTGCCCTCACCATTATCATCACAGCCACCGCCAGGACACATAGGCCCACACGCAGACCCAGACGAAGAAAAAAAGAAAGAAGGTGACATACTTGTACATGAGGAAGTAATGCCCCATTGCATTCCTGAAATAGTCCTGGGTCGCGTCGCGCGCCACGAGGGACAGGCGGCCCCACTCGTGGACGTGGTAGTGCTTGTAGGCGACGTCGAGCAGATGCTGGACGACGACGACGCGGTGGTACAGCGCGGCGTGGCGGAGCAGGTCCTCGAAGTGCGAGCCGGGCTGCTCACAGAACTCGGCCTGCAGCTGCTCGTCGCGGAGCATGTAGACCGCCAGGTCCTGGTCGGGCCACTGGAGCGCCAGGTTCAGCACGCGGTAGCCGTGGGTCCCCCACATCGCGTCGCGCTGGTGGATGAGATAGTCCACGGTGGCGAGAAGGGTCGGGTTGAGCGGCTTGCGAGGCTGGTTGAAGTCGTCCAGGCGGTCCCATTCGTTGTAGTAGAGACGGCCGTGGTGGGCGTGCTGGATCAGCGCGTGGATGCTCGCCAGGCACGCGGTCTGATGCTCCCGGTTGTGGCGGCCGGGGTCAGCGCCGTGATCGAGCAGGAGCTTTACAATGTTGAGATAGCCTTGCTGTGCGGCAAGGGTCAAGGGTGTCTGATGGGTGCGGCGGCCATCTTCACGCCAGTAGAGGTTGGAGCGCGCCGCGGTACGCAGGCACCACTCCCCCTGGCCCGGGACCCGGGGGCCCCAGCCCACGTTAGGGTTGGCACCGTGTTTAAGAAGGTTTCTCACTAACGGCTCCTCACCGCGGTCCGCAGCCCAGAGCAGCGCAATACCCTTGGTTCTCTTCACGTGCATTTTGTAAATCTCTTCCTCGAAGAAGTCGTGAAAGAAGCGGCTTGTACGGACGAGTCGACTCGCGGCTGCATCCCCAAGTCGATACCCAATTTTGAGGAGGATCTCCCCTGGAAGTTCAGAGAGAAGCATGATTACTGATGGTAATCACAGTAGATAGAAGAGTATGTTTGATGATGTGAGATAGATGGAAGGTAGTGTGGGATGGATGAAAGATGGAGTGAGATGGATGAAAGTGTGAGGATATGGACGAAAGGTGTCGTAAGGTGGATAAAAGGAGGAAGAAAGAAGAAAAGAAGAAGAGAACCTCAAACGGTAGTCTGTGGATATAGAGGTGACCCTAGCTGCACGTGACCTGATATCTTGAAGTTATTGACAGGTAGTCCAGTGGGGACGCGTCAGCTGCGAGCTGAAAACCTATTCAGATAAGCTCATGAATAGCTTCAGAAAAACTCTAAAGTTTATCACAGGATATTCCAGCCCGGGCTAGAATGTTCCGTGAAATGAGGCTGAAAGCTGAGACATCTGACTCACAATCCTGCCGAAGATTTCAAGAGAGTAATCACAAAGACAGCAAGATGAGTGATGTGCATGTAGCCATGTGCACATGGATCAGGAACCATGCTCTATCATATCACACCCCAGACCAGATCCATCAGGACCAAGTACCACAGCGAACTAACATTAAGCTACATTAGACTAGATGGCATATCGAAACTCGCGATTCTCCCGATCCGTCAGGTCCATAAACTCATGGTTCTGCTGCACGACATACGCCTCGCCCGCGGCCTCCTTCTCCGCGTCTCGCTTTCGATTCTCGCGGACTGACACCCACCGAATGAGACACAGATCCAGCGTGATCAGGACATACAGCACGACGATGGAGATCTTGGCGGGGAGATACCGTGGGGCATCCTTGGCCTGGAAGGTCTGCGGGGAGATGATATTGCCCACCGTGTAGGCGACGGTCTGGATGCACGAGACGGTGATCTTCTTGGTCGACCCGGCCACGTTCGTACTGGTCAGACCCAGGATCGTCGTCCATCCGATGGGAATGCCCCCGGACAGATAATACCCGATCAACGCGGGGGTCTTCTCCGTCGTCGCCATGAGAATCGCACCCACGATCGACGGGATATGACCCACGATACACCAGAACAGCCTCTGCTCCGTCCTCATACTGAGATACGTCAATCCAACCAATACCACAACCTCATACGCCCCCAAGGGCGTGACCAGCAACAAGCTCTGCCGCGACGAGTACCCCATTCCAGTTACAAGAATGTTCCCAAAGCTCGTGGCAATCGAATTGGGTATATTGGCCGCGAACACCCAGAAAGCATACAACCAGGTCAGGGGGTCCGTCAGCGCCTCAACGACCTGCGCCTTCTTGAAGACTGTACTCCCGATGCCCTGCTCGTTCCCGCGCAGCCGCTCCGCATGCAGCGCCTTCTCGGTGGGGGACAAAAACCGCGCCGTGACGGGCGAATCCGGCAGGAGGAAGAGGAAGACACTTCCGATAGCCACCGTGAACCCGCCCAGCACCAGGAAGATGATCTGCCACCCGCGCAGCGCCGCACTGTCCCCTACATGCACCGCGATCCCATACGCGATGTACCCGCCGAACATCTGCGCGAACCCGCACATGGCGAACCATACCCCAACCCGGAATGCCTGCTCCTCCTTGCGGTACCACTGCGAGGTGAAGACCACCCACGCCGGCACAATCGCCGCCTCGGCCACACCCAGGAACGTACGGCAGACCATCAATGCCGCGAAAGAGTGACACGCCGCCATGCAGGCGAGAATCGCGCCCCAGATAATCACATTGACGGCCACGTAGCGCGCGAGCGGGAAAGCCTGCAGCAGCCGGACGGTGGGGAAGCTGAACGCCAGCTGCCCGAAGAAGAAGATGCTCGAGACCCAGTTGTACTGGTTGCCGTGCAGGTAGGCCGACTCCCGCAGCCCTGTCACGCTGGCGTAGCTGATGGCGATCTTGTCGAGGTACTGCAGGAAGTAGACGATGCAGATTAGCGGCATGATGTAGAGGTCGATTTTGCGAACGAGCTTGCGTGCGGTATCTGGGTCGAGGTTTGTCGCGCTGCTGTTGGCGGCGAGGAGTTGCAGGGCGCAGTCGTGGGATTCATCTTTGATTTGGGTGGTGGGTTGTTTGGCTGCGCCGTCGGGGTAGGGTTGAGGAGAGCTGGGAGGCATGGTGGGTGCGTGCGGTAAAAAATGGTTTAGAGAAGAGTTATAAGTTTATGCAAGTTGGTTATATAGTGATTGCGCTCGCCGATGCGCCATGGTGGTGGTGAATCACGTCATCCTTGGTATTGGAGATGTAACCCGATGATTGGGTTGATAAGCATGCAATGCTGCATGAAGATAGGAAGAGTTTTTATTGCTTGCTCACGCAATAGTGAAGCCGTGTACTAGTGTGCGAGTGCTCTTCTACACTGCTGTTGCTGTGTCATTTAATTCGATATAACTACAAAGCCAAGCGGCAAGTTGAGTAGATCTGGACTATGGAGACACGTATTTCTCAGTCTGTCTTGCAACTTAGTGGACTTGTGGTTGATACACTATTTGGTGTACGATTATGGACCTAGTACTAGTACTAGTACCTACCAGTTAACATCTAATGCCTAAAGGAAGTCGCAGCTGGGGCAAATTAGGGTTCACCCTATGTTAGATTCCAATTACCATGTGCTTCGCTCTCCACTCGAAATGGAATTTGATTCCTCGAAGATTTGAGATTTGATCAAGGAAGAGTATTCCTGACTTGAATCCAATCATATTTGAGCTCCAAGGGCCCTTCACTGTCGAAATCGCAACTCTATCACAGTTCCCTCCTAACCCCCCTCAAGCATAACGACCCCCGCAAAACTAACCCCCTCATGTCCCTCTCCCATTGCTTCCACCTTCCACCGCCATCACTCTCCTCCAGCTTCAATCATAAGGAGAAGAGCCAAGCCAGAATCACCCTTAGAAGCTGTTCACCCCACCCGAGGCACAGTTTTCGAAATGCAGGGTGGGACCACAATAGGCGGCGGAGTCGAAGACGCCTACCTTGCCGATCTTCAGGTAGCCGGCATAGCTGCCTCCGTGCTTTAGCGACAGACACTGTGTGCCGCAGACCGTGTTACCTTCGATCGCGGTGAGATAGTGGTAGATGGCGCCCTGGATAGTCTTCTGCTGGGCGGTGGTGTCGCAGTTGCGGCCGGTGGCATGGAACTCATATTGCCAGCCCTCGATCGTGCCAGAGTGGTAGCTGCAATCCTTCTGGTGGGACCAAGCCCAGATCGCTGCGGCAATGCTCGCAGTCGTGGTGAAGGCAAACCCTGCAATGGTTGCGCATTGGGACATGCGGGAGAGGCTGCTTTCACAGACCTGGACGGGCTCACGGACGGCCAAATTGTTGGGGGTCGTGTTGGTGGTTTGCATGTAAGCCGCCTCGAGGCTGGGGAGAGCCGAGGCTTCGGCGTCGTCGAGATCGTAGGCATACCAGAAATCAGGCAGACGCTGCCCGTCGATCAACTGTAGGCCATCGCCATCCGAAGGTGGCGTAGAAGGCTGGGCCGACGAAAGTCCAGAGAATAAACTTAACGTCAGGATCGAAGCCTTTATAAGCAACATAGAGCCAGCAAAGGGAGGCGATCAGGATTGAAAAACAGCAACCACGAGCGAGGCGTGCTTCGGACACGAGCATGGAGCAGAGTTCGGGAAACTGATTCAGAGGGTGAGGATTGAGATGCGATGGATAGGAGAGCAAAGAAAGACAGCAGACAGGATAAACGAAACCTTTTATGCTGCTCTGATTTACGCGTCCTGCTGTTCCCGACGGGTAAGGGTAATTTGGAAGTGCCTGGAAAGTCTTTCCTCACCGGTGAATGCAAGTTAATGCCTCAGATGATACTTGCTGCTTGATGTCTTAGATTTGTCTCACTCAGGCTGTCCAAGTCTCCCCAAAACCCCTGCCCGGTGGTTGCACTGACTGGCTACTGAGTAGACAAAATAGGTACCTAGTCAAGTTGTCAACTCCACACAAGGATCCACCCATACTGCGCGGTTTTTGAGCGAGCAGGTTGCGGCGGTTATGGTATGAAGTCTGAGATATCTACTCCATTTCCTTCGGCCACGTCGATCGCGATTCCTCAATGAGGGAGATTATAATCATCTACAGCCTCATCACCATCACTTGGCAGAGAACGATGGTACCTGAGCCTTGTTGTGCATACCTGACTCGTTAGATCCTGTCATCTACGGGTTCGTTCGAGGTGGGCTCACATGATGAAAGCTAAAGGCCAAGGCACCAGCGAGATTGTGGCGCATCCACTCTGTATGTACTATGTACATCGATCAGGTTTCGGGCCGAACCCATGAGACCCCTAACTCGTTTAACTCCCTAATTCCCCAATCCCCTAATCCCCAACCCCTACGGAGAGTCAAGCGCCTTGACTGTCGGGAAATGTGAAGCCTTACCCGCGCCCCGCCGGGCCCCGCCCGGAAGGAGCCCGAGGTCCACCTATAGAACCTATTTAGGAAGATGCACAGCTGGGCCTACTAGCAGACTAACTTGCTAAGTACATATAATTAACTATTAAGTAGTCTACCTAGTAGCGTCTATTCAAATTAGGTTACCAATGTAGCCCTCCAGCCAGCTGCACTTGATTCCTGACCCCACTCCGACCCAGGACCCTAGGACGCTTAGACCTACGGGCAGGAAAAAGTCCTCGATACCTACTCAGTCACCGGCACTCACAGTTTATCACTGCGTCTCTGTAGAGAGTCTTTGATAGAACAGGAGGAGCATAAAGTCAGCCTGGACGCACATCATCTGGTGGTGGCAATGCGCACCGTTCGAGGATTTCCCGCTAGGACGCCGGGGAAATGTCGGCCGGAAAGGCCTGCGGATCTTTTAGAAACTTAAAGCAACAATGGATTAATATACTAGGCAACTAATACACAGCTTCTGAATGATAGTGATTATCCCAACGTGACTGTTACCCGCCCTTCCAAGGTATGTACATACCGGCTGTCTGTGTGCAGAACACCCAGATACTGCGTATACTATGTATAATGTGTATTGGATGCTTGGGATGGTGCCTTGAGAATGCTGAAGTAGGTCTGGATTTGATGACTATCGAACTGCTGGTGTTATTGCGATTGATGTTATACTCCCTCTAGGAGAAGCAGTCGAGGCGACAGATTCAATCAATAGTTCCGATGCGCGGCAACACACTACACCATGCTTCAGCCAATTAAGCTTCTCCCATTTGCAACTCCGGATGGTTGAATTGCCGGAGCAGCGATTTCAAGGTCGCCTTAAGGCTGGCGTCGGGGTTCGGCCCGAAGAAGGTCTGTTTCCTTGTCTCACTTCTTGACAGCTAGTCTAGCGCCCATCTCCGGCCCCAAGACACCGGTTCCTACCGAGCATTGTGATTTGCCGTGAACCAACAACTATTGCTCTTAGTAGTTTAGCAGAGTTACAGGTATGAATACAAGCAGTATATCCATATCAAGACGCGCAGGAAAACTTTGGAATTCCCACTTCTGTTTCCTTGAGGGAGACACGGCTGCTTAGCTCGGCTCGCTTATGAAGCAAATTCAATTTAGGGCTAAGTCGAACCAGGCATGCCAACAGATGCGGTGACTCGGGGCTTTGCAGTAGGCATTGAAAATGCTGAGTAGTGACATCACATGTCTTTGAGCCCATGCTTTGGACTCAAACCAGCCCTCTTCCTCGGACCCCATCTGTACTGTGCCCTTCTATAACGGTGTCATAATGATTATGCTTTGTTGAGATGCTTTGTGCACTGTACACAGATATTACTATTCATAATACGTCTTGCCGGAGCCCCTGGCCTTTTATATTGAGCTGGGCAGCTCACCACTCCAGGCTGAGTGTGTAGATAGCATCTGCCTCAGATCGTCAAAATGCACGTCCTTTCATATATCTCGCCTTATGTCTAGCAGCTATTCTCAATTCTACTATGATACCTATCTTTACTTACCTCTTTGCTGATTGTCGGAAAAGTTTAAGAAGATGTGAACTTTAGCACTCCCTCCCACACACCCTGACTATGCATTGTTTGACATAAGTGAAAGTGAGTGAAGGCAGAAGTAATATAGCTGAAGATCTAGGGGCAGAGGGAAGCGCTCCCAGCTATCTCAACCCAAGCTCCACCTCATCGCGATCTGCTTCCATCCATCCATTCCCAATCTACACCCCAATATCATCCGGAAAGACCGCCTTGCACCCCAGCCACAAAACCAATCTCCCAATCCGATCCGGATACGCCGCCACAACCTTATCATAAAGCTCCTTCGCACTATTCGACTCCTGAGCCAGCCGGCTGAAAGTCTGGATGTACTCCACCGAAGCACGCACGTTCCACGCGCCATCCACCCCGCCCGGCCGATGATGCGAGGCCACGACCACCGCGGGATCGAACCGCTCCAGCACGCGCAACGAGTGCAGCCAGGCATCGCGCTGCCGCTGCTCCGGCGACTCTGTCATCCACATATGCACGTCATTGTACACGATATCCCCGGCCACGACCGTATTTAAATCCGGAATGTGGAGGAATGTCGTCTCGTCGGTGTCCGAGTGTCCGACGTCCACGGCTTGGAAGGTGTGGCCCTCCAGTGTGAGCTTGTTATCCTTGAGGGGTTTGGCTAGGATCTGGAAGGAGTCGGGATCGATTTGGTTGGGGAAGAGATCATTCCAGAACGCTTGAAATTCAGGGGTGATCTGCGTGGCCATGTGGTCGATGGAGGCTTGGGTGGAGACCACCTCCACCCCTGGGAAGCGCTGGGTGAGGTACTGCAGGTTGAAGAAGTGGTCGCCGTGGCCGTGGGTGATGTAGATTGTGGCCAGGCGTTTGCCGTTCAGGGTCTCGTCGAGCCAGTCGCCCAGCGACACGCCTTGGTCGTGGGTGAAAAGCGTGTCGACGAGGACGGCTTCGGAGTGCCCGGAGATTAGGGTCACCACCGTCGGTTGCCAGAATCCCACCGACCCATCGGGTAAGGTTGCGTTGGTGGGGATGGATGGGGCGGCGAAGAGGTCGGCTCGCAGTGCGGTTTGAAGAGACATGATAAGAGGGCTGTTTGTGATTGCTCACAATTGATTGACTAAAGAGGATGAGATTGGGATTGGAATCGGGGTTTGACTACGACGGGAGACCTTTATACCTGGCTGAATAAAACCCACGATCCTTTCAGATTCATGTGGACGTTACTGGAAGACATTGGAAGGCTCCACTTGCTGCTTCACTTGTCATCAATTATAATCGTGCTGAAATGAGGGATTGCGCGGAGATAGCAATATCATGATTAGTCGTGGTCCCCGTATTGCCTCGCGGAGCGGCGTCCGCGCAAGCGACGGGGATCACTCCGCGGCATCGTATTCGCTCGGAGACGGTTTTATCCGAGCCAGCCTAACACGATAGCGTCAGATATGAGCACTATGTTGTTGTAATCAATCCGATATTGCGACTAAGCAAGTTGTGGCCTCTCTGAATAGGGGCTATAAAGTGTACACTGATCCGGACGAAGAACGATGCTCCTGAATTCTAATCCCAGCTTTCCAGTTCTGAGCCCTAACCGTCCCGACACACCAAATCTTCAGCCAACACCATGACGACCGACTACAAATTCGAAGGCTGGATGGCCCTCGGCCCCGAAGCCAGTGAAGGCAAGATGGTATGGCAGGAGTTCGAACCCAAGCCCTGGGAGGAGACCGACGTCGACATCAAAATCACCCACTGCGGAATCTGCGGAACAGACCTGCACACACTCCGCAGCGGATGGGTAAGTCTTTCAGCCTTCAAGACCCTGTAGACCACTTCCAACTAAGTAATCTCGGCAGGGCCCAGCCATGTACCCCTGCTGTGCGGGCCACGAGATAGTAGGCATCGCCGTGCGTGTCGGCTCACAGGCCGAGAACAACATCCAATTCGGCGATCGCGTGGGCGTCGGCGCCCAGAACGACGCCTGCCTGAACCGCGACGGGCCCTGCGAGGAGTGCTCGTCCGGTAGGGAGACCTACTGCCCGCGCCTGCTGGGCATGACCTACAATGCGCGACACTGGAACGGGGCCAAGTCCTACGGCGGCTATGCCTTGTATCACCGCGCGCATTCGCACTTCGTAATCAAGATCCCTGATGCAATTCCCTCAGCTCTCGCGGCACCGATGCTCTGCGCCGGCATCACGGCGTACGCCCCGCTGCGGCAGAATGGGTGCGGACCGGGGAAGAAAGTGGCCGTGATTGGGGTCGGGGGTATTGGGCACTATGCGATCCAATTTGCTAAAGCGCTGGGAGCGGAGAAGGTTATCGCCATCTCGCGGCGCGGGGATAAAAGGGAAGACGCTTTGGCGCTGGGGGCGGATGTCTATATTGCCACCGCGGACGAGCCGGGCTGGGTGAAGGATCATGCGCGGTCGCTGGATTTGATTGTTTCCACCGTCTCGTCTTCGAAGGTATGCGTTGGTTCTTCTTTACTCTCTGTGAGGATGCTAATCAATCGGCAGATGCCTCTTCGTGATTACCTCTCTCTGCTGAAAACTGACGGCTGCTTTCATCAGCTCGGTGTGCCTGAGGACGGCACCTTGGCGGTCCCTGCGGAAGCTCTGGTCTTTCGACGGCTGAAAGTTGGAGGCTCACTGATGGCGGGGCCCGGGGAGATTCGGGAGATGCTGGAGCTCGCTGCCAGCAAGAACGTGCGGTCGTGGGTCGAGGAGGTGCCGATGAAGGAGGCCAATCAGGCCATTCAGGACATGGATGCTGGCAAGGCCCGGTATCGGTACGTGCTTGTCAATGAGCATTAAGGGGCCGTCTGCCATGGGTGTGCCAAGGGGGCTCTCTACTGTCACTCTCGCTTCTCACAAACAGTTGCTTCATAACGGGGCCTGTATCCTTCGAAAATAGACATCGCTTAGATCAGGACTTTCATGCTGGAGATACGCAAATGATTTATAATCCTACCCAATTCGCGATATAAGCATTAGCGCATTGGTTCTTAGTGAGATAGGGCCAATATTGCCTGACATACGATAGGTGAGAAATATCAAGCTAATGATATGGAGAAGTCAAGTTCAGAAGCAGCTCGAAGTAGGGCAAACAACACGAGCCGCTGCGGCCTTATCCCCGTCTTAGGGCACGGCCAGGCGGGTCCCCCACCGCAGCGGAGCGGGCATCTCCCCGTCAAGACGGAGGCACAGCCGCAGTGGGGCAAGAGACAGAAATCGAGTAAATTGTCGTGGTGTATTCCTCTTGGGACCTCTGCATTCCTCCGCAAGCATGAGATCTTGACCCTTCCACGAAGACACCCAACGGTCTACTACAAGCTCTACCTCCCTAAATCCTCCCGTACCTTGACTTCCTCCACCAACTCCCAAAAATCCTCATTCCCCTGCTCCGCCCACTCTTGAAACTTCTCCGAATTCGCCGCCAGCCATTGCCCATCTTCGCCAGCCTGGGAATTATAGTCCGAGTTAGTGATGCTTTCCAAACAGCAACAACCAAAGAAAGATAGCCCTGCCTTAGGCAACAACACCCCATGCTCCAACCCCGCAACAATCGCCCCCATCACAAACACCCGACTCAGCTCTTGCTCTTTCCCGGCGGCCTTGTCCTCGTTGACAATCCGGTCCCATGCCTCGGCAATGCGCAGCGTGGTCTCTTCGAAATCGGTTTGGGTGCGGGACCCGCCAGTGCGGACGTAGGCAATGATGCGGTTGATGCTTCTCTATTCAGGGTTTCAGCATATTGTCAAATTGGCCTTGTTTTCACGCAAGGGGGGAGAAAAGGGAGGTGCGACTACGAACCTCCTTGCCCGCGATGTAGTTGTGCTGGTTTCGGGCGTCCACGAACTTAATGTTTACAAACAGGCTCGGGGTGGTGAATTGACGGGTGTGGATGTGAGTGATAGCCTGCGCGAGGGCGTCGCGCTGCGGCTTGTTGAGAGGGATGCTGTGTTCAATTTCGTAGAGGGGCATTTTGAATCTGTGCGTTCTTTTTGATGTGTAAGGATGTATGTATGCTGTGGGTTAGGCAAGTGGTTACGGGGACAAAGAGGGTTAAAAGACAAGATACTTATATGAAGTAGACTAATGGTGCGGGGTATGCAGGCACCTTCGCGGAGCTACATCCGCAACCATCATTTTCAGCTCCTTGTCATAGATGAATGCTTCTCAGCTTCTATTGCTTGAATGCCTCTGTATTGTCTCAAATCAACCACCAGCAAATCATCCTGCTCAAATCCTACCTCCCTCCCCTGACTCTTCAGCTCTAGATATCCGGGGGCACACTGCTCGATGATCCGCACCTATAAGTCAAGATTTCCGTAGCCGCTATAAAGAGACAGGTTACTGCGTTGTGGGAGATCCGGGAAGTTGAAGATGGGAAGGTCCATCACCCAGATCTATCTTTCTTTCATCGGAACACGAGGATCAAGCCAAATAACAAAAGAGCATATGGTTTGTTCAACTGCGCAGACCAGATAAACATGATTCGATATGATCCATGTTCTGTTAGGAGAAGAAGGAAAGAAAGACTATGTCTTTCTATAACCCCCGTAGAGCTTTTGTCGGCATCCCTGCATCCTCCGGACACGGGATCCGAGGCGATTCACCAAGCGAGTTGCCCACCAACGATTTAGAATATCGTTCCATATCGCCCTTCTCAGAGACATGGGAATCGCTTCACTTCTCCAGGATAGATTGCTCCCTGACCCCCGGAATTCTTTCGGGCCCTTAGAAAGCTTTTTTATTTTCATTATATATGCATCAAAGTCATCTCTACGTTCCCTTTTACATTGGGAATATTAGGATCATATATTAAAAACTTCCTTTGACAATTTTGTTTGATAGTAGTTAAGGTTTGTCTCAATTAAATACGTCTTTTTAAAGTAAAAGCACTAGCAGATATTTCAAGACATCCTAATACTTTCTATAATCATCTGTTTTTACTGTTCTGGTCCCCTCGGAGCTGGTAGCACTAGGCTCCTCCTCTATGTTACCTTCGTCAAGGGCGTGGGATAAGGCCCACCGAGGTGGGCGGTGAGGGGCCTGACCGACGAGGCCTCAAGGGCCGCCAACAAGCTTGAATGCCCGAACCCTAAAATTGCGCTAGAGAAGACCGGATCGGCCCCAGCATGAGACTAGAGGCATCTTAGCTTCTCGGAGATCTGTTTGGAGTTCCCCGGAATAGAGTATAAAGCATACGTAAGCTCGATATCTTAGCTCCTTATGTGGTTACCGAGTGTGCCCTAGCCTCTGAGCCTACAGTGGGGTTCTGACTAGCCCGGCTACGATGAGATATGTTCGTAGCCAAAAGAGCGCATCACTGAACAATCGGCTCTCTTCTGTTTATTTTCTTTCCCCGGAAGGAAACCCGGTGTCAGAAACTCCCTGCTGATATGTCTGCATTGGAAGCCACTAGATTTGGTGGCCCTTCCTCTCCTGTGACTTTGTCATTCGACTCGAAGTTATTGCGAACCCAGGCCCAAGGTTGCATCCAGGCATATGAGGGGTGAAGTGTCTGTCAAGAATGTACTCGGGTGGTAGGTTCCAAGTTGACCCTCCTCTATGCAACCTTTTGATTGGTTAAGGGCTTTCCCTCTTCGGTAGGTACTACCGCACAGCGCCCGATCATGATACCTGCCTTGCAAGTGAGTTTCCGATTGAGCAGTTGAGTGACACATGGGTAGAAGGGAATACGGAACACGCCTCTAAGTACTACTAAGCCTTATTCTATGATCCAGAGGAGTAAGGGACTCAGTTTGAATCGTTTCTCTCATTGTATGTCATAGTCTTGTTGCAATAGCCAATAGTCGCAAAACTCTTTTGTTCATTTCGTTATTGTCGAGCTTGTTACTAGAAAAATACTTACACCCAACCAGTGCACTCATCCCGCTGCAAGTAGTGTTCTGCCCCAGAGCATAAACCATCTATCACCTTTCGCCAAAAGAAAAAGTATTCAAGAAACCATTCGGACCCAGACAGAGACAGAGAGCTTAGCAGTTCGCAGTTGGAATCTAATATTCACTCATTAATGCAACCATTGATAGAATAACATGTTGCAGTACTCACCAGCTGCGCAGTGTTATACCGAGGATCTGCCGTCATAACCTCACAGGGGTTCTTTAGCTGGCTGCCACGATCTTGTATGACTTGAAAATGTCGGCAGAATTATACCAGCAATAGCCGCTTTTGGGCTCATACACGGTACCCTTGCAGTCCTTCTCATAGAAGAGATGAGGCACGACATTCTTTTTGGCGTAGGTGAACATGACGGAATGAAGTTCTTGGGTGGTATCGAAGTTCTCACAGGCCTGTGCACCCGTCGTGGCCTCGGCGTAGATCTCGCTGCCCCCGCATTTGACTCCAGTCCAGCCCTGAACTTCCCAGGCTGTGGCTCGGGAGGCTGCGAGGAGAACGATACCGGCAAGCTTGAGGTTGTACATAGTAGAACTCAAAAATGATATGTTTGTATGAAAAGACAATTTCTTGCGAACGGAAGTACCACAAAATCACGCACTGGCTGACTTTGCCAAGGAGGAAACCAGAGATTAAAGTATGGTCTTGTCAGAGAATGAGAAAATGTGATAGCCAGGACATATGCGTCCTCGGCCTTTTTATACCTGTGATCTATCTTCTGACTCCTCGAGCTCCGAGTGAAACTCTCAGTCAAGCTAATCGTTTGATCGGGTTGCTAACCAGCCGAGACAGTCTGTTGTGGAGCCCACAAACCAAAGTGAGTTCACCTGTAAGAAAGTCGGACTCTCACCCCGACGCTCGAGACACCTTGCACAGACAGATAACGACTAGCACTGAGAGCCTAGGTTGTTGGTTGTTGAATCTACGCTATAGCCAGTTACCACCAGCCATGATTTCCTTGTACTACGTGTTTCTCTTCCTCCTCCCTCGGCAACCACTTTACACTAGCTATCGGATATCACCGATGACGGAAATTGAATTTGGCCCTCCGGACATGTATCCAATTTTATTCACCTGGCCAAGTGTCTTCCAGCAGAAAGTAGCCCTCCTCAAATATAATCATCGTAGCTTATACCAGTGACGAAAACTAAAACATCTCTCTCGATTGAGCGTTCGTGGGCGAGGCAGACACCACATCGAATCATGTGCTTACTCTCGATCCCCGCATGGTTCTGCTAATCGTAAAGACCTCATGATGAGAGCATTTCCGGCTCACTTGCTTGTGAAGCACCCACCAATCTTCTCTTTTGCCTCAAAGGAACCTAGCCTAGGCAAATTATCTTCAATGCTTAGAGCCAGGGATATGAGCAAAGCCGGGCATCGTCCGAATCCTTAGATGTGGATACTAGATCTACTATACCGTCTACTATACGTACAGATAGGGCTCGTGCGGTTGTTATCGGATAGACTACGTTGAACAAACCCAGGATTCCGGCCGAGATTGTGTGAATTAGTGGTCATGGAACAACAAGCCGGCGCGACCCACGCCCCACCTTTCCCACATCGAGGTTCTCATTTGCGCATAATCGATCAATATCCTTAGATTTAGTAGGATTATGGTGTCTTGGAAGCCATAAATGCCTCAACAGGATGAAAGGTTAGATCTCAATGTTGGATCCTTCCGGGGGAAGTAAAACGATTGCGCTGTAAATGGCCCATGCACCGGCAGGTGGACTCAGGATATAAGGTGGTATGTAAGTTGTAGCATGAACTTAGGGTATAATCTTCACATCAAGAAATCCCATTAACTTGAGATTGCATCGCATGTGCCTGTCATCCCCATAGCAATACTGGAGCAGAATATTCTTCGCCCACTGAAACCTCCCTCTTCATGAGGTTGTCGCCGCTTAGTGGTGTATCATCGCTAGCGACCTCCTCGCTAGCTGAGTGGTGGGATTGTGTAAGGTGTGGGGCAGCAAGGTGCCCACAGTTCTTGAGCTATGATATGTATGTTCAGATTAAGCTTAGTTTACATGATTAACGAGCACCACACCCTCTGGCGCTTGTTGATTTCGTCTGTGCTGGGCTAGGGGGAATAGGGAGGTTACGCGTCCTCTATACCCGATATGGCAAAAGCTGATGATAAATCTGGGTATCTCAAGCTAGCTACTCTTCTCTTGGAGAGTTATCACAAGCCATGGTTGCCCAAACCTGGCAGCTGGAACCTCAGGTTCAGGATATACAATGCAGCAATGCACTCAATGAACATGTCGACCAGAAGAGATCGTTGGTTTTGAAGATGTATCTGAAGGCAGACCTCAACTGGGATACTCTAGTGCGTTCAAAACCGGTAAAGGGAATATTGATATACCCCGCAACTTATGCCAGGCGGCCATGAGTGGCGAAAAAATGCCCTAGGGCAGACACCGCTGTAGGGTACGGATTCATGGAGCCAGCTATCATATGCCTTACGGCAGGGGAGACTCCAGAGCAGCACTTGTGTTGAGGAAAAGGTTGTGCCCAGGCACGAGGTTTCTTGAAAGTCCTATAGGCATTTCCTCCAGGCTCCTTGTTTTGGAAAGGTCATACTTCGCCAGATCTAAAATAGAAATAGACATTAACTTGATTTTCGCAGGAATTCAGTTGAAGTAGCTGATTGTTTATAATCTCGTCATGGACCTCGTTCATTCGGGTTGATACCCCCTCGCTAGAGAAAATAGTGGAAAGCTTCAAAACTCTTGGTGTTCGTGAACCCTTCTTCGTCTACCAGAGGTCGTGAGAGTAATAAGCTGGCCCTTTGTCGGATCTGGACCTCGCTCAAAAGCTTACATAATTTGCGAGAACGGAATACACGGGATATATCCTAGATGTACAGTAACAGCATTGATTATATCTTCCACCATCAGGCTAATTGCCTCCAGAGACCAAATCTTGCATCATCTCTCCCATCCCGCCGGGGAGATCCCACGGAAGGTTCAACCAGTCCAAGGTCGTCTCGGACTGGGGCTCCGCAAAGAACGACAAGAGCTCGGACGTGGCAGTAGGCTGCTGCGTTGGGACATAGTACGGATCAAATAAGTCCTGTTCAGCCTCTCCGATACCAGCGGGATACCCTTCAGTGTCCAATCTATTCGAGCCAATCGGCTCATCACCAGCAAGGCTATAATGAGTCTCACCGACTGGGTGTGATATTTTTGACTGCCCCGCCCGCATAAGACTTCGTGCGAACCGCCGCACCGTAGCCCTCGTGATGCCATCCAGCACATCCCGGCTTCTCTTGGCTTCAAGCCAATACTCCCCAGTGGCACTTAGAATGTCGGACGCGGACTTTAGTGCGTGTAAAACAGTGTCGAGGTCAGTTTCTTCGCCCACCCCGTCCGGCGGCCAGACGCAGTAAAATATCGTCATCACGCATAGAAACAACGACTGTACGTTCATCCAATTATAGTGCAGCATGCTGTTTATATACAGCTTGTGGTAAAGCCGGATGCATTCCAAGGCACATTGGAAGCACAGGCGTATCAAGCTTCTGGAGGGATGGTTGAAGAGCGGACTTGGACGTACGATCAGCATCACTAGCTCGTGGTACTTGATCTCAAGCAAGTCATTCATATAGCATGCTGAGCTCCCTTGGGGGTGGCACGGGATGGACGATTTCCACTGGCGCAGACGGTTCAGCATATCTTCCTGCCATTGCTGGACGTCCGTTATGACAGGCTGCGTGTAAGGGGGATAATTTCGGTCGACGCAATATAGCACACATTTGATTTCAGCGTTGAACCGGGCAAGCTTGAAGAGATGGATCGCGCTAGACATAACGGTTATAGCTCCAGAAGGCTGCGCTTGAGCCAGTATCTCCTGGTTGGGCTTCAAGTCTTCATCGTTGATTTCTCGCGGTAACTGTAACGTTCAGCGTCTTTTTTTTTTAGAGATATGTATGGTACGGGTGATGTACCCTCAAATCGCATTGCTCGTCCACTATCCCTATCGACCTGCCGAGTAAGGTGCTCAAGTAGCGATCCATCGTATACACGCACCAGAAAGCTCGAGTGCGCATCTCCTGATCGAAATCGGTGAAGACAGAGTCCCGAACATTGCGATGTAATCCGAGCTCCATCACGACGGCTAGGGAGTTGTAATGAAGGGCCCATAAGCTAATCCCTGAAGTTGGGTTGTTGATTGTGTACATCTGTAGAAGCAGCATGCACTGCACACCACGTAGAGAAGATTTCTGAAAAATGGCATCCAAGTGAACAATTGCAGAGGCGCAGTAACCTTCAGCTGAAAGTAGCACCTTAGCTTGCCGTGATCGGATGGTGGCACCGATAGCCAGGACCATGAAGATCTGAAATTGATCAACAGGTGTGACATCTACACCGCTGTAAGCCTTTTGCAGAAGTTCCAGATGAGTGGGTCTGTGAAGAAACGGAAACTGTAAATGAACCGCCTCGAAATATGCCTGCGTCAACCATTGCGCCTGTTTTAAGTCCGATGGTAAATCCTTCGGTTGGAGATCGAGGAGCTCCGCAGGGACAGATTGATTGCTCTTCAAAGCTGGAGGTGACTCTCGTGCTATCCCAGCTCGCCGCTCAAGGCCTGTTAGCACAAATCTTGTGAAGAACAGTCCACTAGAAGGCCCTAGATAACGCAGATCCGCCCCAGCATTGACCGAGACCAGACCTAGTTGATCTGTTACATCACGAGCTGGGTTCCAGCCATCCCTGATATGTGCAGTCTGCGAGACAACGGTCTCAGAAGTAGCGAGATTGGTAGGCACTCCGTAGTCAGAGCTACGAGGACGAATCGAGTAATCAGAGTCAGACTTGCTGAGGTCAATATGTGGCAGGTGCTCCTGTATGATCGACTCGAGCCATTCAATTCGTGCTTCTAGCTCTTCCACGTGACTGTGTTTGATGTTGTATTCAGGCTTCAGAGCTAATTACTCACACTGCAAGAATGGCTTACCTTCGGGAAATGTCACGGACATTCCACCCCTCAACGCAGTCCACACGGGCCCGTTGGCAACCACCACAGACAGGGACCACACCATCACACTGGAAGCCATTAGTGTTTAAGGCAGATAATGCAAGAGCAGTCATCAACATTGCCGATACTACTCACCCGAATCTTTCGTTTCTGGCAGCGAGCGCATGCGGTGGTGGTCCGGCTGCGGGGGGCAGCCCGACGGTCTCGACGTCGGGCTAGAGGTGATGGATCCATTGTAATCAGTGACGTGGTCTTTGTAATCAGTTTTCAGTGGTCATTTAAGCTTGCATAACTGATCTGTCCGTGTGCTTTTTGGGTGAGACCTGTTCTCTTGTCTGTTTAGTTGAACGAAGGACGTAGTTGGGATGGTTAGCGATGAATGACCCCGCCGACGGACGGAGTTCCGTCCGTGCCTTCGCCGCCGAAATTAGTCATCACCCCAGCATGAGGACAAAAAGCATGCTATATAAACAAAATCGTATACCGGATAAAGAGGGGGGTCGCGAGGATAGTCGACGGCCTGAGTAGAGACATGGTGGTTTTTGTGTATCGTGTGCAGAAGAGCATGTCGGGGATATATGTCAGAATTACTATGAGTTTTCGGAACACACACTCTCTCTCACCGAAACCACAACAAGCAGATCAACTCTCCTTTACTCGAAGTGAACACATGATCCGTGATGCATGAACTCCTTGACAGAGCTGTACAGAGCCAGTATGTTTTGCTGATTTGTATACGATTCGGCTTCAAACTGGTTCGGGCGGTATCAAGTCCTCATTGGCCGCTAAGGAGATTCTTCAACTGAATCCAAAAAGAACAAAATTGCACCACTCAACGCAGGTGCAATGACGCTTCCATGATCTTCGTCAATATACGTCCTCTTCTCACATACCACTCGACCACTGGAGTTCAATCGTTCGTACAGTTCTTCGCAGTTGTCCGTCATACGACGCTGGGCAGCGCCCCTTTTCCGCCTCTCGTACATATCCTGCGACTCTCCTCTGAGACGAGTCGGGAACTGTTCCTGAGATCCATAAGAGAGACGCACCCTAGGCAGGCGTCCAAGTGCCACAGTAGCATAAAGTTGACCCTCTTCCGTCAATATGAATCGATCTTTCCACCAGATCGACGGACTCGCCACTAGAAAAGTGTCAAAACTCTCTGGTCGCGTGAACAGGACATGCAATGCGAACAAGCCCCCGTATGAATGGCCAAACATGGCAGTTCTAACGAGTGTGACGAAAGGGAACACAGAAGACAAGACAAACGGCTCAATGGTCCTCTTAATGAAGGACAAGAATTGATCCGCCCCGCCATGTGGTTCACAACGGGGCTGGCCATCGGGTCCGTTTGGGGGAACATAACTCTCGCACGGTGGAGTCAAGTCCACCGTACGGCGAGGATCATAAACCCTGTCGGTCAACGGGTAGCCAATCGCGACAACGACAGTCTCCGGCTCATTGGGTGAAACAGGCCGACGGCGACGAACAGCATCCAATGCAGTTCCGAAGACGGCGTTCCCATCGACAAGGTAACTAGCTCATGTGAGTCGCAAGAATTTTCAACCTCGGCGCAAGATGTGCCCGCAGACGTACAGAAGATTGACGTTGGCCAAGACCTGTAAAGTATTCCAGCTCAGCGGCCACGCAAGCTGGATCTGATAAGACAGTCCCTGTGCGTTGGAAACAGTCCATGCCGCCACATTCGGAATTCCGCCGTTATCGGATCGGGTAAAGGTCCATTGAGTCATGTTGTTACAGCGTTAAGCGTAGTCACATTCACAAGCAAGACATGGCGACACCTTTATGACACACACAGGCTGGACGGGAAATACTCGGTGCCGGATCGGAAGCAGATTGATTGTGTACCCCCACGCTGCTTCCGACGGATGCTTCATTTTGCCTTCAGCGGACGGTCTTGGCTCCTCTTGGCGCCCTTGGCATCCATTATCTGATCCGGAATTGAACTTCCCTCAGGCCAGTCAGAGAAGGTCCAGGCAAGAAAACGGGGTCTGCGGAATTGGAATGACCAACTCTTACGGGGGTCGTCCGACATCTCGCGTGGCATCGCCAGATTAGATTAGATCTCCGAAGCCGCTGCACACAATCGAACGACTTATACGAAGTGTCGGTGGAGGCATCAGGAATTATGGCTGCATGAGTCAGTGCTAGAAGCCGGACCTATGCACGAAAAAAAGCTCGGCGTCGCCTGATGCTAATGAACGCCACCGTTGGGCATGCGGTCAAAGTTCTTATTTCTTGAGCCGACTTCCTTCGGTCCGATGACTGCGGTCGTGCAAGCAAAAACGCATACTCACGATGAGCAGCGCCATGAGTTTGTCTAAAGAGACAAGGGAGTCGTTTGCTCCCGCCTCAACCAACATGGCCGAGATCACAACTCAGCCATCAGAAGAACATACCAAGCATGAGCAGAACCCCCAGGCGGATTCAGAGAGCCTCCAGGCTGGTGTCCAGAGAGCAGAGCAGTTGCGGAGGATCTGGTCCAAGACAGGCTTGATCATCGCTTTCGTTGGGTAGGCGTCTGACATTACGAGCGTTCTGGTCGTGACTGACAGTAGTAGTCTGTTCCTGGCCACTTTCGCCGTCAACTTTGCAGACTATTCAACCCAGGTGTACACCGCATACACAACGAGCGCCTTCAAGCAGCACTCGGCCATGAGTGCTGCGCGTGTGGTCATGAACATCACCCGCATTGCTTCATATCCGATCATTGCTAAGCTGGGCGATGTACGAAAGCCTTGCACGTCCTTTATCTTCATACTGACAATGGTCTCAGGTGTTTGGTCGAGCTGAGATGTTCATCCTCTCAATCTTCGCCCAGGTACTCGGCTATGTCATTTATGCATGCTGCAAGAACATCTCACAGTATATGGTATGCTCTCATTGATTGGCATTATGAGCGTGTCTGACCTTTGCTTCTCAATGAGTAGGCCGCCGGAATCTTCGAAGCCATCGGTTCAACAGGTTATGCCCTTACCCAGCAAGTGTTCGTCGCCGACGTAACGAATCTGCTCAATCGGGGTATCTGGTCGACACTTCCCGACTCCCTGACAACTATCCCGACACTATACCTGGGCACGATCGTTGCGCAAGACATCCTCGACCACTCCACATGGCGCTGGGGATGGGGTATGTGGGCAATCGTGCTGCCCGTTGCTGCAGCACCCTTGGTCGGAAGCATGGTGCTTTACCAGCACCGTGCCCCTCGTCGTGTCCGCATAAGTTCAGCTTTGGGGTGGAAGGCCGAGGATCCCTGGTGGCGTCGGGTCTATGATCTCCTATGGATTCAACTAGATCTGCCCGGCGCCGTGCTACTTCTATTGGGACTGTCGCTGTTTTTGATCCCACTGTCCCTGACTGGCTCGGGCAACAGTGGTGCCTGGCGACACAACGGCTCTTTCATTGCTATGCTTGTCATGGGTGTGGTGTTTGTAATTGCCTTCCTGGCGTGGGATGCGTGGTTCGCGAAGAAGCCATTTGTCCCATACCGAATGATCCGCAACCGCACCGTGGCTGCTGCTTGCCTGCTAGGCGCCTTGGACTTTTTCCACTACTCCGTCTTCACCGTTTTCTTCACCAGCTACCTGCAAGTAGCTGGACATTTTGAGGCTGGAAATGCCACACGGATTGAGTAAGCTCTAACACATGACTCTCTCAAATCCGACTAAATGCTAATGTTGATGACTGCAGCAACTCCCTGCGAGTAGCTTTCCAAGTGGCAGGGATCTTCGCCTCGCTCTTCATGAAATACACCCGTCGCTCGCAAATTTGGGTTCTTGGAGGTGTTCCGCTCTGCGTGCTCGGTATGGGTATTGTTCTTTACCTCGTGGATATGGGCAATGGCAAAACAGGAAGCGAGGCAGCCTTCATCACGGCCAAATCGCTGATTGGAATTGGGCGTGGCTTCTACCAGACCGCAGCTCAGGTCTCCGTCCAGGCCGTCGTGTCCAGACAGGAAGTCTCCGTCGTGACGGCGGTATTCTTTGCTTCCATGAGCGTAGGAGGGGCCATTGGAACTAGGTAAGCGTCCGACGTGTATTGTGCGATCGAGGTAGTCTGACAAGTGTATCGATTAGTGTGGCCGGCGCCATCTGGCGAAGCACTCTCCCCAAGAAGCTAGAGCGATACCTTCCCGATGCGCTCAAATCCCAGGCGCACACCATCTTCAGTTCTATTGTTGTGGCGAAGAAGTATCAACCTGGCACGGCTGCTCGTGATGCTATTGACCGGAGCTATCGGGAGTCCCAGCGCCTTTTGGCGATTGCTGCTCTGGCAGCTCTAGCTCCGATGCTGATTGTGATGTTCTTCCTGCGCAATGTACATCTCGATGCGCAAGATGAGGAGGGAGGAGCTACTACTGAGACTCCTGTCGAAAAGGGACACGAAGACATCCAGGCGGGGAAGAGTGCTAGGGCAACTTCGACTCCTGCCGGTGCTGAGAATAGCTATCGAGCCGAAGAGTAGTCGAAGTGCTAAACAGGTTACATCAGCTGCGAGAAAGCAACATGGCTTTCCAAAACGTCAGACTGGCATCTCTTGAGATGGTGGTGCATCAGATATCCGGAAGGTGATCGACTAGATGACGGAACTTTTCTTCTAATGATAGGCTTTGAGCGAGAGATATCGAGAGATTTCGAGAGATTTCGATCTAGGATTTAATTATGGCTTTGGTGGAAGTATAGAGCGTTTTCTCAAGTCACAGATCTGTAAAGATGCCTCGAAATATATTCCCGTACTTGCCAACGATATTGGTCAGGGAAAGGCGTTTTTGTTGACTGAGAAAGTCAGATCACGGGGATTGAGTTATGTCTGAGTATGGTGATATGAGACTTATCGAGAAAAGGCAGATTTGGGCACAGGTTGGAGGTGTTCAGAGGGAAGAAAGTAAATTATGCAGAGAAGTGGCCCACCGGCTACGTTGTGGCCTTAGTCAGCTATGCATATGCACCGATGAATTATACCACTCATGTGACCATACACGTAAGGATCCACGTGACAATGCCTCTCTATTCCGTACTTTCTTCCAATTGACTGAGTCCAGCTGCAGGAACGAAAGTCAAGATTCAAGGCTGAGGTCGGTCCAAGACTCGTTGTCCGAGCATGCCTTATTCTTCCTCTCTTGGGCCTGCCCATTGCTTCTGGAACGCCGATGTCAGGTCAAGGCTGGGGCGTGGGGTGGCGTGCCAAGTTGTTTTCGAGTGGCCACATTCCATTGATGATTGATCGGCCCCATTCGGTCGGATGGAGCCAGGGGGGCACAATACAATAACAAAATAAAGCCTTGCTCCATCGATGCGGTAACACAGTCATGATCGTCGCTGGATTATTGCTTGTAAGTTGTAACATATTCATAGTCATCGGCAGTGTTCCTGCCAAGGAGATTACTGTATGCAAGAAAGATGAAACACCTGAATCTGACTTCAGTGGTCGTCGTCAGATGTTCTAAACTTGGCACGCTGCCTACCAATCTTGCACTGAACAGGAATGGTTGGCCCCAGCAGCGCTGAGTGGATAGACAAATCACAACAAATACAAAATTATAATCAGGTGTGCCTGACCCACCCCTGAAGCCTGTTTGCCAGTTTGCCAGTTTGTTGAGGCTAGAAGTTCTTTCCAAGTTCCTCTTTCCTCTTTCCTCTCCTGAAACTCAAACACCGACCGCCCGCTCTCTCTCCTCCCTCCGCCATACTCTACCTAACTTCCCATCATCCTCAATTCCCAACAACCCATCCATACCATTCCACTACTGACCGAGACTCTCTTCCATCCTCCTCATCCAAACATGCAGCTCAAATCTCTCCTCGTCGCCCTGGCCCTCGGCCTTTCTGTCCAAGCCTATGAGATCAAGGGCTACACCGAGAAGGACTGCAAAGGCGACCCCGATAGCTCCACCACCACCGGTGATAAACTCGAAGAGTGCGGCACTCTTGCCAGCTCCAAGTGGAAGTCGGTCAAGGCCACCCCTGGTGACTTGGTTTTGACTGCCTACAAGTCCGCCAAGTGTGCCGGGGAGGGATACGCCCTGCAGCCCGGCAAGTGCGTCAACGGCGAGTTCACGTCCTACGAGGTGCGTCAAGACCTATGACTTTGCTCCGTCAAATAGTATGAACTAACCGGAGGATCCAATCGCTTGCAGGCACAATGGATCTCCACTATGCGGAAGCGTAACACCACCGAGATCATCGGCGATTGGGGAATCGAGGACGAGGAGAACACCTCTCTGTAAGCATTCGGGGCAAATGGATACGCAATTGAAGTCATCGGTCTCGCGCGCGCGTTAGTTTCAGCAAAATTCGACTTTGGGATACCACTTTTATTTTTCTACGCGAGGTCCTTTGCATCACACCCCGGGGTCAGCTACGGTCGGCAGTCTACTCTAGGCCGGGCGGCGATACGCACTTGCAAGCAGCAGTCATTGTTCTGGTGCGGCACCTGTCGGGGATCTCTTTTCCTTTTCGTTCTTCGTTGTGATCGGTTTCCAGCATTTATCTGTATAGTTGCATTTTCGGACAGGAACAATAGAATGTCGGTTTTTTCTATGCACTGGGCACTCGTTCACAGAACCGGTCCTGATGGAATTTGTCTAGTCGGGGATAAGCAGATGGGTCGGGCGTGGGTTGTGATAAGGGAGGGTTGTCCCAATGCTGCAGGAAAGTACAGTAGACGAGTCGATCATGCAGTAGTTCCTGCATTGGATGGCCAACTGATTCGATGCATGCGAGGGCTGCAGCAGCCGGGGACTGCAATTGCAGAGTTACACCAACCATATCGCAATACAACTGTGTTCCAGACACAAATAAAATCCACCGCGCGGCTATTCCAGAGCTACAGCATCATGGTTATCATGCAGAAGCCTACACACAGATTCGCTGCGCAGTGGAAACCGGCTGAATCCGACACCGGACGGCCCGGGTATACTGCACGATCAATACATGCACAACAAGTACGATGGCCTACCCCAACATATTTTTGTGTACAGTGTCAGAAGTGCTAAATTGATATCACTCGCTCGAATATTGGTCTTAAGCTACAAAATCACCGACCGCCTACGTTTACGTTCAATCCTCTCCCAGAACAGGAAACCAACATAACTCAGAACGACAATTTCCCAGAACCAGATGATTGCATATACAGCAAGTCCTACGTCCAACTAAATCGAACTACCGATGGTCTGCCCTACTGAGCGATGTTGAGATCCGCTCGTCCAAATTTAACCCATCATCCTACCCACCATCCAAAGACAAAGGCATGAGAACCTGGAACATAGGTAGGTATGTTGAATACCACCTTCAGACTACCACATCTGTTCACTCCCTTGCCACCCTAGTAAGAGTCGTCGCAGGGCACTTGGACTGATACGGCCAGAAATCCCCGGACTCGGCGTAGATCGTATTCGGATCCGCGCACTCGGCCGCCCGCACGCGATACGGACTAACCACATCCTCATAGATTAGGACAAGTACCCACAGCACAGCATCGCGAAGAAACACAAGTCGATGCAACATACATTGTCGTCCGCAGCCCTGGATAACACTTGCCGGGAATGGTCACGCAGCCCGCGTCCCGCTGGACCGGCTGGCGGTTGAGCAGATCGATGATTTGCGGAGGGTATTCGACGAAGTTGGTGAGGTAGAGGCAGAATTGTTGGGGATCGGTGCTTGAGAGTTTATTTCAATTCACTGGTAGTTCCGGACGTGATGACGAGATACCTACTTGACGGCATTGTAGCAGACTTGCCACTCCTTGGAGACGTCGACTCGGTCGCCGGCGGCGGGCTTGTAGATGGAGACTGCGCCTGCAGTGGCTAGGAGAGTGGCAATAGTAAGGGAGGTGAGCTGCATTTTGAGGTCTTTTGGGGATTCAGTTCTGGACTTGAGTTTGAGTTTGAAGGGTACTACCGGTGATGGGAGAGGTAAGAGTTTTGGGGATCTGGTTGATGGGCTTCGAAGGTAATATGGCACTACTTATACCCCAGTCGCTTCTCTTCCTCTTTGGCTGATGCCATAACATCATGCATATCGATGAAAGCTGTGATCATTGCACCCATTGTTCCACAAGAGCAGTCACTCGAGATAGAGAATGATCCTGACAGTCCAAAAAGAATCTATTGTCGCATTGCCGAGAATAGAAGGCCTGACGCCAGACCAATTATGAAGACAAGGTTACATGTTTACGTATCTGTTACTGCCATCACGCGGAGACATCTTGCTATACGAAGCGATAGAGTTAATCACAGGCGAAGAATGTGTCTGGCTGACTGTGCTAGCTTCCAGCTTAGGCTATACTTTGCAATCAAGCAGGGATGAATCGGGCTTCCTTTGTTGAGTGAACCCCTCACGACGTAGACGGCTTGGCCTCCCCGTGAGCAAAGTAGACTCCAGAAGCAAGTCTGAAGGATTTTGGTCTGAGTCACTGGCTTGACCTGACTTGATACGACGCTATCTTGGAGGTTATCAACAGGGATACACAGCTTTGCGTTGCGGATAATCATGAAGGTTACGGTGCTCATCCTCTTGAGCGCAGTATAGATCTGGAGATGCCGCTCAAGGATGATATATTCATAAATGTACCCATAAGGTACTCAGTGGCGCACTGTGAGTCTTTTCCCCAGGCAGTAAAATCTGATAATCAGTATACCTACACCTTTACTTAAGGATGCAGTGGACTAAAGTACCACCTGTGTGCAGATTCTAATTCGAATCCCACCAACTTATTCAAAAGCATACCAATGAAACAATTCTCCGGTACAATTAGCATTTCCGATCTTCCGCGGGGTCGGTACATCTGCAGTGTACGGTGCCACAAACAAGGACCAGCACAGGGTCTTCAAAACCACCTTCACAGGCCGTAGGCTCCACGACTGGTCTAATGATCTGCCTTTTTAAAGACAACGGTCTTGATCTAGATACACCATATAATTAGGTTCTCACAAAACCTAACATAGATAGCCCCAAGGGGTTCGAATCCTGACGCTCAGGGGACTTAGGGCTTGGCTCTGTGAGGTTTCGTGGAGCCCTTGTGGATAGCAGCGGCGACTTCGACTCCAGGCCATCTACATGACACGCTGCGCGGGTGATGCTTGTCAGCATTCCAAAAGCATGTCAAGAAGCTCGGAGTGTCATGACGTAGTAGCATCGACAGTTGAGCAGCATGAAGTCCATGCGCCGGATCCCTGCCTCGTATTCTCGTGCAACATCACCTTGCACGTGGAGATTTTGAAAACAGCCACTCAGCATTGGGCAATTGCAAAAATAACTCTCCAAGGAGCATTTCGACCAATGCGTATTCTGTACGACGTGCTTCCAGAATTATATTTCTCGGTTGTTGCATCGCAGGTGGTTTATGCAGGTCTCGGTGATCGTGTCAGCATTAGGCTATAGTTAGTGAACCATCAGACAGCAGAATCAACCTCACGTGCGCTGGGAAATTTGGTCTCTGGAGACAGGGAGCAAGAAAAATCCTTGTGAGGATTCGCATAAACTGATGCTGGAGCCTGGAGATCAGTATTCACAGCATTGTGCGTAGATGGACTGTTTCTTGTAGCAGCTGTCGTGACAGATGACTGTGATTTATGAATGTAAAAGGAAAGAATTCAGACATTCATGCCTTCACTTGCCCTTCCCTAAGCCTGGTACACCCTTTCCTGTAGCAGTGATTTCAACACCGAGTCATGGTTTTGCTTGTGCTAACTCAGCAGCTCCTTCAAGGACAAATGCCCTTGCAATGTGATTGAAACAACGTAGAATGAAAATAAAACCCGCTCATTGTCCTGTTATAGACGGTACCTCATCCTAAACACGAATGACCAATTTGCCCTTCGCATGCTTGCTCAACAAGACCTCATATGCCTAGCAACCTCTTTAGCCAGATCAGCCTTTACCATGACTATCTGGGCCACTCAACTCAATCACATTCTCACACATCCAAACACCCCCAATCCACGTCTTCAAAGCCGCCTTCTGAGGCAACACTCTCAACCTCTCCACTTCTCCACATTCACTCAAGCCGTGGGTTGTCGGTAGTTGAAGTCTTCTGGAGATGCTATGGAAAGTATGTTGCGCGGGGTAGGTCTCCTGCTTGGTAGGGTTTGCTTTGTTCGATCTTTTGTCTGGGTTTAAAGTGAGGTGGAAGCTATGAGGGTTGCTTGTGGCGCGGGTAAATACGACTTAGAAAGTATGTCTACTAGTTGTATAGTAAGCAAATGAATCTATTAAGAGCTGCTGGAAAGGCCAGGGTAAAGTTGTTAAATCACCACACTAATGATAGGAAATTTGCATTCGACGTGACCATCTTCAGGGGCTCATTGGGCGGGCAAATTTAGATTATAACAATATGGCGATCACAATGTTTACCAACAGTATTCATCGGTACCCAGGCAGCATGTCTGTATAGTCCCGATCTCTCCGGCATCACCTTCACCTGAATGCAGGAATGAGTCGCGCCTTGGCCATCCGATCAAAAGCAACCTTATACCCCTCCACCGTGTCAATCGACTCACGAAACCCCGCCGCCCGGGCCCTATCCAGCGAATACTGGCGATCAAAATCAAAGTCCAAGAGCATCAAGCGAACATGGTCCCAGTTCTGCGTCTCAATAAATCCCTTCTTCAGCCCCTTGCTCTCAATCAGGGCCTTCCACGTCTCCATGTGAGCCTCCACAAACTCCTGCATGGAAGCTCTCTTCTCCCCGTCAGGCTCGCACCCAACCAGACCAATGTATGCACACAACCCAGGCCAGACCTGCGCCCAGCGCACCACCTCCCCATCCGCAGAATTGAAGGTCGAGCCATTGCCGCACCGGTCGCGATTCAACGCGGCAAAGATCTCCATCTTGGACAGGATGTCCTGAAAAGTATCGCTGTGGGAGGCGTGGTACCCGTGCGGCTTGCCCGGGAACGGGACGCGCGCACCCGCCCCGTGAACCTGCCGGTAGAGCGTGAGGTAGAACGCAATGCCGTGGGCCATGTTCATCGCATTGGAGCCGGGGGCAAACCCCACGATGCCGTCGGGCCGGATCTCTGAGAAGGTCCATTTGCCGTGCCGCTGGGACAGCTCCGTCAGAAGATCGTACTGGCTGTAGTAGAAGATATTACTGTGCCATGGCTCGGGGATACGTGGGAGGTCCTCGTGCAGGGGCGCCTGGAGATTGACTTCTTTGGGGAATCCCAGTCCGTATCCCATGCCGCCTGTCTGCAGGATGACGACCTCTAGGTTGGGCGCAGCAGCGTTGGTGGCTTCGATCGCCGTGCGTAGGATCTGGGTGTTAATCCTTTTCGAAGATTCGGGGTCGCTGGTTTGGACGTATGCTGTGCAGAGGGCATTCATGTTAGATTGACGTGTCGATGAGACGGAAGGGCACGTTGAACCCAGACGGAGCCATTTTCCAACCTACCACAGAAGAAGACAACATCCACCGTTTCCACCTCGTCAACCTTCGTTTTCAGCTGCTCTATAACGGTGTCCACGGTGGCTGTGAGATCAATCCCAGGAATAATTCTCAACCGAGAGTCATCGGGAAGCAGAGATTCTTCTTTCGCGAGAGGACGATTACACAAGCCTGTAATGCGTCTGAAACTCGTTGGAGAAGGGTATGAGACACACTGGTTGAGGAGCGACCAGCCCGAGATGCCTGATGCCCCGAAGATGAGAGCATGTTTCCCATCGCTAGTCATGATGTTTAACTATGCGTCAAGTGCAGGACGGTGCGAGATCCCAGAAGAAGATAAGAGTCTGAACCGAGTAGAGGAACTGATTTGCTTGTTCTGAGTAACCACTTTGACCTCTTGATTTATATCTTCGATGTGTATTTGTAATCTGTCTTGGCTGCCGGAATTCGTTTACCGGATGATACCCTGCATGGGTCTTGTTCGATGATGATTTTGCCCTGGAAAAAAAAGCTGACTTATATTAGCAACATGCATTAAAGCCTTTGAGTCCAATCACAGCATGAAATCACCTTGAAGAGCCCCACTGCTTTTCTGTTCAGACATGAGAAACCCTGACATCATTTGGGAGCGATCCATGATAGTATACTCACAACCAGGAATAGAGAACCCGATCGGACGCGTCACATGATGATGGCTACACGAATGCCCTCGGAATTCCCTCGCTGAGAAGGATATTGCACAAATCGGACTCCATGAAATCCAGAGAGTAAGTCAAGCCATTATCGATGGAAGGGATATCAGTTGAGTGTCGAAGAACATCTGCTTGTTCTACTGTTCGCTCTACCGCTGCTGCAGACCAGCTCTGATCATGTGCTGGGCGTGGGGGACTCCCATCTCGAGCCGTAGTCCGACGGCCAGTCGTTGTGAACGAGTACGGCAACTTCCGCTTGATGCCTGAAGATACCTTCGTATTTCGCCGGAGATTCTGCCACTCGCGCTGCAGTGTTGTGAGAAAAGTATTGGTGCGTCTCGCATTTTCGAAGCGACTGCCCATCTCATCCAGCGCACGGAAACAAGTGTTCAGATGCTCGATCAACTCTTGATCTTCGTCATTACCTTTCGCAGGTACCGTGATGAAAATAAGAATTAGTGCAGCCGAGAAGACGAATGACACAATTAAATAATTGGCCCGGCGGAAATTATAGTGTCGCTCATAGAGGGCGAGGAGTTTCGCTATCGATATCGCCGACTCGATGCACGTCATGCGTGCATGCCCTGAGCCTGGACCCTGGGGCGGCTGAGGCTGGAGAACGTGAGAGATGTACGGACGGTGACAATGAATCATCACCTGGTAATATTGCATGCTGACTGAGCATTAGTATATGCCACAGTAGCGATAGGCTTGCGGATCTCGTTCCAACTCACTGTAGGGCCAGCACGTGCGGAAGAGGCTGAACTCCACTCTCGGATTCATCAACGCTCAGCTCTGCTGGCAAGTCAGCCTTCCAAGACTTGAGCTTCTCCACTGTATCGGCTGCTAGCTTCTGCATTTCCCGTGTGGAGATAGAAGAGCAGCCATATCTGGATCCTATGTTAGTGAATGGCTTCAATGCCTGCACATCGCCTGTGATCTTACAAAACATCAGTAAGTGGCAATGGGAGATCATAGAGAGAGATCCATTCTGAGGATAGTTTCCTCAATGTGTTTGGGAAAGCGGCTATGTTGTCCGAGGCGGTTGGGGAGCCATATGGCTCCCACCTTTTCGCTCCTGAATTATTGCACCCATCCAGCTTCTGGACTGTGATCACCGGCAATGGGCTTCGAGTATGACGACCGAGGTACCAACCCCAGAACCTGGATACCTTGTTAGAAGGGAGTTATGGAGGGAATGAATTGGTCGTACTGTTCGCTCATATATGCTCCCCAGAAGGTTAGGCGGCGAATTTCGGCATTTTCCGAAGGAATGATGCCTTTAGCCACGTATGGAGCCATATCCAGATGAAGTCCAAGATCAAAGGCTAGTCGCATAGCCATGCCTTACAAAGTCAGTTTGTTTCCTTGGGCTTCGTTATCGCTCGCCAACGTCCAAGACTTACCACTGTACACCCAGCCCCGCGTATCCCTCGTACACGAGGCTTCATACCCACCCAATATAACCAAGGCTTGAACTGTGGCCAATGATGGATTCTCCAATTCTAACTCAAGCAATACTTTAGCACGGTCACCGAAGAACTCGGCGAGCGAGCGAGGAAAGGTTACAAAACTCGGGTGGTATCGTGGCTCGTACGCAGCTCCAATTGCACACCTGCAAAATTGTCAGTGGACACAAAGCGTCTGGAATATTGAGGGAAATACCTACATAGCATTTACTAGCGTGTTCGAGTAGTATGGTGTATCCAAGTCATCGTACAGATCCTGTGCTCTAGACCTCCAAAATACTTGTTCGTCCACGACATGAAGACAGGGATCTTGCCATGTGAAGTAGAGCTTCAGCAGATGCTCTTCGAATGATTCCTCAACTGGGACATCAAGCTCCGCACTCTTCAAGACTTCGTGTGCTCCTTTTTGAGCATTTGTCGAGCATGGCGGAGCGACACCGACCAGGATATCCAGGAGGTTGAGGTTGGAGGTGGACCCGTAGTACCGCAGCTGTCCGTCATGCATCACTTGAAGTCGTCCTAATCGGCATGACAGCTGATTAGTAACCTCATCCTCTTCGTGCTCCTCGAAATCATGAGGAGGCGGAGTAGGTTGAGGTTGAGGTCTAGTTTCGGTGGGGTCAGAGGAGCACGCCGAGGCAGCGAGCGCCCTGGGGATCGTCGTGTTCGGCGATTCATCCCTTTGACTTCGTAGAGACGTAGATTTTTTCTTATCACCATTCAGCGCTGTTGAGCTTTTCCCCGAGACGCCTTGCACTGGCTGTGCTATTGAGGATACAAGGCTCTGCGCGCCTAACGTCTCTTGCAGATCTGCACCGGTCGATGGTGAAAAAGAAGCGGCAACCGCATCATAATGATGAGGTGTTATTGCACTTGGAGAAAGCGGACCGTCTTCCCCAGATTTGGCGAAGTCATGGTACCGCTGTAGAGTCGACGTATCCTTCCCAGTTTTAAGGCCATAACATTCCATCCCAAGCGCATCAAATATGCTTTCGATCATCAAACTGTCGCTCTCATCCATGCCAGGGATTTCTAAGCCTTGTCCTTCGATATAAGAAACAAGCTGATTGACTCTCTTTGCCAGAACACCGAAGCTCACTCGTACCGGGATTCTAAAGAAGGATAGCTCATGAGCGGTGATACCCTAGAATTGATGTGTAGAGCTTACTTGCGCCTGTCATCAACTTGGCGATAGGAGCATCTCTTGCCTTTTGCCTCGCAATTTCCGCAAGTGGGATTGGCTCCGTCGCACTGGGATGTGTGTTGTGATCAGCAAACGCATTTCTCTCGGACCTCGCGTGTCGAGTACCTTCACCTTGCCCTCTCTGCAAGGGTTGCACGCCGTCGTCACATGCTTTCGAACAGGCTTTGAGGACTTGCTCTTCGGAGACATGATTGATAATGCGCGAGACACCATGAATGAAGTTTGAATGCCAGAATTGCGGGGCCATGGCAAAAAGTGGGATGAGATCAAGCATCGGGATATGAATTCCGTGATGGGTAGCAGTCACTGAGGACTCGGGATTCCCACTCCGGCAACAGCTGGGTGCCTCAGGCATACACCAAGACATCATGCTATTCACCTTCCAAAGTGTGTTTGATGCACCCAGAACCTGCAGGTGCCTTTTATTTTTATACTAAATACTATAAGGGGCATCATTAAGTTAGGGATGATGTGTACTGTGTGAAAAATGCCTCATGCACTGTCACATATATTCCCAGTCACTTTTGAGGAAACAATGGTGACTAGTGGGACCAGCAATCGAGCGAGAGATCAATGAGGTGGCTCGTGCAGCTACTGAGCTACAAGTACTCCAGACCAACCTGCATCTCAGGGTCAAGCAAATCCCCCCGCAGCCTGGCCTAAACTGCTAGCTCAGCCTTAAAGGTCAGGTCGTGCAGAATGATCTACAGCCCTAAGCCAAAACCCTAGACGATCAGCCCTAAGCTCCGGCCCTAATCTAATCAATCACCAGGGCGGCGGGCCAGTGAGCGCGAGACCGGATTGACTCATCGCCGCTTGCGGCGGGGCAACCTGCTTTCTAAGGCTCTCGCCAGCGGCTTAAATTCTGCATCTTGTCAGGAACAACCTCCAACCTCCACAACCTTATTCTTATTTCTAACTTCCCCCGCGCCAATCCCCTCTTCCCTTCTTCAACCACCTCCCTTCCTCTCTCTCCCGATTCAACATCCACCCTCCTCAACCAAAATGAGCTACATCCTCACCCTCTCGTGCCCCGACCGCCCGGGCATCGTCCACGCGGTGACGGCCTACCTGGTGCAGAACAACCTGAACATCATCGACTCGTCGCAGTTCGGCGACCCGACTTCGGAGCGGTTCTTCATGCGCGTGCACTTCAAGCCCGAGAGCACGCCGGCGCCCACGCTGGAGCAGCTGCGGGAGGCGTTCGCGCCGACGGCCGAGAAGCTGGCCATGACCTTCGAGCTGGTCTCGGCGACGGCCAAGCCGCGGGTGCTAATCATGGTGTCGAAGATCGGCCACTGCCTGAACGACCTGCTGTTCCGGGCGTCGACCGGCCAGCTGGCCATCGACATCCCCTTGATCGTCTCCAACCACCCGGACTTCGCCGCCCTGGCCGCCACCTACAACATTCCCTTCATCCACCTGCCCGTGACCGCGGCCACCAAGGCCGAGCAGGAGGGCCGCATCCTCGAGCTCATCGCCGAGCACCACATCGACCTGGTCGTCCTCGCCCGCTACATGCAGGTGCTCTCGTCCAAGCTCTGCGACGCCATGTCCGGCAAGATCATCAACATCCACCACAGCTTCCTGCCCAGCTTCAAGGGCGCCAAGCCCTACCACCAGGCCTACGACCGCGGCGTCAAGATCGTTGGCGCCACCGCCCACTTCGTCACCAGCGACCTCGACGAGGGCCCCATCATCGAGCAGAACGTCGTCCGCGTCAACCACGCCCTCAGCCCCAAGGAGCTGACCCACGCCGGCTCCAACGTCGAGAGCAACGTCCTCGCCACCGCCGTCAAGTACTTCGCCGAGCACCGCGTGCTGCTCAACGGCCACAAGACCGTGGTGTTCAACTAGACACCCCGAAACAAAAGTTAGACAACATCGACTTCTATATATACAAAAGACTCATGTACACCTAATGTGGCGTTGATTTTCAACCTCCCCCACAACCCAGGGGGAAGGCTCCAAAGCAGAATGGAATTTAATGTACATAAGCGCCCCGAAATGCATTCACGTAATCTTACACCCCATCATGAACCCCCTCTTCTCGGGAGACTACTTACACTACAACCACTCCACCCCATCCTCGCGCTCGGCCCTCTCCCTCTCCCTCTGCCGCCCAACACGGGCCAGATTCTTCTCCCAGAGCCCTTCCAAATCCACCTCGGCGCGCTTCTCCTCCGTAAAGATCTGCACAACCACGCGCGTGCCCCACCCGGCATTCCCGAAGCCCTCGAACCCGGCCTCCTCCGCGGCCGCCACCTCAGCCTGGGGCGCCTCCTCGACGATCCCGGCGTTCACGCAGATCCACCCGGTCGTGATGCCGTCGTCCTTGTCGTCCACCAGCGTGCCGGACTTGCTCGCCAGGCGCGCGCGCTTCGCCTTGCGCCGCAGCTTGATCTTCAGCTCGTTGCGGCCCAGCAGCCCGTCCGCGAACGGCGTCAGCTTGTAGGTGCTCCGCAGCCAGCGGCACAGCCGGTCCGCCGAGACGTTCAGGTGCTTGACGCTGCGCGCCGTGCCGACGATCATGATCACGTTGGCGCCCAGAGCGGGCGGCGTGTCCAGTCCCCGCAGGTCCAGGAGCTTCAGCCCGTCCAGACCTAAGTCTTTGAAGGTGTACTCCAGCAGCGCCGCGAGGAGGGCCGGCGGGTTTTCCGGAAGGGCGGGGATCTGGTCGCCGGAGGTGATTGGGCGCGTGGCGGGCTGGTCGGGCTCGTCTTGGAGGTACCAGGGGATGTGGGAGGTGGGTTCGGGGGTTGTGGTAGTGGTGGTGGCTGTGGTAGCGGGTTCGGGGTCTTGCGATGGCAGTGCAGCAGTCTCGGACGGTGGCGCTGCGGTTGTCGTGGGTGGGTGTTCAGATTGACGGGAGGGGGAGGAGGTGAGAGGTCTGGTGGTGGCGTAGAGGGCTGGGAAGCGCGGTGCTGAGGCTGCTGTTGCGCTGATCGAGGGGTGTGAGGCGCTGAAGATTGCTGGTCGCAACCAGGGCGTTCGGAGAAGAGCTCTGTTCAGCATGGTCGGGTTCGACGACCAGGATTTTGATGTTCTTGTGGTTTTTCTTGGATGTATGTGGTTTAAAAAATGCAGCTGACAAAATGAGGTTGCCAGCCAGAGAAAAAGAGTCAATTGAAGCGTCGATGATCTTTGAGTTACGACGGCGACCAACTTTGGAATATTTCGGCCGCAGAAACGAAGCAGCATCGTCGAAATGACGAAGTGCACGTGACAGCCAGCAAACATTTCAAAATTTGCGCCTGACCGCCTGGCCTGGCCTCGCCCTGCAAACGCGGCAAACAACCCGCGGAGACGCTTGGACCACCGCTGGGTTTCCGCCGAAAAAAAACTGGCCCCCGACCGTTGATCGCAAGCCTGTCCATTCAACCAAGGTCAATCCAAAATGCCGCGCGAGAATCAGAAGAGAGGTCGTCGGGCCGCCGACAAGGCCAACAAGGACGCCGCCAAGCGCAAACGTGATGAAGTCCCCGAAGAGACCCTGCCCAAGCGCATGAAGCCCTCGACCGACGACGAGCCCGCCCACAACGATTTTACCGAGGGCGCCGACTACATCGCATTGGATGCGGAGCCATCCTACGACCAACAAACCGAGCAGGAGGGCTTCGACCAGGAGAATGGTGATGCCGGCGAGACGGTGTTCTTCGGTCTCCTGGACCCCGAGGAACAGGAATACTTTTCCCGCGCCAGCGAGGTGCTGGAACTGAACCAGTTCGGTGACGACGAGGAGCGGCGGGTGTTCCTTGACAGTGTGTACACGGAGGCTCGGGGCAAGGAATTGAAGATCGCGTGCAGCCAGTCGTGCTCGCGGCTGATGGAGAAGCTCATCTCACTGTCCGACATGCGCCAGATCCGACGCCTGTTCAGCAAGTTCATCGGCCATTTCCTGCACCTCGTCCAGCACCGGTTCGCCAGTCACTGCTGCGAGACCCTGTTCATCAACGCCGCGCCCGGCCTCACTCAGAAGTCATCGAAGCCTAAGGTGGAGAAGATGGAGGTGGACGGAGAGGAGGACGAGGAGCCGGAGCCCGAGCTGTCGCTGGCCGAGATGTTCATGACGGTGGTGGAGGAGCTGCAAGGAAACTGGGGATACCTGCTTACCGAGAGGTTTGCGTCGCACACGATCAGAGTCCTCCTGCTGGTTTTGGCGGGAGAACCGGTGGATCTGTCGTTGAGCGACTCCGTTGTCGCTAGTCGGAAGAAGGAGAGATTGGGTCTCGCCAGCACCGATACGCCGAAGGAGAACCCCGTGGCCCATAAGAGAGGCGTCCCCGAGACGTTCGAGGCCACTTTGAAGAAGGTCATGAAAGATATGGTGTCTGGGTTGGATGACACGTATCTACGCGCACTGGCTACCCACCCCGTTGGAAACCCGGTGCTGCAGGTGTTGGTGTATTTGGAGCTGTCGCATTTCGGAAAGTCGAGCGCCAAAGACCCCAAGTCGATCACGAGACGACTGATCCCCGACGAAGAGTTCACGGAAGGCTCTGAGAGCACCATCTTCGTCCGTGGGTTGTTGTACGACCCAGTTGGCTCGCGACTACTGGAGACCATCGTCAAATGTCTGCCTGGAAAGTTGTTCAAGGCGCTGTACAAGAACCTCATGCGCGAACAGATGGGCTCCCTTGCACGCAACATTACCGCTGGATATGTCGTCCTGCGTATCCTCGAGCGTCTTGGTAAGGACGATCTCAAAGAGGCGGTCGACTTAATTGTTCCCCAGATCTCTGGTCTCATTGAGCGGTCCCGATTGATCGTTCCCAAGGCCTTGATTGAGCGTTGTCTGATCCGTGGGGTTGATACCGCCCCTATCGCCCGTGCTCTGGAAGCTGCCTACGACCGTGACCCCGCTCGCCGCCTGGATAAGATGCTGTGGCTGGAGGGCTTTTCTCAGGATGATGTGGAACAACCGAGATATGGCGAGGAGGGAACCAGCGCCCCCAATAACCAGAAGGCTCTCGCGGCGGCTAGATTGCACAGCTCCCTGTTCGCGCAGACGATGTTGACTGCTCCCGGAGCGTTGAGCGGGCTGGTGTACTCTGGCTTGCTGGCGCAGTCGACAGAGTCCCTACTCAAGATCGCTACGGACCCCACTGCCTCGCATGTCCTGCAACAAGCCCTCACACTGCCCACCTCAACCACTCAGTTCCGCCGCCAGCTGGTCACCCGCTTCACCGGACAACTCAAGGATCTGGCCCTGGACAGCAGTGGATCTCGCGTGGTGGACGCCCTGTGGCAGGCGACGAAGGATGTCTTCTTCGTCAAGGAGCGGATGGCGCAGGAGCTTGCGCAAAACGAGATGGCCCTGCGCGACTCGTTTGTGGGTCGGGCCGTGTGGAGGAACTGGTCGATGGATCTGTACAAGAGACGACGAGGCGAGTGGGCTGCCAAGGCCAAGGGGTTGGATGCTGTCAACAGCACGGGCGAGCGTCCCAAATCACGGATCGAACTGGCTCGAGCCAAGTTCGCTGCTAAGGCCGAGGAGAATGCCCAGAAAGCCTCTGCCACCAGCTCGTGATGTATGGGAGGGTGTGATGGAATAATGAACAATGCGGCTTTCCCACCTGTAAATAATCTCTGCGGAGAGAGCATGTATATTATTAGCGGATAGAAAAAGTTTTGACCTCTTGCAATAAACTTATACCAACACAGTAATTCGTGTATCATTCATTGGCATCGACGTGTATAGTCTACAATACATTGGGAAGTATAATCTCACTGGGTTAAAGGGGCGGTCTACTTCGCCTCCCTCAAAATCGACCGATTCAAATGCTCCTTCCGCACCGACGGCACTCCCGACAAATGCAGCGTCAGATCCAGATCCCCCAAGAGACACTTCAAGACATGGCTCACCCCGGCCTGGCCCCCCATCGCCAACCCATAAACATACGGTCTCCCGATGAGCACCATCTTCGCCCCGAGCGCCAGCGCCTTGACGATATCCGCACCACAGCGCACCCCGGAATCAAACAGCACCTCGATCTTGTCGCCCACCGCATCGACGATCTCCGGCAGGACCTCCAACGAGGCAATGCCACCGTCCTGCTGCCGGCCGCCATGATTCGACACAACAATGCCATCCATGCCATGCTGGACGGCCAACTCCGCGTCTCGGACGGTCTGGATCCCCTTCAACACAATCGGGCCCTTCCAGTGCTCCTTCAGGAACTTTAGGTCCTCCCACCCGTGACTCTTGCCAGGGAAGACCGTATGCGCCCACTCCTGCGCCGCGGCGCCCAGATCCTCCTCGACCTCCTTGCCATGCTTCTCCTTGAACGTGCGCCGGTACACGGGATCCGTGAACCCCAGCTCGACCCCGATACTATCCGCGCGGAGGAAGGGGTTATACGCATTGCTTAGATCACTCGGCCGCCAGCCGAGGATGTACGTATCGAGGGTGACGACGAGCACCGTATAGCCCGCGTCCTGGGCGCGATGCAGCAGACTAGCGGTGATGTCGTTGTTCTCGTTCAGCGGCCAGTACAGCTGGAACCAGCGCTTCCCGTCCGCGCCGTTGGCCTTCGCGGCATCCTCGATGCTGGTGGAGGCCGCCGTCGAGAGGATGTAAGGTACGTTGTCCTCGGCGGCGGCGCGCGCCACGGCGGCCTCGCCGTCGCGGTGGAAGATCTTCTGCACGCCGACCGGGGCGACGGCGATCGGGTAGGGGTACTCCTCGCCGAAGAGGTTCACCTTCAGGTCCGGGTAGTCGGACGGCACCAGGCGCGACGGCACCAGGTTCCATCGCCGGAAGGCCGCGCGGTTGTTCGCGTCCGTCTGGCCGGTGCCCGCAGAGCCGTGCACGTAGCCGAAGCTATCCGCCGACAGGCGGGATTTCGCGGTGGGTTCCCAGTCGTGCGGGTGCGGCGGGAAGCGCGGGCGCTCGTCGCCCAGGCCGGCGCTGTAGATGGCGTTTTCGTAGGTGTAGGGGGTTGGGTTGGGGGTCATTTTGTTCTTGTGGGTGGTATCTAGAATGGAGTATAGGGAGGGTACGCTGGCTTAGGGGGTTGCGGTGCTTGTACGGTTTATATGGTTGGGTCTACGTGAGGGTAAGACAGTTGAGGTCATGGTCACACAAGCTAAAAGGTAATCGGCCGAGATTTAAGATTTCTTGACTGTTTCTTGACTGCGCTGCAGACGGTGACGTTGTGTCGTCGACAATGGCGAAAGATGGGTGATGTCACCGGCAGATTGAGGTGAATTGTTTAGGGCACGAGTGGGGATCACAAGGCCAGGCACATGCAGTGCCGATCAAGGCCAGTGGTGCTGATCCAGGCTGCGCTCACCACCGGGCATGAGACTCTGAGTAGTAAGGTACAATACCCTGACAGCCTTACGTTCATCCGGTCTACCCGCTCAAACAAGCCTTTTGTATCCTCGGTATGCCGATCTACCCGTCCTAATTGAGGTTGCACTGTTGCACATCATCCTGGATGGCCTTCACGAACACAGCCAAGCTTTCTGCCACCGCCTTGGCTGATACAGTCCCTGATCCCACGTGACTGGCCTCAACACCTGACCACTCAGGCACTGAGAAAAATAATCCCGTCGCCAACCGCGGAGATCAACCATCAATTCCTCCAACGACATCCATTCCTCCCCCCATTCTTCTCATCTCCATAACATACCCTTCCCCAACACGGGGACTGCCACAATGGACCCCTCCTTCCCCTCCACCCTCGCCGACCTGCACTTCCCCTCCGCCGAACAGCAATCCATCAGCCAGACGCTGACCGCGCTGCGCCGCTCCGCCCTCACCGTGACCAACCGGCTGACCAGCATCGCGACGGACGCGCAGTTCGTGGCCGAGGTGCGCGACCACTACTCCCTCCCACTCATCGCCAACGAGCGGTGCGGCAGCTGGTACATCGCGCCGCGCGACAAGACGGGCAGCGTGTACTTCAAGAGCACGGACGGGCACACCGGGGTGTGGGATTTCAGCTCGCGTAGACTCAATCTGCAGGTGTTGGGCGTGGCCGGGCAGCATGGGGGGTTAGTTGCACCCAGCATCTCCTTACAGGCTTAAACGTGTGGACTCTGGTGCGGATGGATACTAAAGATCCCCGGGAGGAGGCGTATAGATGCATAATCGTAGATTCGACTCGACGGGGTAAATGTGAGTCCCCCTACCCACAGTCCTCCTCCTGTATAAGTCGACACTAGCATGGCCACGACACACTGGAAAATAAAGTAATGAGGGGAATAACCAGTAATGCCCGACGCCCTCTCCAAAACGATCCCCATCTGGACGGCCGTGCTCAACCGCGCCCTCTTCCCCGAGGCCCAAGCCTACCACCCCGTGCAGTTCCCCCCGAATTTCCTGCCCGCCTCGGAAGAATCCCAGATCGAGCGGCGGATCGACGGGTTTGTCAAGGATTTGACGGTTCGTCTTCGTCCTTCCCTACCTTGAACACCTTCCGACCTTCAGCGACAGCAGCACTAACGACAAAAGGACCTGAACCTCGCCCTCCCCACCCTCCGCACCCAACTCGCCCGCCCCATCCGCCTCGCCTGGGCCAACAGAGCGTACTTCCACCCGACCACGCTCACCACCTCCCCGGACGGGGAGTACAACCTCTTCGTGCTGTGCTCGGCCTCGAAGCGCGTGCACGGCGCCGAGGTGTCCGCGGGCGGATACATCCAGGGCGCCGGGGACGACAGCGAGAGCTGGGCGCTGGGGCTCACTGCCCCGTTGTTCTGGGCGCATAAGGAGGAGCTCCTGCGGCGGAATGAGGAGGATATCCCGGCGTTGATTGCGGAGTTGCTCGCGCGGGAGAAGGAGGGGCATCGGCATGAGGGGGATGGGCAGGGCGAAGGAATGGAAGGGAAGGCGGTGCGGATTGTTCCCTCCAGGAACTTGTATCTTGGGCGAGCGGGGGATTTTGCAAGCCCAGAAGCGGGGGCTGGGTTCGATCTGGTGGTGGATTGTAACGCCAAACCCGTCGAGTCTGACGCCCCAGCTGACGAGGAGACGAAAACCACGCAGGACAGGAGGCTGGACCTGGGCTGTGGCCCCGCGAAACTGGGCAGTCGGGATCTGCGCAAGCACCTCGACCGCGTGCGGGAGTTTGTCAGGGAGAATCTGTCTCGGAACCCCGAAGCCTCGGTGCTGGTGGTGTGTGAGTCCGGCCGGGATCTGTCGGTTGGCGCGCTGTTGGCGATTCTGTGTTTGTTTTATGACGAGGAGGGTGAGTTCTTCTTCATGCTCGTTAATGCAGGGTGGGTTTGGCTGACGATGTCGATTTCTAGGGAACTTCACCCTCACCGAGAGGAAGAGTATCGGGAAGCAGTTCATTCGGCAGCGGTTGGCGTGGATCACCCTGTGCAAGCCGGATGCGAACCCTTCGCGCTCGACCTTGCAGTCGGTTAATGCGTTCTTGATGGAGAGGCCGGATTATTGAGGGGGTAGGAACGGGGAAGGCTGGATGGAGTATTTGCCGGTGCCTGTGGGATAATGGATCAGGACTTATGCCGGACTTTGTTTGGAGCGATATTGATAATGCTCAGGAGTGGGCGGTATAGAAATGATGTCGTGGATTCGTGGTGGTTGATGGTTGGTGTAGCGAACTGGCTTCCACGTATGGGCTTGCTTAGTGCATCGCTGGATGGATGGTTAATGGTTCGTCTAGGTGACTGACTTCTCATTGTGTGAGCTTAGTCGATGGATTGAGGAATGATATGGCCGTATTATTAGCTGCGATATTACTGTTAACAACGTCAGCAATATTCGGACAGAGGCATGGAAACTATACATACGGCCCACACGTGCGCCTTACATGCCTATCCAACGTGACCAAAAACAGAGTTGTGAATAGATCCATTTGATGCAGAATAAACCCCCTAGCCATGCAGAACCGAACTCCATCCCATAAATGCCAAGTCGCTATCTATATTACAGCCCATAAAATGTACATTGAATATTCTTTCCCTCAAATCAAGGAGCCTGCGTCAGGACATCCTCAGGCGTCTCCTCCAGCCCCTCCGCCGCCACAGGCGTGCGACCCACCGTCCCGGACCGATGCACATACATCAGAACCCGCAGCACTCCAGCGGGAGTCACGCCCTCCAGACGCCGCGCCATCCCCACGCTCACCGGGCGGATGCGAGTCAGAACCTCGACCTCGCCCGCGCTGAGACCATGGACGGCCTTGTAGTTCATGTCCGGCGGGAGCAGCAGATTCTCGTCCTGCAAGGCCTTGCGGGCCGCAGCCTCCTGGCGCGCGACGTGGGGCGCGTACCGACCCTCGATGGCGACGCGGGACCGGATCTCCGGGGCGAAGGAGTTCGCATTGTAGACGGTGCCCGTCGGGGATTCGATGTGGGGGATCAGCGAGTCAATGCCTGTCTCCTGAAGGCACAGGATGTCCATGGCGGAGCGGACAGACCCGTCGATGCGGGACGGGAAGCCGAGTCGGGCCCAGGCGGAGGATGACAGCCGGGTGTTGGTGAGCAGGGTCTGCAGCTCCTGGATCTGCGCCTCCGTCTCGGTGAACTGGCGCCAGCGGGTGTCGGAGACCACGCCGGCCTCGCGGGCCATGCGCGTGAGGCGCAGATCGGCGTTGTCCGCGCGCGTCGAGATGCGGTACTCGCTGCGCGTCGTGAACATGCGGTAGGGCTCGGAGACGCCCTTGGTGATCAGGTCGTCAATCATGATGCCGATGAACCCGTCGGAGCGGCGCAGGGTGAGCGGCTTGCGGCCCTGCGCGGACAGGCCGGCGTTCGTGCCAGCAATGATACCCTGACCGGCGGCTTCCTCGTACCCCGTCGTGCCGTTGATCTGGCCGGCCAGATACAGCCCGCTAATCAATTTGGTCTCCAGCGTCGGCCACAGGTTGCGCGGGTCGATGTAGTCGTATTCCACCCCGTAGCCAGGCTGCAGCATGGTCACGTTCTCCAGCCCATGGATCTTGCGGAGCATGGCATACTGCGCGTCGGCGGGGATAGTCATCGAGATACCGTTGGGGTAGATGACGTCGTTGGGCGCAAATCCCTCAGGCTCAAGCCAAATCATGTGCCTGTCCTTGTGTCCGAAGCGGATGATCTTGGACTCCAAAGAAGGGCAGTATCGCGGACCCTTGACCGTCTCGCGAATATGTATAGTCTTGTCGAGGTTGGCCCGCACAATATCATGCACGGCTTCATTGGTGTACGTCATCCAGCAGTTGAGCTGGCCCTCATCGCCAACCTGCACAGCATCATTGAGATACGAGAAAGGCTGGGGCGGGTGATCGCCCTCCTGGACCTCCAACGGCGTAAAGTCGATTGTCTTCCGATCCAACCGCGGCGGCGTCCCCGTCTTCAAGCGACCGAGCTGAAACCCAGCCTCCCGGAGGGACTTGCTCAGCCCAAACGTCGCCGCCTCGCCCATGCGCCCCGAGGGGTACGCCTCCAGCCCGATATGAATCTCCCCGCCCAAGAACGTGCCCGTCGTAATCACCACGCGACGCGTGGAAATCACCTCGCCGGACTCCAGCCGCACCCCGACAATCTTGCCCTGCGCCCCCGGCACATCCTCCACGTCTTCCTTCGACACCACAATATCACCCACCTTGCCCTCCACAATACTCAGCCCCTCAGTGGAACTCAGTTCCTCCAGCATATACTTCTTGTAAAGATCGCGATCAATCTGCGCGCGCGGGCCCCAAACGGCGGGACCCTTGGAGCGGTTCAGCGTCCGGAACATCACGCCGGCCTTGTCGATGGTGCGGCCGGCCACGCCGTCCATTGCGTCCACCTCGCGGATCATCGTCCCCTTGCCAATACCGCCGAAACTCGGATTGCACGAGCACACGCCGATGTTCGAGCGCGAGGGGGTGATCAACGCCGTTCGTGCGCCGGAGCGCGCCGCCGCCGCACAGGCTTCCGCTCCTGCGTGTCCGCCGCCGATGACGACGACATCGTAGCCTCTACACAGAGGAGAGATTAGCATTCGAACAGAGGTGCGTGGGCACAAAAATTATCGAAGATCATCCATACCGCGCGGCATCCGTCACAGTCGCTAACCCATGAACACTCCCCACCCACCGAGATCGGGACCCCAGGCCCCATCTCCGGAGGGTTCCAGAGATTGCCCGAAAAGCCATGGTGATGGCGTCAGTCGATATTGGGCAGATTGTATAAGAGGGTGATGTGGTGCTGCACGGTCTTCACATTTGCCCCGGAGGAGAAAAAAGCGCCGCCATTGATTATTTTGCGTCACGTGTATGTTGCTTATTGCCGCTTATCGCCGGAGGCGGTGAGCCCGCTTGGAGCTCGTCCATCGTCCATGCCGGGGTTTACCGGCAATTGACCAGCATGTAACAGTGCAGTACTGTATGTGTCTGAGGGGGCTGGAAGGTGTTGAATTTGTTGTGGATAGTAGGATACAGAAGTTGTATTGTATTCCGACACTATACAGCTAACAGGTTTACAGGCTGATCATCATACGGAGTATCCTCAGGAGGGTCGCTTCGCCTGCCTCCCGGAGTAGAGTAGCCGTCGTGCCGTAGCGAGAACAGGCGTTCTTCTGTTTCGGGCTGTGGAGTGGGTGGGTGACTCCGACTCCGCTGGCTCGGATGAACCGCTCAATCTCATACGTAACAGCCAAGGGCACTCACGGAAAGGAGAGCAGTCGTAGAAAAACGCTCAATCCGAGGCACCTGTGCGCCATTCGAACGGCCATTTGTTGGAGATACACGCGAATAGATTAGATCTCCTGATCCAGTATCAGATCCCAAGGGCATGGCCATGAGGGATATATCCCCTCGATAACAGCATTTCCCCGGTGTGGCGTGCATAGTAATGGGTGCTCGCCATTGGTGAATCTGCGATGCGATCAGACCACACGACCTACCTAGTACTACCGTAGATACGGGTCTCGGTTAGCTGTAGAGTGGTGATTGCTCTACGACACTACAACCCCTATAACCCCTACAACTACGCCATATCCTCCCCTGCAACGACATCCCGTCGACGCCCCGTTGCCTGACATCGCCCCAGATCAAGATTTGTGCCCGTGTCACAGTGGTTGCAAGTGGTTGCAAGGGACCGCAAGCGAGCCAGAGAGCATCTGACAGCGGACATTGCCGGTGGCCCGGTGAGCCACGTGACCGGGTTTGAGTGGTTTGCAGGCCGGATACCCGAAAGGGGACGAGACTGAGTTGGCCGCGCCTCAAGGAAATTGCAACCACACCCTCGTCAGCTTTTCCCCTCAAGATCCTCATATACTCCTCGTTGTGCGATCCCAGTCCTTGTCAGTCTTCTCATCGATTACCCCGAGAATATCAGCAACCATGGCTTCCACCTCAGGTGAGTGCAACCCCCCCGTAGCACAGAGATGCCAAGAACGAGGTTCATCCTCAACGTGCCCTGCGAAATCGGCGACCGCCCGCCAATTTTGCCTTTTTCACCTCCACCCTCCTTCTCCCCTCCCCTGCTGCACTCTGCACTCATTGCTTCGTTCTGTATCCACGCTGCAGTGTTCATCCCCAAATTTGTTGGAACATCCTGTTTTCGAGGGTTGAACATCGGCGAAATCATTTTTTCCTTGTTCTCACTTGGTCGTTCCTGGTTACCGTCGGGGCATCGAGTGTGACTCAGGCCTCGTTCCCCACCCATCCCAACAATGTCTTCCTCAATGCACTGTCTCTCTTCCACCTTCACAAACCTCACCCGGCTCGCTCCTCGATCGCTATCATTGCCTTCCACAGCAGACATGCCACAGCGTCTGGGAGCCAGCATGTTTCGTTCCTCCTTTCTCCGCGTTGCACACCCCCGCCCGGCGGCGACGACCCGACCGGCCCGCTGCTTCTCAACCACACGGCGACAAGCCTGTGCTAACATGCCATCCTCCCCTTCAGATCGCTTCATGTCGGCTCTGCACCAGAACAAGGACTGGGCAGCCAAGATCGCCAAGGAGGACCCTCAACTCTTCCCCACGCTCGCCGTAGGCCAGCAGCCCGAGATCCTGTGGATCGGGTGCTCCGACTCGCGGTGCCCTGAAACCACCCTGTTGGGCCTCAAGCCTGGCGATGTCTTCGTCCACCGTAACATCGCCAACGTGCTGCACGCGAGCGACCTCAGCTCGTCGGCCGTGATCGAGTACGCCGTGAAGCACTTGCGCGTCAAGCACGTGGTCGTGTGTGGCCACACCAGCTGCGGTGGGGTCGCTGCTGCTCTTGGCAACAAGCAGCTGGGCATCTTGGACCCGTGGCTCATGCCCCTGCGCCAGCTCCGCGAGCAGCACCTGAGCCTGCTGAACTCGCTTCCCACCGACGAGGCCAACCTGAAGCTCGTCGAGTTGAATGTCCAGGAAGGTGTCAAGACGCTTAAGCAGAAGAGTGTCGTGCTGGATGCCATCCAGGAGCGGGGTCTGCGCGTCCACGGCCTGATCTATGATGTCGGAAGCGGTGTGCTCCGGGAGTTGGACACCGATGAGCCCGAGGAGGCCATCAAGGCGCGTCTCACTTCGTTCAAGACCGACGTTTAGACTCGATTGCGAGTTCACATTTGGGAGGTTCGGTGTTGGTTCTGGCGCTCTGAATTCAGAGATGGTGTCGAGGGTCGTGTCGTGTTCATTTCAGCGATAAGTGGGGTTTGCAAATTTGTTGTATTTAAGTGCTCTGTTGCTTGCTGCTCTCTCGAGAGTGAGTAGTGAGCCAGGTGGAATCTGTATATCTTGGGTTAATAATTCATCCAACGTTTCAACACTTGGTACTGGTGACTCACTCATCCTAGCACTTGCATCATCCGGGAGATCTCACTCCCTGGGGAAGATAGATATGTGGCGAAAATCTGCGGCGTGCAGCCAGCCATGACTCGCAAGACCTCACATGGAGGATTGGAGGATGTGAGATTGAAAGACAGAACCCGGGTACTGCGTGGGTAAGAGGGGAGAGGTTGAGGAGAAGAGGAGGAATGAAAATCCTGCTGGCATTGAAAAGGTAATCAGGATCGGGCACCAGTGACTGACTGGGATACACTACTGTTCCACGACGGTCGGAAGATGGTCTCCGCACCCTTAATCATCGTTGCCCACGTCCCAATCAGGCAGGCCCAGGCTACGGTGTGGAACTCGGTGCTGGCCGGAAGGAGTTTAGCCCCGGCCGAAGCGGCTGTTCTTCGGTAAGTCCATCAGGCGGTAGTTAGTAGTTATGGAAGGTGATGACGAAGCAATGAGTATTTCTATTTCAATTTGATTTGGATTTTATATCAACAATTGATTATGACTCGGGAATCCAATAGATTTTGATATCTATATAGTTAATATCAACTTAAAAATCAGGAATAGTGATACACATACAACAAAGACCAGGTCCGCTCTGGTCATACTTAACTGATCACACAATCTTTCTGAGCCCTTGAACAAATTCACATCGGGTACCTTTTGGATTTCTGCTGTTACAAAGCTGTATGGTAGCCTGGGCATTCGACATGATCATATCGTAGACAACAATTTTCCATCCGTTGAGGCCGGTCACCGCCTGTCTGGTTATGTTGTATCGAGGGAAGATCGGCTCTATAAGACAGCAGCGCAATACTCGGAGGCTGCGAGTTGCAGAGATTCCTGGTTTACCCGCAGCACTTCGATCCCCGGGCAGCTCAGTAGCTGGTCAAGCCGATCCTATCCTGAAGAGACCTTCAATGATATCCCGTCGACTATCATTCGGAATTGATTCGCGATAGAACAGAAGCACATCACTATAAAGATCCAGACAACTTTGCGCCAGTTCGCGGGGGTCTTCCATAATCATATCGTAGACCCTAGTTTCGTGGATTTCAAAGGGCCCATCGCCCTATCCCATCTTTGGCGCGTCCATCGATATGGTACCGCGGTTGGGTGGAAGCTATGGTGGCCCTGCCGCCCTGGTGGGTGATCGCGGGGTCCCTATTGTCTGGGCTGGTCTTCCCTTACTCTCCAGTGTGTCCCCATACTATGCATAATGTGATTGTTCAGTGTGAAGTATTGACAATGGACCCTTCAACAACAGGAGATATTGTCTAGGGTCTTCTCTGAGGAGAACAGTTGACTGCTTTTGAGTGCCTGCGATGGCGAGCTTTCCTTCCGTCGGGTCATCAGAAATGCACATGCACAGTATACGTCTACAAAAATGCTCCAACGACTTATCCAAATACTCCAAGAACGAGTCTAGCTCAGGGGGCCGTCTCCGGCTCCCCAGACGGCGAAGTAGACAATTGATCCTGGACCCCAACACCATCCTCCACAGCAGCAGCCCCAACACCACCACCAGAAGGAACAGCAGAACCAGCATCAACCTTCGCACCACCTCCCTTCCCCCGACCACCATTCTTTCCCAAAACCCCGCGATAAACCTCCCCTTCTTCCCCCTTCAGCCCCACCCCTGTGGGATCCCGATCCAACAAGAACCGCTGCACCTTCTCCTCCAACCCCTTCCCCCGCTCCGCGACGACGGACTTCTCCCGGCGCCCATTCAGGAACCGCTCCGACTGCTCCGTGACCTCCCACAACCGCTCCTCATACCCAGTGCTCAGCTGACTGATCCACGAGGCCTGCAGCGCCCCGCCCAGCAGCGTGAGCAGCACCACAAACGAGATGAACGTCCGGTTGTCCACCATGTGCTGCTGCCGCCCCTGGTGGCGGTTGTGCCAACGCTCCCAGTCCTCCCAGGTGGCGTTGGCGAAGATGGGCCCGTAGTCCTTGGAGCCCGGGCGGGCCCACGGCGGGACCTCGGTTTCGGGGTGCTCATCAGCGGCAGCGTGGTGGCGGTCCGGGCGGTGGACGTTCCATCCCGTGCCGAATTGGTCGTACGCTGCTCGTCGCGCGGGGTCGGAGAGGAGCTCGTGCGCGGCGACGAGGAGGTGGTATCGTTGGATGCGGACCTCGGGGGTGAGGTTCTGGAGGAGGGGGTGTTGGTGGTGGTTGCTGCTGCTGCTGCCGCCGCCGCCGCCGCCGCTCGGTGAGGAGCGGTCCGGGTGGTAGATTTTCACGAGCTCATAGTATCGTGTTTTCGTGTAGGGGGCTTTTCGGTCGAGATGGAAGAGGTCGTACGGGGTGAAGGTTGGGGTTGTTGGCCATGTTAGGTCGTGAGAGTTGGGGTTGGAGTTGGTGCTGCTGGTGGCGTAACGCTGCGAGCGGTGCCGCCGAGCGGGGAAGTACGAGCAATAGCTTAAGTTCAGGAACTGTAGGCCGCCGTGGTTGAGGAGATTGGTTTTCCTGAGCATGGCCGCATGGCTTTGTAGGAGAGAAAGGACGGGGTGTTCCTTCTCTCCTGCCGTGGTGGGTGTATATGGGTGTATATGGGTGTATATGGGTGTATATGGGTGTATATGGGTGTAGTGTATACGGTGGTGGTGTAGTGATAGTACTTCTGTACATCCCCTCTCCGGGAAGTTCGGAGCCAATGCAGTGACGAAGCACTGTCCGGCGGAGACCCACCGTTAGCCGTCACGTGCAGCGGCATTCAACAAGCTCCGCTCATCTTCAATCTGTAAACACCTCCCATCTCCTTCATTAAACACGACAACCAATTCAACACCAATGCCAGACTCACCAGATCCTCACCCTCGGAGGCGCCACCGCTCGCCATCCGGCTCGCCTGCCCCACCTCGCGATCGCCGCGACCGAGAGCGAGAGCGTGAGCGAGTCCGCGACTCGTCGCGCGACAACCGATCCCGCCGCCACGACAGCCACCGCAGCTCGCGCAGAGACAGCTCCCGCCGCCGCGAACACCGTCGCTCCTCACGCAGTCCCAGCGACCGTGAGCGAAGCCGCCGAGACGACGACAGCCACCGTCGCAGGGAACGAAGGGAGCGCGCAACAAGCCCCGGGGACGAGCGAGACCGAGATCGAGACCGCCACCGCCGTCGACACCGGGACTACGACGATGACAACTCCCACCGATCCTCCCACCGCCGCCATCGCGATCGCGACACCAGCAAAGACAGAACCAAGCCCACCTCTTCCTCCGGCCGACACCGCGACAGTCCCTCGCGCTCGCGCTCCCGCAGCCCCAACACCACTACCGCCGTCGCCCCAATCCGCTCCACCAAACCCCTCCCCTCCCAACAATCCGCCTACACCACCGACCTGAACCCCTCAGACGCCCAACCCCCAGGCGCCGCCGAGATTGAAAAAGAGAAACCCAACTTCGGCACGACCGGCCGCCTGGCCGCCGAAAGCAACACCGTGACCGTCCCCGGCGGCGGAGGCAACGGCGCCACCACCGTGGTGCTCAAATACCACGAACCGCCGGAGGCCCGCAAGCCGCCGGCCAAGGACAGCTGGCGGCTGTATGTGTTCAAGGGGCAGGACCTGCTGGAGATGGTGGAGCTGAACGTGCGGAGCTGCTGGCTGGTGGGGCGGGAGCACCTCGTCGTAGATTTCCCCTTGGAGCATCCGAGCTGCTCGAAGCAGCATGCGGCGATCCAGTTCCGGTTCGTCGAGAAGAAGAACGAGTACGGGGATCGGATCGGGCGCGTGAAACCTTACGTGATCGATCTGGAGAGCGCCAATGGGACGACGGTCAATGGGGACAGGATCCCCGCGGGCCGGTTTGTGGAAATCATGGATAAGGATGTCTTGCGGTTCGGGCTGAGTTCGAGGGAGTATGTGCTTATGTTGACGAAGCCGGAGTAGCTTTGCTATAGATTTGGATAAGGTTCTGATCGATTCAGCTTTTCGGATGTTTGGTGCAAGGCCTGGCGATTGGGGGTTGGTGGTTTTATCCCGGGTTATACCTCCGCACGGGGCAGAGCCAACATACTTACGTTTCAGGACACACCGGGTTGTCGCATCGGTGAGAGCAGCGAACACCCTCAATGACATACTCATGGTGGACTACCTAGTCGCCAGTCAATCGTCGCCTACCAAAGCCAATGCGTCAATACTGGCACTCATTTGCGAGGTCCAGGACGCTACATAGGCAAGAAGCCAATAACTAATGCCAAGCATGATAGACAAAAACTATGCAATGAGCCGTCGATATTTCAGTAAACCTCCATGCCAAGATCGCCATGCACTAGAAAAGAGTAATCATAGGTATATGAAAGTGGGGGTCCTCGCAACCCCAAGGGCACTCAAAAAAAGACCACAATCTCTCCCCGCTCGTTCATCTTAAGCCGCAAAGTGCGCCACAGTTCCTTCTCGTCATCGACCCTCCGCTCGCGGTCCGCGCGACTGCGACCCTGGTCGCGGCCCCGGTCGGCATCGAATTCATCGGTGAAATCCTTGTGAAACCGCTTCAGCACCTTGTTCACGGAGAACCCGCGCGAGCTCTCGGGACCCTTGGTCACCAGCGACAGGAAGTGGCTCGCCATCTGCCGTTGCAAGCCATCCGGAACCGTGCTCTTGGGGTACAGCGCCACCTGCCGGCCATCCTCATCGTGGTGCGATTCGGGGTATTCGATCTGCTTCTGACGGCGCGACGGCCGGTCCCCCTCGGTCTGGGCGCTGCTCTTGCGCTTGGACTTGCGGGCATCCGCCGACTCGGCGGCCTTGGCATCGCCGTTCTCGCGGATCTTGTGGGTCTTCTTCGCGCGACGAGTCTCCAGCTGGCCGTTGGCGCTGCTACCAGAGACGGAGGAGCCGCCGAACATCGACGAGACGAACCGCTCAGCACGGTTCTTCATGGAGATACCCAGGCCCGCGTCGGCTTGGTTCTCCTTGTCGTCGCGACGGGTCCGCTTGATCGGGGATGAGGTTTCCTGGTAGCGTCGACGGGAAGAGTTCTCGTGTCCTTCTTCGTCGTCCAGCGACGGGGAGCGGAGCATACGGTTCAGTCCTCCCGTGAGTCCGGAGTGGTTCAACATCGGGGTGCCTGGGTGGTTGACGACGCTCGAGGGGGCATCCAGCATCGGCGTGTCTGTCTCGGTGTCGTGGTCCTCGGTGCGGCGCTTGCGCTTCTTCTCGCTCGTAGCACCCTCGGCCTTGGCGGCGCGGTCCTTCTTCTTCTTGGGCGCAGGGGTCATGAACTCCATGGACACGTTGGGGGCCTTGCGGTCGTAGGGGGACTGGTTGATCGGGCCCGAGCCGTACGAGAATCCATTCTCTTCATACGCAACGTCGTATGTCTTGTTGTCGTCATCGCCATCCGTGTCAACGCGAGCCAGCGACTTGCTCGACTCGAAGACCGAAGGCGCGTTGGCGACCATCTTCATCTGTTCCTTAGCCTCGTTCACGGAGACCTTCGAGGCATTGGGGGTGCCCTCAGGGACAAGGTAGTCGAAGACATTTACCGGCTTGTCAGTCTTCCCTTCGGTGCGCGGGGTCTTTTCCACGCCTGCGGGAGGAGGGCTAGGCGCAGGTGGGGGAAGATTATCGGTATCGGTTCCATCCTCCACGTAAGGTGCCCGGTGGCCGTGGGGGGTCTGCTTCTGGTTGTGGTTTTGAGGTTGGTTCTGGTGCTGGTTCTGGTTCTGGTTCTGGTTTTGTCGGCCGTTGTTCTGCCCTTTGCGTTGGTTCTTGGCCGGCTTTTCTCTGTACAGCGCGCCTTGGTACTTTTGCGCCTCGGACATGCAGGACTATCACGGCGAGTCAGTTTTGGTTCACACGATTCGACAACTGCATGGCAGTTTTGAGACAAGAGAGTAAGGCAAAATGCCTTGCAGGTGTAAACGCAACGTCAAAGAGTAACAGCGGGCAATCCAGTCCACGAGGAGGTATTGAAAGCCAATCCCAAGGGAAGAGATGTTCGTACCGTGTGCGATCTGTAGCTAGTTCCCTGGAAATGCACCATACAGTCGATGCAGGTGTAGGAAGCGCCGCGACATTGGTTGCGATGGGGGTCGAGCTTCTTCTTGGTGAGGACATCACCACACGCCTATGCAGATTGTCGCATATTAGCACACGCCGTTGTTCGGTGGCCAAAAAGGCCCTTTTCCAAAGGATGAGGGTGGGCGACGGTGCGCGACTCACCTCGCAAGAAAATGAAACCATCTTGTCAAGAACCGCTGGATTAGACCGCGATTTGTTCGAGAAGTTGATACGCGACTTGAGACAGCGCCGATATGAGAGGGAAAAAAAGAAGAGGAAAATTAAAAGTCCGGTGGATGGATGGGTTGGATGGGGCGCCCAGCAGAATTAAGCTAGACTTTCGGGGGACCCGCAACGGACCTGAACAAGACCACTCCCACTCCGTATTGTCGGTAGTCAGACTGTCGGTTACACTGAGATTGTTGTCCGGGACAACGTGAAGAAAAAGCAAGAGAGAGAGATTGAGCAATCGCGTGGGGGAGGTTCTGAAACCCTGTGGTTTGAAACTCGAGGACTTTGTGTCAGCTTTTGCGCTGTCCTCGTTCCCCGGCGCGTTCTTTAAAAAAGAAACGAAAAGTATGTGTAGCAGAAAGCCTGGAGCGCTGCGCCGCCAAAACAATGTCTGGAAGAGACTAAGCCTGTCCTGGACTAGTCAGTTGCCGCGAAGTTGGCTGCCTTTCCAATCAGGCACGGATCCTGCCTCCCCGAGTCCCCGCAGTGGAACATCAAGTGTCAATCAATCAATCAATCACTCAATCACTCAAGAAGTATACATGTCTGTACTGGACACAGTGACAAGACTAGTTCAAATAATCTTTTCCTCTCATCGAAACACCCATTACAATGCGCAATGCGTATATTGACCACTTGATCAAAGCAGGAGAAGGGAAGCGCAAGGGGGGGAATGTGGCGCTTGTGCATCGAACCACCAACATGGACTTGTCAGGAGACACCGTACATGGAGGGTGCTTTGCAGCAAGCCCTTCCCATCGACCAGTCGCCGCCCACCTCGGCCCTTCTATTCAAACTTATCTGTCAGTGTAGCCCCTGCAATAAAGGGGCCGACGCCCTTTGCCGGACATTAAAAGAAACTTATCCACCAAGATACGAGTGGCTTCTTCTCGATTGTGCTCAGAACCTCGCCTCTCATAGGATCAGGGCGCGGTGATCGTCGGTCTGCAGCACAATAAACTTCCAGTCCGAGGTCGAAAGCTACAACTCTGCTCCTTAAGCGACCAGACGTCACCAAGTGCTCTATATAGCGCCCAGCGCGAAAACAAGAGCTAGGAGCATAGGGCATTCAGGATGTCGCGGCGCGGGTTTCAGCCTTGTCTCCATCTTAAATGGGAACTATTGCTTGTCGCTGTCAGGAAACTATACTTCTGGAGTCAATCCTTCCCACGGGCTCGGGAGGAATTCCTCCGGGAGTCCATGTGGGAGCTGAGATGCACGGTACTTTTGCGCTGAATGGTCAGCCGCGGCCGGCATGAGGGTTCCACCCTCGTCATGCGCACCATTGTGCATGCTTCACACCTTTTCATGCAGCTTCCACACCACCTGTCCAGGCTTGCCTTCTACAGTGGAGAGAATCGGTGAGCCCTCCCTAAACAAGTCTCATGTGAGACTTGGGGGCACCGTCGCAAAAGCCATGCGCCTATGTCAGGGCAGCAATGCGCAATCAGGAATCCGGCTCATGACTGGTTCGTCCAGCCGTAGAGGACACAAAGACGTCATCCTCTGGTTTCGCCTACATCGCATGCGACGATAAACCTGTATTACAATTAGTGCCCAAGGCTTTTGGGCGACGCCTACTCCGCAAGTAGATACAGTTAAGCCACCACTACTATGAAACGCAACCCGCATCGAACTGGAAACATTGGTATAAGACAAAACTGACGGGACCGTGGTATATAGGTATTTTGGAGATAAATGTTGTAACAGTATATACAATTGAAACTACCGTGCACGAACCGGCTCAATGCACCCAGCGATCCGGCACTGGTGAAGAGTATGTATAAGATGAAAGAAAGAGAATAAGTCACAAGGGAGTGGAACGGGTCCGGATGTCGAGATAAGGGCGCGCAGCGTTCATCCTCGAGTAGTCCTATAGTGGAATCGGATCAGCAAGGTATCCATGATCATGGGATACGAAGGGAGCACGAACGGTTCCCTGTTAATCTCGACCAGCGGCAGTGCGCCGTCGCTATCGGCCTCCCTCCGCGCACTGGGCTGATCCTTGTTTGTGGTCGGGCCCTCATCCTCATCCTCATCCTCTTCGTCTTTCGCACAGCCGCAATCGTAGAAATCGCCGATGTTGTTGCAGTCGAATTCGGGCTTCTCGAGCATGATGTTCACTTCGTTGTGGATGAAGCAGCCCCATCCAGCAGCCGCATTGCGCGACGAGACCTGCGGGGGATACTTTTTCAAATGACCTTGGAAGTGCGAAGCGCATTCGCCACTAGGAAGAGGCTCTGGTCAGTATGCAGCAATAACGGCGGTGCAAAAGGGCGACTATACCATGGATAGAGTCGCGCAAAGAGATAGATAAAAGAGCGTAAGGTTTCCTGCTGCTCCTCGGTCGGATCTTCGGGATACCGAGCCAGCATGGTATGGAAGTATTTCCAGGTCGCACGGCCTAATTCCGCCCTACAGTTTCCGACGACAATCCTGTTAGCATCATGACCGATTCAAAAATGGAGATTCATAGGACTCTCACTTTGCCGTCGCATTCCCGAGCTTGGGCATCACCACCTCCCCTTTGATCAAATCATCTTTGGACACCACGGCCGGCGCGGATTTGTCGAGGTGGCCAGGAGCGCGAACGGCGGGACTCGGCGGACCTTGAGGTTGGATTAAGAAGAGAAAGATTAAAAAGATAGTGATGCATGCACCGGCAAGAAGCTGCCGGGTAATCTGGCGGTATGCCATCGTGGAGTGGAGTGGTTGACCTATAGACTATAGAACGCCCACGTTCTCCGTGAGGAAGACAGATCGCCCTTGAACACTTATCGGATGATTGACGGTGGATTGACAATGGACCCGGCCAGGCTGACCGCCTCCCGCGCCCGCGTGGCAGAACCATTGCCTCTCTGAGAGGCGGAAGCTTAGTTCCAGTTCGGGCCAGTCAACTTAAGGTCCACTCGTTTCGTCACCGCTACGACCCACTCCCGACAGGCGATAGTCTAGGGGATAAATCACTAGAAATCATCCAACACCTTATAGTAAGTACTGATAGTACTACACCTCCCAGTACTTTCACTGCCGGTCTCAAATAGCTCAACAATTTACCATAGCGCAAGTTGTTCCATCCAACCTCTTTTTCCACAGCCCCAGTACAATGGAGACCCAGGTAAGTCACAGTCTACTAAGCTATATAAGCATACTATAAGGCGTGGAAAGTGTACTCTTGGCAGCTTCATGGCTTCTTCTGTCCTCTCCTGTTTTTCTTTTCTTCTTCGCTCATTCACAATTTGAGTTTCCTACCAAGTCTGACGGAATCTAGCCTGACCCTATGCCTGAAGGCTGGACCAATGACCCTCATCTCTTGGACACCTACTTCTCGCCTGAATCTAGAGAGGCCCAGATGGCCCGATGCTGCGGCCTTAAAGATGCTGAACTTGTTCTTATGGGAACTCCCGAATCAGGGGAGATGGATATCATCATCACAGCTGGAGGCAAGTTCTATTGGGGGCACTTTATGATCGATTACCTTGGGGAGATCACGCGGCCTAAGACTTTCCCGGAGATACTCCATGTCCTTGGTGTTAAGGGTCTTAGAGGTCTACGCATGAAGTACCTGGAGCCGGTGTGGACCTACGAAGAGGAGGAGGAGCAGGAGGAGGAGGAGGAGGAGGAGGGAGGGCCCCGTTTGTTTGTCCCTCTTGACCCTGATGCCCCTTGACCCCCAATGCTCCTTCCTAATGAAGCAGTCGAGGACTCTGCGCCCTCTTCTTTTACTATCTACCCAGTATTTCTTGTAGGATTGTAGAATTTTGTAGAGAATAGAGCATTTTCAGGGCAAGGTGTCATCATGGCTGAAGTGCTTCTTCCTTGGCTTAACGGCCACCTAGACTTTCGCCAGGCGTACACGTTCACCCTGAACGACATCGTGGATACACTACGAGATATCGTGCAGCATCCTGTCTCGTACGGTGTTCCCCCCCAGAATGTCAACATGCTCATCTCGATCCATGGGCATATCACTCGCCTGCGGTAAGCTGTGCTTCGTTAATTAAGCTTCGCGTGCCTTGAGTAGCAGACTAACCTCGAGGAAAGCCGACCAACAGGACAGGATTACCTTAATCCCCCGCCGCCACAAAGCGTCCACCGGGACCTGAACCCCCAGTGGCCCAGATCTATCGCCAGGTTTAGGCTCGAGAGGTCGACCTACGATGGCTTGGAGTATTGGGCTCTCCCAGACTACCTTGGGCTCTTTTTGAGCAAGTTGGGGCGAGCTCCGGCGGGGGCAACCAAGCGGAATTTTTATCTCCCAGTCACAGCGGTTTTCGGACGCTGGTGCGACAAGCTTCTATCTGGGCGGAGGTGGCAGAAGCCCAGAGTGTATCAGTGCACCTGGGCAGATGCTGGGGAGTTCCACCTTGGTGCCTCGAGAGGAGGTTGGACTTTGGAGAGTGGTATGGGCTCCTGTCTCGCTGTTCTGGACCGAGCTCGCTTTGGTGTTGTTAGGTCTACAGTGCTTGATTTGGCCTACTGGTCGCAAGCCTGGACGCCTACCATTGTGAGGAAGGGAAGGAGACGGGGCACACCTTTTGGTCGCTGTGCGGAGACCTATCCCTTCCGTAAACTTCTCATGTTAGTGCCTTTCTATGCGCCGTCGAGAAAATTGACTAAACTTCCTCTAGGGAGAAATCCAGAGAAGAGGCGGAGCGGGTGTGTGGATTGGCGCTATGCAACGACTACATATCTGAGCCCGTCTATGACGATCGACTGTCGGGGGAGGTCTGGAAGAGCCTTTGGGACCCGTGTCTCAATTGCCAAACTCTGATCAGACTCCACCAGGGCAACGTCCTCAATTTTCTGAAAACAACCGGAATAGAGGGGGCCCCGCCTTGATTCATTCAAGATGGACGTCGGAAGTTGTTTTGCGGACGACCTTGGACATGTCGTCAAAAGGTCCCACCTGTGCCTAGTGACCTGGTCAGGTGCCTTGAGGGTGATGGGAATAAAATACCGGATCCCGGTAGGGGCTCACTCCATCCGTGGAGTTTGGGAGCCATCCTTTGTGGCCTGACACACCCAGAGGACCTACCACCGTCTAGCGGAAAGCAAACCGCGTTACCAAACTCTAGCCCTGACACAGCTATTGACATGGGGGATATCTTGCCATTGGATGACTGTCTGACCCGGTTGAAGTCTTGAGGCCTGACGTTAGGATGGCTCCTTCACCGGTTTAAGTCTGCCGTTATGACGGATACCTCCATCCCCTCCGGGGACCCCGACTTGTTCACACCCATGCGCGTGGAAACGCTACGGTGTCGGGGATCAGTACCCTTTCGCTCAACCTACTTCCAACTGCGAAAGGTGAAGCCAACGTGAACGACACTCAGCCTCTACTTCTCCACGAGGCCTGTCTCACCTTCTCATTCATACACTCGAGACAATCTACCCGTGTCATTATCTCTCTTCAATTGTCTCTGCGGTCTTACCCAAATTCAACTCGGTGTGTTGCGCAACTCTATAAGCCTCATCTCTGACTTGGCCACACCCGTGTCTCCGCTGGTTGAAACCCACTGCAACCAAGAACTATAAAGAATCAGCTCGTGTCATTATCTCTCTTTAATGGTGTCTGCGGTCTTACCAAGAGTGTCGGTGCCTTGCAAAACTCTACACGCCTCATCTCAAACTCGGTCACCTTTCTGCAACGCGCGCACCCCTGTCTCCGCTGGTTGAGATCAAATACATCCAAAACCAACAAATCAGGCCTTGGCCTCGTGTCCATCTCACGCTCGGGGGTATGCATCTGCGAAGTAGAAACCTCGTCATGTCATGATCTCTTAAAAACTCTCGGGATCAGTCATCCTGCTCAATCAGTTTTCAGAAGACTCGTCTGCTGTCGTGCTCACATGGAATGTGGGTACTTCGATCACCACGTGACAAGATTATCTTTATGTGGTGTCGATCTCCTCTAAAAGTTTTTCGCGTTGGCGAAATCTCGGTGCTGGCACAAGGCAAGATCCATTACCGCCTGATATACAAGGCAGCGGTCGAATGCAATTTCCGCCTCTGCTGAGTCAGCGCAAACTGCCGAGTTTCGCGATCTGCACGGACGGCCACAGCCCAAAAGTTTTCTGCCGATTTCCGGCACCTGAACGCCTGGTTCACACGTTACGTTCGCTGCACCCTTCCTTCTCTCGCCTTTGCATGTGTTAACCGGGTCCCACGGTATTTCGTCGGGCGTTATTGGAATTATAATCTGATGGATTTGGAGTACCGAGGGATTCTCGCGCCGAATGGGTTGGCTACACATGCCTCTCTCTTAACGCCTCCGGCCACCACCAGCGACCTTCGGAACAATCTCAGGCTTCCCCGGCCGATGACTGCTTTTGATTTCTCCCCCAGACCCTCGGAACCTGGCGCCATGAACAAGATCCCCGCCGTCCCAAGCAAACGGCGGGGTGGTTGTAGGAAGGCCTGTAATGAGTGTAAGCAGCAGAAGGTAAGTCACTGCACTGGCCATACATGTCATATTGCATTCCATCTTGCATTCCGTTCGGTCCCATCGCCCAGCTCTGCATCTTCATCGTCTAATGGATATTGTTTACTGTGCTTCACACTTCCCATGTCCTCTACATAGACAAAGTGGCTGAACATAGGCTTACCGGACCCTGCAGCTTCGGTGCGATATTGTGCAAACGCCCGCCGATGCATGCTCACGCTGCCGGCGGCTCCAAATAGAATGCAAGGTTGAGCCCACTTTTAAACGGATCTCCAAACGCCGGTAAGGTCTTCCGAGCATGTCTTACCTATGTTTCATCTCTTGGCTGAACACTAGCTATCTAGGCGCAATGCCGAAATGGAAAAAGAAATTGCGGATCTCCGCCGTCGGCTTGCCAGTGGAGAGCATCCTCAGCCTGGGGAGGCTAATGCCAGTGATGAGCTGTCTCAGTGTTCGGAGGACGTTTTCTGCTCTCCAGATGCCACTGTTGGCATCAAAGGACGGCCATTGTCGGCTCCATTGGAGCCCCAACCCATCGCTTCTCCGCTAACCATTCATCGCGATGCTTCCATCCTGTCCCAGGACGATAATCCGTGGATATTAGAGGATGTCTCGCTATCACGAGCCCGAGTAGCACGGTTGTTTGACCAGTACGATCCTCTCCCTGTGCATGCAGTAGCATCTTGGACAAATTTACTTATGATTGGCAAGGTTTTTCAAATATTATCATCCCTTTCTTCCTCTTTTGAACCCACAGAAGCCTCCAGACGAATACATGCGTCGTTGTCCATTGCAGGCATGGACTATTATCTGTGTTGCTAGTCGACGAGCACCTTCTGAGCCGGGTCTCCTCAGCGCACTCTCCGGGCCATTTAGTCGACTGCTCTGGTCCACCATCACTGGTGTACCACAAGATTACCGTGTGGTCAAGGCACTCTGCCTCCTTTGCACCTGGCCGTTGCCAACAACCAGTCAACGGACTGATGCGACATTTATGCTCAGCGGACTGATGATGCAAATATCTATGCAGTTGGGCCTGCATCGTCCGGTTCAAGCTGAGGAATTCACAACCTTCCGCATGGAAGTACAAGGGGAAGCTGTCAAGGATCGATTGCAGACATGGGTTATTTGTAACATTGTAGCTCAAAAGTAAGTGCCTCTCAAGCCAGTCGCCGGATCCCACTATTGACTCTATATATCCAGTGTCGCTACCGGTTACGGGCAGCCTCCGTCAACTATCTACGATTGGGCCTTAGAGCCCGCTTCACTGCGGGACGCCGATTACCACCCTTCGCATGATCTGATGACTCGACTCAGAATCGAAAAGTTCTGTGACCGGGTCACAAAAGCATTGTACAGCAGCAAACCTGACCCGGCTGAGTTTATCAGCTCGGAGAAGCTGCTGATTGTCCAGCTTCTGGAAAACGAACTGAGAGATATGGAAGTTGACTTTGGCCGGGACATCTCCAGTATGTTTTGCATGTCTCGATTCGCTTTTGCTTACTTCTTACAAGGCTTCTAGACATCAACATGATCCATTTGCGAGCGGCTGAACTGCACCTACGGTATTTCGTTTTCCTGGGCTCTAACGCCCGTAGTGACGACTTGACAAAGTTGTTCATCGCAACCACTTCCTTCCTTGGACGAGTGCTCGATCTTGAGACCTCACCCGGCGAGCTTATCGGCCACGCTCCCAACTACATCCTACAGATGATTGTCTCGGCCGCTTTCGCGCTCATGAAGCTCCTCAAGAGCGATTTCCGTCGCCACATTGACTTTGAACACGGAAAGCTCCTTTTCAACGGCGCCATCTCGGCCATCCGCCGCATTAGCGTCATGGACCACGACCGTCCTGTCCGCCTGGCCGATATCCTGGCACAGATGTGGAACGCAGGCAGTCCAGAAGATCCCGCTGGTGGCGATGCTCTGCAGCTCAAGATCCGTTGTCGCATGAGCATGAGCCACGTTTACGATACCGTGTGGCGGTGGCGTCAACGGTTCCGCCCGATGAAGAGCGTGGAGGACACGCAAGGTATGTGTTCGCCTTTTTCTCGGACTTGCACGAGCCAATGAAACTAATTTATCGCAGCTACCATGGCCAATTCCAATCTGGCCCCCCTCACTGGCCCTCTCGCACGGCCGCAGGACGATTCCTTGCAGAGCACAAACCTGATATACACTCCAAACTTCGATCAAGGCGCCTTCATCAGCGAGGCAGGCTTCTCCGAGGTGTTCGATTCCCTGAATTGGGTCTTCGATGGAATTCCGGACTCCTTTGTGGCGCCACCAATTCTATGAACAATGCACGCACAGCCTTCTGAACTGCGAGCCCTGTTGACTTAAAAGCCATATTGCCTTATGAAAATGTACAGAGCACCACCATACAGCATAGCACCACTTATGACTATTCCCTTTGTTGAATATACCCCGAGGGCACACCGATATTACGATAAAGTTGGTATCGCTTCACGTTAATGTCGCCAGGACTGTGACGGTGATGCCTTGTCCTATAGTTCCGAGGCCTCGATAGCTAGGCTGCTCACGGCCATGCATGTTGATAGTTCCTCTCAGATAGCTTCACGTAGCCTGAATTCATCCATTATCCCACGTCCTTGACAGGTTCGTTTGCACGCGAGCATGGGATCCACCGCTCAAGTGGTAGTGATAATTGTACAGAACATATGGTGAAATATAGAGGCCTTGAACACTAAAGCTACGTAGTACTTCGTACTCGGGATTACGCAGCCACAACAACCTACTCAAATCAGTGAAGCAGATGCATTAATGTGAAAGTAGTTATTGTGTATTGAAATGTAATTGTTACTATTCATGTGAATATATGCCTTGTTCTCCAGGCAACTATGAGAGCACCCTAACGATTCACACGGAACTATAGTCCGAGGTATTCATACAGTAGACGCCAATCTTTAGCCACTGGCCATATTATCCCACACTTGATCTCAACTCCAATTTACTTCCTCTCATCGAGATCAACCAAAATGGTGAAGACCCGAGTAAGTAATTAACTTTTCTAATAGTATATGTTAATAGTCTACAAAAGAACGGGGAATGGTACATACAGTTCATACTGGAATTCTCGCACCTGCTTTTAGTTTCTTTCTCTCTCATGCCTCGAAGCAGTTATCCGACCAAGTTATACCTCTCCGAAATAATACCACCTGCTTCTTTCTTTGCTTCAATACCAATATTCTTTCTTGCTTTATGTCCTCGTTTACACTTATCTCGCTTTACGAGCCAAAGCTGACATGGTTGTCAGTCCCAGACTAGTCGCGAAGAGCCAGCCCCGCCGCCTGAACCTCGAGCGCGGGGGGGATATGATAATCAAGACGGCCCAGGATTTTCTGATGAAGACATCCCCGAGGATTTGTCGAACGACCCCATTCTGCTGGAGCTTTACGGTTCGCCTAATAGTCTCGCGGCCCATATGGCCCGCCGCTGTGGACTTCAAGATGCTCGTATGGTTTTTATGGGTACTCCTGAGACGGGAAAGATGCAGTATATCGTCACATCTAGGGGCAAGTACTACTGGGGCCACTTCGAGCTTCTTCATCTCGAAGAGATTAACAGGCCCAAGACGTTGTCGGGGATAGTCAATGCGCTTCGCGATACGGGACTCAGGGGCCTCCGTCTGAGGACCCTGAAGCCGGTGCGGGTCGATGAGGAAGATGACTCGGAGGATGCATGCCCTGCCAACAGCGAAGGGCCCAGCCTGTTTGTTCCGGTTGACCCCAATGCTCCTTGATGCTTCGTCCCCAATCAGGCACTTGAGGAGTTGCTATGTACTTTTGACAAGAGCGTTTCGCTCGAGTGAAAGCAATGCCTTTGAAGTAGCCGATGGCTTGCTCGAAGAATTGCATTCTCTCAACTCTCCTAGTTCTCTTCTCTTCTTTACCAATTTTTAGCATTTGTTGCAGCTTCGTAAGTTCAAATGAACCAGAATATCCTACGTCTATAGTGAGGCCTTTTGATATCTTTCCCAGTAATCTTGAATTTATGACTAATCGATATATAAGTTCTAGCAATGGGCCTGGCGACTGCGTTTTCCCAGCGTCGCCCAGAACATCGACCATGAAAACCCGTAGCAGATCAATGCACGGCTCCAGTTTCGCTTGGTCACGTTCGAGTACGATGGCCTCGATTACTGCGCCTTGCCCGACCTTCTAGGATCCTTCTTGAGCAGTTTGGCTCGTGCTCTATAAGAAGCGACGGGCACCGCAAAACTTCGCCCGTGAGGACAACCCCCGGTGGCCAGCTGCTCGGGCAGCATTCCGGCTGATAAAGTTTGCACCTGATGGGCTCAGTTATTGGGCACTGTCAGACCTATTGGGGCTCTTCCTGAGCAAGCTGGACCCTGCTCCTGATCGAGCTACGAAACGGCATTTTTATCTGCCACTCACCGATGTCTTTGGTAGTCTATCTCTGTATGTGTCATTGAACCGAGACTTTTATGCCAACAAAGAAGAAAGCGTTTGCTAACTCTCACAACATCTAGGGATACCTATCCTGCTTATCCGATTTACCAACTATACACACTACCTATAAGCAGAATCCGCCTCGTGTTTTCCAGTGCAGCTGGATCCGTATATAACCACCTCAGGCGGGCGGTACTAATAGGGTGATCTCATGTTGGAAGATTATCTATCCGAATTTAACAGGCCTATAACATTCCGGAAATATTAGAAGCATTTGCAACCAAAGGCTTCAAAGGATTGCGCCTAAAGACACTCCAGATGGTCAAAATCGACGAAGAATCTCCTAGTCAGGTGCCACAGACACTCGAAAGGTTGTGCGGAGACATATTCCTTCTGTAACCTCTTAGGGTCAGTGCTTTTGAGTTTGCACATTGTCACATATTCTGTGCCTCACGTATCTTGACTATAGGTTAGGGGAAATTCAATCCGACAAAGAGGCAGCGAGTGCACTGTGTTGGCGCTTTGCGACAATTATATATATTGTACGATAACCGGTTGTCTATGGAGAATTTTGGAACATTTGGGACCCGTGTCCAATTGCGAAGTCCTTATCAATATCCATCAGAGTACTGTCCTCGACTCGGTTGCTGGACTGGAAGGGAGAGAGTCCCGCCTCGATTTATCGAGGTGGATGTCGAAAGTTCTTTGCGGACAATCTGTACCTATCGTTGCTTATCGGATGTCGTGGGCCAGAAACAACGGCCTGTCTAAACAGCTGTTTGGAAGCCTAATTATGCAGCTGTTCGATGGCCTATGTATGTACCTGCTTGAGTACCTGTTTGAAACTTCCTATTCAAGGACATGTTTGTATAACCCGTGACTTGTTCAACTACCCGCTTAGCTGCTTCGATGATGCCTGAAAGTCAAGGCAGGCAGGGGGGAATAGCGGTCGGAGAAGACCTATGACATCATACATCCGATCATCCATGATGACGTGCCCCAAGCCCTGGATCCGCCGTGGATCCAGCAGTCAGGGACTGCCAAGTTTGTAGGCTAAAGTACATCATCAGGCACATCGACCCATCGACCCATATCCTTTGTCGGATCACACACTAATCCTAAAGCAGCGGAGTATATGGAGAGATCTCCAGGTTCATCTCCGACCGAGTCCCCAGTCACTGATGGAACCTGAACTTGGAAATATGCAGGGCCTTCCGCATTCGGCATCCCGCATCCCGGCCTCACAATTCCCTCCCCCGAGGAATGCTTGCCCATGCCCGCATCCATCAAGGCCAAGTCGCCCTGTACCAAAAGTCAAAACGTTTGCAGTTAACAACTTATCTAAGATGAGGTTCGAGTGCAACTTGTTCTGCGCATCCCGTCATGCAAATGTCTTTCTCTTGCCATCTCCTCTTGTTTCGCCGCTGCCTCTCCGACAACCCGCCTAGCTAGCACCACAGATTCAGTGTTCGTTCGAGTCGACAAGATGATCCGTGGAAGAACACAGATCTCGCGGATTGTGATTGCCGCCCTATTCAGCTATGGGCTCTTGATATTCTTGTTCAGTCAGTCGGCGCGGAGGTTCTGGGCCACGGATGGAGTAGATATGGCCCGGAGTTACTTCGAAGATCAGGCTTTTGAGCACATCAAGAACGAAACGCTGGGGGTGCGTTTAGTCCGCATACACAGATCATAAGCTTCAATGCTGACGAGCTTCTATCTAGTTCGAACACATCTTCGCGATCGGGTTGAAGGAACGAACGGACAAACGCGATTTCCTCACATTAGCTGCCTCGATGGCGGGCTTCCAGGTCGAATGGCTTGATGGCGTGCGACCGACGGAGATCAACCAGAAGTCCTTACCAAATGTGAGTTTCTTTCTAGACCACCCTCGTCTGAAGATCTGGAATTGATGCCTATTGTGAAATCTAGGAAAACAGCCTCAAGCCATCGGAAATCGGCTGCTGGCGCGCACATATGAACGCACTCACCAAGTACGGCACCTCTCTCCCTCCCCCCAACGAGTCCTGAGCTAGCGATACTGAGCACAGCTAACAACCAATTCCCAACCCACAGAGTGGTCGAGAATTCGTACTCCACTGCCCTCATTCTCGAGGACGACGCGGACTGGGACATCTTCATCAAGCAGCAACTGCGCGAGTTCGCGCGCGGGGTGCGGGCGCTGACGGGCAACACGCACGGGTCGCGGCAGGCTCCCTACGGGACCAACTGGGACGTGCTCTGGATCGGCGGGTGTGCTTCAGCGGCCAAAGCCAACGAGACACAATTCTTCGCGATTCCGCAAGACCCGACGGCGCCCAGCGTCGACCACCGCGGCACGTGGGGCGGCCCGCTCAAGGAGTGGAAGACGCAGTACCCGGAGTTCCCGGAGACGTCGACGCGGTTCGTCTACCGGGCGGAGTACGGGTGCTGCACCTACGGCTACGCGGTGACCAAGCGCGGGGCGGAGCGGATCCTGGCCGCCCTCGCCGTCGACCGCATCGTCGCCGCGGTGGACAACTCCATGGGCGACCTGTGCGGCGGCAAGGACGGTCGCCCTCAAATCGAATGCTACGCTCCCTTCCCCAACCTCGTCGGCACCTACCGGGCGGCGGGCCCCGCCTCCAAGGACTCGGACATCCACAATGGCACCGACGAGTGGCACGAGGCCCAGGCCTGGAACTTGATGTATAGCACCCGGTTGAATATTCATAACCTGGTCGCCGGGAAGGATACCGTGTACGCACAGTATGACGAGAAGTTCCCGTGGTCCAAGTGGAAGCTGAGTCGGAAGAACTTTCACTATCCGCAAGGATATCTGGTGCATTAGCTTTTCTGATTCATGTTTCTTGTTCTGGTGGCACTGGCGTTGGAGGTGGTGTATGCACAGCGGTCGCATCATCTGTACTGTACATTATGAGTTCCTTGCATTTTGATCCTCTATTAGCATTGTTGTTAGCCGATTCTACTGACTGTGTCTCGAAGTTCAAGGACGCTTCAAGCTCAGGAGCTATGGAGTAAGTAGTACGAAGTATTGTAGCGTAGTCAAAAGCTTTGGACGATTCAGACCACGCGGAAACTTACACCGAGTAACCCCGAAATTCGGAGTCCTCGCAGCGCAGTCCGCACTCCCGCCCTCCCGAAACTTGACTTGCTCAACCTTCAACCACCGCGGAGAACCTGGAATGAGGAATGAGGAATGCTGCATTGCCCACGACAGTATCTCGATGATCACTCCGGCCAACTACTTTGTACAGTAGTTAGTGTAAAATATAAGGATAGACAAAATACACCATACTAAGCACAGTACAGTGTTGTAGTATCTACCCCAATTTCCCTCTCAGCTTTAGAGCCCACGAAAAGGACACCAAGTCGGGTGACTTGCCGGCGGCTATGAGATTAACAAGGCGGGCAACTGCGGCAGGATACAGTACATTGATCAATATGATAGAGAGTCGAATGCTAAATTACTCGCTAGAACCGGTGCTGTACCACCCAGACTGACTTCCACACAATCAACCCGTTCTGAACAGAACAGTGCGCTCCTATTACTCCTACCCGGATACATCTTCCGTCTCGCCCACGCAAACCCGGGACTATGTTCCTAGTGCTGATTCCAGGAAAGTGAAGTCGGCCCCAAAAGTGGGCTAGGTTGGATCCACGAGAACTTGGCTGGCGTCCTGCGTAGTGTAAACACAATACAGCCTGGGAGCGCAGCACTTGCTAGCGAGTGCTGGAGGTCCTGCTGGTTGGGGACCGCGGGTGGTAACGGGGAGTAATAGATTTCCGTGGTGGTATTTAATGGCGGGTGCAGAGGAGGAGTTTTGCTGGCGGGCGGGCCGGGGAGGAGGAACAGATGCCCTATCAGAAGAAAGTTGACGCTCAAACTCCAACGACTAGTAGGCACGACGTCTCTTAGTTATGGTTTTCCAGAGCTGAAGAAGCTTGTTGAGATCTTCTGCATAATCTAAATAGTAGTATCTACCGGCAGACAAGTGTCTACACTTCACGAAAGACGGAGCGAGTCTCAACCTTGATACTGAGTATGGGGCAGTGTTCTAGATGCGTTCACCTCACCCGCATCGACCAGATGGGCCAATTGGACGCAGCATGGGGGGTCTAGTGGGGTGGGAATCGGTCGATTGTTCCTGAGCCCTACATTCGCGAAAGTTTGCTGCACAGCTTCAAGTTACTGTTCTCTTCCCCGAAAGTCCTGCGTCCAGCAGCATCCTCTATCGGAGGACATGACGGGTAACGAAAGACAGCATGAGGATGCAGCAAGGTTGCATTTGAATGGACATACCGCCATCAAATGGCATGCCGGCCGGCCGGCCGGTTGATAAGGTACAGCACAATA